CTGTGGCTAGTCCTGATGCCGATGAAAGGATTTCCGAACGAATTTTGATGTATCGACAATTTTCATATGCGTCCGAGCGAAAGGAAACTCATTTTCCATTCACAGCTTTTGGTCTTGCAGCCCCTCCCCCCAAAAAAAAAGAAAGTCTTTCAATTGTGTGGGGGAAATGCCAATCAATTGGTTTGAAAGGCAAAAAATGTATCCCCATTGAAATATGTATATGATTTTTTATTTAACAAAAAAAAAGCATTGTTTATTTGTTGATTTAAATATTATTAAGTATTTAAAGGTTAAAGTAAAAACAAGTCTTTGCCAAATATTGTTGTAATGAATACATACAAGGGCATACAAAGTTCGCCCTGCTGTTGACCCTATAAAGCTGTGTCTTACCCTTACTTCTTGGTGACACATTGCCTTGTATGCCTTGTATACTCACACCCACACCCGTAACCGTCTCCTCTGACAGCCTTGGGGGGCTCATATGCACAACAAAAATGGCAACGGCAGCAACAGGGCCAAGAGCCCAACTGCCAGCCCCCTGTACGGGGCTGTGGGCGGAATATGAAATACGGTCGGAGGGTCCCTTTGGGCCATGATTTTAATTGTGTGTCGGAAATTATGTTTCACTTTTCCACCTCCGGCACCATCATCAAAAAAAAAACCTCAACGCTCTTTTGTTCAACTTCCCCAGCAGTTACCCTACCCAGAAGTTTTGCCCTCAAAAGTCCCTGGAAAACAAAAAATAATAGGGGGGAATACAAAATTTGAGCCCTCAATTGTTTGGCTTTGCCGACTAATATTCGGTTGCAGCCGCAGTAGCTTTTCTGTTTGCCAGATGTAACCAATTAATTGCAACTTTTTGGGGCAGGTTTGTTGGGTAAGCCACAGCTTCGAATAGGATCCAATTGGCTTTGGTCCAATTCCATGAAAATCCATTCAACTACAATGTATCTCTTTGTTTCTCTTTCAGAATTGGATCATTTAAATAAAATTTAAAGTGCATCTAAACTTTGGCACCGGTACAAGTTTTTAAGCAGAAACTTCTGAGCTTGTCAACTTTGGGTTTGGATTTTGCAAACTTTACGGCCAGTGGATTGAGGTCTTTAACCGAAAGCCGCCTAAACTAACGTGAAATTCACCAGGAACATTGCTTTGGGAGAGTTTAAATCTAGCTGGGAGCGATTCGCGGAAGGCCGAGGAGGAGGATTTGGTCTGCGGATGCATTTCATTTGGACAGGGGCCACACAAAGACAATACGGAGGGTCTACGGAGTGCTTTGGCCCGTTTACGCAACAGAACGGGCCCCTCACTTCCACAACAACCCACCCCGCCGGCCTCTCCCCTGCCCCTTGCCTCTGGCAGATGCACCACCTATTGCCAGGACTCTGCAAATAGTCCTGCGGTTCCCACAACCGCCACCGCCACCAAATCCGTCAGCGCCAAGTCAAGTGAAGTATCTGCAGGAGCATCGGACACTGGTAGCCACACCAATGGCCTCGCCCATCATGTAAGTAACGAATCAGCTATTCCGCAGATAAGCAAATGGCATGTTTAGCTAAGTATCCGTAACGTAATGTATCTTTGTGTCTAGCAGCTATTAAAACGGGGATGCTATTGCTAAAATTGATTGTATCTAACACCCGACACCGCATAACCTATTAAAGTGCACCGCTAGCTTGATTTTGTCAGCAATAATGTGGATTTAAAATATCAATTAAGATACTTGAGCTTTAAAACCAATAGTTTGTGGGACTGTATTCCTGGAATATCTGAATACTAATTGTCTTTTCTGAAAAGTAAACTCTGTACTAGAAGTTCTTTTAAAAAAAACATTTGAGCACATATTTCTAAGAATACATATGAGTTCTGTTTAGCCAGAAACCTACAGAATTTAAAGACAAAAGCGTCCTTAATATTATCTTCAAAAGCCACCTGTTCAAAAAAGTATGCTACAGTTTCTAGCCAGATCTAATCAACAAAATGTTCATTAAAGAAAGTAGAACGAATTTCGGCCCAGGTGTTAACAGTTCTGGGAGACTTTGTCGTTATCGGTAATTCGATTTGCATTCACTTTACATTATGTGGGCCAAAAAATGTTTTACTCAGGGCTGACCCTGGTAGCACGTGAGTGCTCCCCTTAAATGGGCCTCCAAAAAATAATAAAAATGAATACCAACCGACAGCAACTTAATTGCGCAACATTTTACCATTAGACTTAATTAAATCGGCAATTGAGAAAAAAAAAAAAGCAACGTTTACTGAAAACAGCATACCCTGGGGTGGAGGAGTAAAACCTGAACCTGAATGGCTGGCAGCAGAGACAATATGCTGATGAATTTTAATGAGAAATAATGAGTATTTCGGGTTTGCATTTGAAAGGATTTCATGCATTGGAGGCTGTGCGAATGGCAGCTGGTTAATTAGGAGTTGCCTTGGAAATTCTCAGAATAATTCACAAAACCTAGCGCACATAGTCGTACACCATTGACGCCATAGACCGCACACACCCGGATTGTGGGTGACATCTGCCCGGGTTTGTTGGCAAACTTAAGCAGGGCCATGGCCAAAACAAAACATTTCTGGCCACAAGCCATGCCGAAACTTTCATATCAGACGCTCCACATTGCAATTGTATGAGGTCTACTACTACTGCTGCTGCTGTGTGTGTTTGCAAATATTGGACAATTTAGCAAGCCTCCTGTTCATCAACCCGAAACTTTGGTTATTGGAGTATCCTTTTGGCCATTTGTAAAGCTTTTTGCCCCGCACTCGACCGCCCATTCGTTTGTTATATTTGCCAGCGAATAGCCAGTTGCCAGAAGCCAAGTGGCTTACAGCAAAAATATTTGGCCCTCAACTCGGGCTATGGATAAAAGGGCTTTTTCATTTTCACTCTTGTTTTTATTCAACTGTCAATTTAAATTAGAGTGCTGAGCGGATTTACTCGGCGGCTTAATTAAACGCAATTATAATAATGTTGACTGGGGCTTGTTGTTACAATTCAATTGTTATTGCTGGCGAACTTTTGGCGAGTTGTGTACACAATTTTAATGTATTTTCGTTGAACTGAACAATGCCAGTCGCTGGCCGCTGCTTCTCTTAATCCTAATGAAAACTGAGTGGATTGAAGGGGAAAATTAATGGAGTTCCTGAGTTTCCTCGGTCCATGCCATCATTCAATTAGTCAACTCAAAGTGCGTCCTGCATTTGAGGTAAAAGCCAAGACTACGATTTGCTTTTAATTTGTGTAATTACTTCGGATGTGCAATCAGCTTGCGAGTTGATAAATAATTTATGAATTGCGGTGCGACATCGCAAGTTGTCATTCGAGGAAATCATCATCATCATCCACGCCCACTGCACTCGCCAAAAATACATACACAGATCCGATGTCAGGAAGGGTTTCGTCTCATCCCGTTTCAAGGATAAGAGCCAGGTTGAGGGCTTACTTTGAGACGTTCAGGTGGTGCGACTGATTGATTTGATTGCCGTCACCTTGTTGAGATGACAGCGGGCTTATATAAATGTTTGTATAAACATTTCGGATGAGCCACTTTCGCCCCCAAAGGAGTTTGTCAGCCCGGCATCCGTTTGAAGTTCTTCTGACGGATGGAGTCTCTTTAACTTTGATGTATGTGTATATCCGAGTAAGCCGACGCCTCTTTCCGGAGCTCATACATTTCCCATCAGATTAAAACCCAAGACCTGTAACCTGGTTAAAATGCAATTATTGAGGCTTCTGCCATTTGCAGCACTCCTTTTTGACCAGTAATAAATGGCCGGAAATCGAATCGGCCATTGAATTGCTGCTCGGCCAGAACGGAAAGGAATGCAGGTGAAACGAACCCATCCGAGAATTTATGAGTGCCTGAATGAAGCCTAATTGAATATGTATTAATGTGTATGTATAACCGGTGGAGGACTGGTAGAGGGTTGCCATAATTGAGGCCCCATTAGACGGTAATGCTGAAAAATTGATGCCCTTGTCCTTGCCGATTCCTTCGTCTTTGCCTTTGCCTGGGCTGTAGGGTGCTACGCCCACTCCGCTTCATTTTCAGCCGGAAATTGAATTTGATAAACTTTGCAAAGTAGAAAGTCGAAGACAAGTCGGGGCAGTTGCTTCTTCCCTCAGCAATTAATGCTCGACTTTGGCAGGGATGGCGACACTTTTCCTTCGGATACTCGAAGCTTGGAATTCGAGAAGAAAAACTCCGGCTACGTGCCATGCGTCAGCTGGAAAAATGAAAACCGAAAAACTTTGTTTATGTTTAGACTTTTTTGGCCAAGAGGAGAGGAGAGTCCAGGCGGGACCAGCCTAGGAGTTACTCTGGCTGGTGGTGGTGCTGCCTCTGCTGATGCTGGCATTCAAGTGTTTTAATCAATTCTGATTTAATTTTACGCCCAATTAAGTGTGAAAAGCGTTTGATGTTGGGTACGGGTGCGAGAGGCAAATGGCGACGAGGTCCTACGGTCTCGTCCCTCGTTTACAGATCCGGATCCCCCCTTCGAACCTCCTGCGACTTTCACACAACAAGTCACGCAAGCGTAAGCATTGAATATGCCATACATATGTGGGTGGGGTCCTTTGTTCCGTTCTGGAAGACTTCTGGAAGTTAACTGGCAACATATTTGGGGGGGTTCATTTTGGTTCGCAGCACTTTGCACTAGAATAAAGACATTTTTAGATGTATATTTTTTGAAAACAGCAGCTGCTACCGGAAAATACTCACTGCCGCTTTGTGTATCCTTGCTGTGGCTTCGCACACTCGCATTCACCACTCGCTCCTATATTTGCTTATCCTCACCATATTGCTGCTCTGTGCCCTTTCTTTTCTGTTGTAACTCTCTCTCTAACCATGGACCATGAACTTTCTTCCTATGACAGAGACAGACGTGGCACATTGTAGTTCCGCCATCCATTATCCAATAATCTCTATCAACAGCCAACGCCACTGCCGCCGCCGCCTCGTGCTGCTGCCGCCACATCCTCCGCCATATCAAAAGGCAACTCCAGGTTAAGTTTGTTGGAAAGTTTAGTCTGCATGACTGCCGATCCCATATCCTTGTGCTTTTGGATTTGTTTGCAGGTAAAGCCCATAGAATTCTTCTATTTATAATTTTCATATCCCCCCCCAAAGCTGGATTATTTTCTTAATCCTAATTAAATTTGTTTCCTCCAAGTCGGATGGGCCTTTATGGTGCCATATATCTTAGGGTGAGAGGCCTCCAGGATGTTGTAAAACAATTACAGAGTGGTTGTAAGGAAATTACCGCCCAGAAACCACAAATGAAAGACATGTACTTGCTTTTTAAGATTACCATTTATGACTTTTTTAAATCGATTTTTGTACACATAAATTTCGTTCTACATGTTGACAAATTTTGGGTCATGGAGACTGTTGTAAGGCTAACACATTTCTCATTGTCGTTCGGCATCTGCCTCTTGTAGACGAGTGTCGCGTAAACTAATTTAATTAAATAGTATTCCTTTTTTTTAGTAACAATAGCTCACTTTTTCGATAGGGTTCTTAAATAAGAATAAAGCATTCTGCGCACCTGCCAACGGGCGGGCGCAGCGCCAGGTATTCGAGTGTCAGTGTGTTTGCTTAACTGTGTGTATTTTGTGTTGTGTTATATTAGTGTAGCTGTTATAGTGTATTGCATGTGGCATGCTGGGTAGTGTATTCTCAACCAGATGGTTTCATACTACACTTGGAAATTTTAGCATTCTTCTGAACACTGAAAATGACTTGAATTCACTTTCGACCCGTGTCCATTAGATGGTCGAGTGTCGTCGTGTGTCTTTGTAATTAGATATAATTGTTAATCGGTAATTGGGTGGGGATGAACATGTTTGGATTGCATAACGTTGCTTGATTAACTAATAACTTAGAACTAACTAAACTGACACTGGCGTTACGCTATCCGAACGTAACGCCAAAGAACTCGTCCCCGGGTCAGGACGGTCAGGGTGCACAGGTAGCCTTTTTGTTGTTTGACACTTTGTTCAGTGCTTAATTTTGATATATCGAACTATTTATAATTTATTTTTTTTATTTACGCAATACGTCCATTTTGAAGGAGGGTTTTTAAATTTTTAGCCTTATGGGGATTTCGCTGAGGATATTGCTTGGATTAGAACAATTTTGAAAAGTTAAGAAATAATTTAGAGGTTTTTTTTAAGCCGAAACATGAGGGAAAAACGCGAAACGAATACTTTTTTTTTTTGGGGCTTAACGATCACGACACGATCGACGACTTTGCGTCTCGGCCAGCGTCTCAAGCAGTCATGGAATTGGATATCCTGCTTATCACTACAGAATAACTGTCTGCGTATAAAGATAAGATTATCGAGGATTGAGTTCGTTTCGTGGAATACGTGACTAGGAAGACTAAAAACTAATTCCTTGGTGGTTGTGTTGCGCCTACGTCGAGCAATCGAAGAGCTACAGCCCACGGCGTGCGGCACCGTGGGTTGGCTTAATTTTGGTTGCTCGCGCCCTTTTTCGAGCCGTCTCTTTAAATGCATTTTATCACTAGACTAATAGTTATTTTTTGTTTGGTTTTTGGTGACCTTTGTCAAGCTTTCACTTTTTTTTTTGTACTTTACTTCTACTGTGTTCTGATCCCTCTCCACGCCGAGGCCCGGTATTTGTGATTCATTGTTTTCTTGTGAATTGTTGTTGTTGAATTGGGTTTTGTGGGCTGTAGGTGTCTTGGTCGACGTTTGAGTCTGTGTCTGTTGTGTGTCTGTGATGGTGTCTTGTGTGTGATTATGGGGCGGATTGCATTGCCCGGACGGGACTGGTGGGCCCGGGACCAGCCCGCCAGGACACTTCCCATGTTGCGAGCGTTACTTAGTAGACAATCAGCAGGTTGTTCTCATTGAATCCGGCCGAGTGTCCGGCGTTGCGTACTATGAAACAGGATCCGTCGAAATGCATGCGCTTCTCGTTACGACTAGAAATGGGGATAAAATGTTCTTAATTATAATTGCTTTTCTAGATTAATTAGGGCAATTTACGCTTGGCTTGCACTCAAAAGGAGCATCTCGTCTGGGAGAAATGCAACAACTACTCACCGAACAAACAGGTGGGAGGTCTTGCCCAACGAGGCCGTGCAATGGATGCCTGGAGTGGTCAGAGTGGCCGATCCATTGCCCGGGCTAGTGCGAATCAAGCACTTGTTGTGCTGGCGAGTAACCTTCACCAGTCCGTCAGCCGCCTGCGTGATGCGGAATCCATTGATGTCGTACACCTCAGTGCCGTCCTCGGCACAGTTGTAGGTGGAGTTGGAAACTACATCGTGGGCATCCTGCAAAAAGGATGGGCCGTGGCGCGAGTCACTGCGTGGGAGAGGTTTAATTAGAAACATTGTTCGAAATGTGATTTTGGCAATCTGGTGCCGCCCAGTGTGTAGAGTGTGGAGATGGCTTACTCGTAGAACACTGCTAGTGTATAGTCCTTGGTCAGGTCCGTAAAGGTGTCGGTGGTGGTGCGTGTTCCGGCTGTGTCCACCAGATAGATGAGAGCGCACGACTCGCTGGTGAAGCTGACGCCCTTGTACCACATTTTAGCATAGCGACTGGAAAACAATAGAAATACGTTTCAGAGGATACTCTTTACAATTGGGCTCTTTTCAGGGATTAATTAAGGAACTTTCCCATTGAACTTGTAAATAATGAATGGGATTCATAATTAGATATTAAAGTTCTCCACTCACACAAAGTTATTGGCCTTCATGCCGTCATAAGTCACAATCTCCACCTTGGAGCCGCTCTGCAAGATGCGTCCATTGGGATGGATGAGAGCCGAGTTGCTGCAGTTGCGCGACAAGGCGATAGCCACCATGCTGCGCTGGTTAAGGACGCGCACGGCTTTGTCCAAGGTCATGTCAATGCTGCAAGTATCATGCTTAGGCTATGGACCAACCAGACATATATTCTCCCGACTTACCGCACACCCTCGCGCAGACGCAGCTGAATAGTGCCATTGGACATGGCGATCGGTCCGGAGCCGGGGCACGGCGGCGGAGTGCTGTTTTCGAACTCGAAAGTACGTGAGCTCACACGGCCCAGAGCGTAGGGCGGTGGCGGCATCGGGGCCGGGAACTGCTGAGTGTGATGAGCCTGCGGCTGAACGGGAAACTTTTAAAAAAGTTCAACAAGGAAAGCCCTATAGCCTTACCATGCAGAAGGCGCCCTCGGTCTCGAAGCCAAAGCCGGCATTGAAGCGCCCAGTCAGTGCTTTTCCGCTGCGTGTTATATTACCGGCATCCATCTCCAGGGCCACCGGATCAAAGCCACCGACCACTGGGGCAATGGCGGCGAACGAAGCATGAGCAGAGGGGTGCGGGTGCACGCCCAGTTGCAGGAATGGGCGGCTGCTGCCGCTGGTCTGGCAAGAGCTCTCCTTAGCGATGACGCCCGTATTGGTGCCCACACTGGTGGAGGTACCCAAGCTGGTGCTGCTGCTACCGCGCTCTATGCCGCTGCCGGAGCTGCCGGCGCCCAGTGAAAGGCTACTTAGACGCGCACCCAGATGGGGTACGACGCGCACGGTGGCCTGCTAAAAAGGATAATATCATGGTATTACAAATAATTTATAATCACTTGTTTTAAGAACTACAAAGGTTAAGGAGCAAGAATTCTAGATGCGAACCCTTTGGTAGATCTGGGCCATGATTTTTGCTTCTGTATTCTGTGTCTACCCATTTGGAAAATTTTTCACGATTATCACTCTTCTAAAGGTATAACTAAAGGATTGGTCTTTCTATGCAACTTATACTCGCAATAAAATCACATTTTCACAAAAGACTGGTTTTTTATTCGCAAAATTAGGCCCAAAATGTTTTAAAGCCCTTTAAAATAGTCTAGTAGCTCATTAACTTCATTTGTAATAAGACACTGCAACACTGTGAAAATAACACCATGACATGCACATTTTTTTGACAGCTGTCACTGTCAGATCTTACGGTGAACATTTTTTCATCCGATGAAAAAATTATATATGTATATGTATGTACAAATATGAAAAGAAAAATTGCATAATTACCGGTGAGGGATTATTGTTGGTGTAGACGGAACGCTGGCGCACACCATTTGGGGGCTTGGTCGGCGAACGGAGAATGTTATTGATCTTGTCGTTCATCTGGGCACGGGAGAGGAAGTCCTCGGCGTTGAAAATGCCCACGCGACCGCTCTTCGGGGTGGCCACGGGAGTTGGCTCCTGCTTGGGCTCATCGCTGCCCGAGTGCTGGCACTGAGCCTCCTTGGTGTTGGACTTGGAGGCACTAAGTTTCGAGTCGGTGACCATGATGACGGAGCACTTTTTTTTTTCTACGCACAAAATCTGTTTGGTGGCGATTGGGTTCGCTATGATAGATATGATAGACTTACGGAATATCGCTCTTTGTGGCTATTGGCAGGGGTATTAGATTCTTGGGGAATCTAGGTGTCTTCTTGGGGACCGGGGTCGGGGACTTGGGATATACGGATCTAAATAAAAACGAGACACGCGCTTGCTGGATGGCGAAAATCAAGTATTTTGCTCGACACGGAACACAACGACTCAATGAGAGGAATTTAATTTTTATTTTTTATTTTGTACTTTTCAAGGAGCTCTGCTCGCTGCGACAATTTTTGAAAGAATAAACTCGCCACCACTCCAGACCTAACTTTTTTGACACTGACAAGTGATACAGCCTACTGCAACCTGACCGATATGATTTGAAAGGTGAAAGTGCTCCCAGATGACAGAAAGCAACTATCGTATGCGGTTCCTTTGAATGGCATCGAAGGTTTTAGAAATGTCAAAATATCAACGAAAGCTAAGGAGTGTCCGCGGAATATCAAATTAGTGCTGCATACTCTCGGGCTGCGGAGAAAGTTTATTGAATTGCGTTTGAAACTAACACATTTAAGGCTCCCCCGACACTCTTAAATGATTTTTATTTGTTCCCACGACAGGATCTTAGTTCCAGCGAAACGAAGTTTGCCGCCATAAAAGTCGGGCGAATGTCAAAATTAAATTAAATTAAGAAATAGACTTGAAACTCACTCTTCTTTCAGCGTTCAGGCGAAAGGAGCTCAGAAGGGCTTATTGGAAAATTGCATTTACCAGAGGCAGAAAAAAAAGAGAGATGGCCCAGTGATGGGTGGCGGTGAGGTTAAGAACAAGGAACTTTCACGGACATGGAAAATGTCAAAAGCTATCGGCATCTTCTACTGTCACTCTGAATGGCAAATGTCAAATAGTTCTTCGATTCGGTTCTATCATCATCAAATCCACTAATTAATGGGCATATGTGCCAACAGATATTCGCAAGTCTCTAGTCTGAATGACAAATTAGCCACAATATTTGGCAAAAACCCTCAGGGGCAGGCACTATTTCGGCTTGTTGTGGTTTTCTGTCGCCTCTAACTGGGTTCACTAACTCACCTTCAGCCGCACAGGACCCTGAACTTCCGAATCGATTGTTTTTTTTCGCACTGGCGCTACCCCTGATGATTGATTTTTCCTTTCGAATTCGCATTCTCTGTGTTTGTGTTTAGTTTTCTAATGAGCTCATTGACTTCTTTGCTTATTTGGCCATCGGCCCACGCACCCATAAATTGTCACTTTTTGCAAAATTGCTTTCTATTTCAATTGGCTGGCAAAACAGTTGACAGAATTTTATTTTTGGCTCGGTTGGGTCATTAAAATTCAGCCACTGCATGCTGCAGCTGCATCTGCATTTCCTCCCACGCATCGCATTGACTCAGTTTTAAGAATCGCACAACTGAAAGTGAAAACAGTGTGTATTTATAGCAGGAATGCAAGAATTGCATATGAACTCAATGAAATACGGAAACTCATTTGTAAAAAGCAAAATTCTCCCAACCACCCACCTCCTTTTTTGTTGTCACTCTTGCCAGCCGCAGGCGAACAAATTGGTTAACCTCCTTTTTTTTTTCTCCACCTCCATACTCCACAAGTATTTATTGTTCGTATGTCGAAAATATTCGCAAAAATACAAATTTGTCGACAGCCTTCTTTCATTGAGTGTGGGAGTGTAGTATCCATAAAAATATCTGCAGTGGGTGGGAGGATAAAAACTAGTTAGGTTGGCTTTTAGTTATAATTACAAAAGCTGACTATATAATTATAATCACACAAGAACATTAGACAAAATGAGTTCAGTTGCCGTTGTTTCGCCCATATTTGCTCAAGCTGCCAATCTTTCAACTAACGGGGGGAAACATCATCCCATTATAAATGTGGAAAACTATTTTCCCAGTCGGTTGCAGTCTTGATGAGGATGTCAGTGAACTTTTGGCGCCGACAAAGATGCTTCAGTAAAACGGGAATATATACGCATAGATTATATATATATGGAAATGCATAGGACTTTGGCGCTCGACTTGGCTTGTGTGTTGCAATCTTTGACGTCATCGTTTTGGTAGTGGCCACTCAGATTGATGGGAAACTTATGGCATAATTGAAATGGCTTTTAAAATCCATTCATAATGTGGCTTTTTGTGCCGCCGAGTTCCTTATTAAATCCTTAGCAATTTTCATTAAAAACAATTAGCGCGCCAACGATGCCGCCTTTTCTCTTTGTCGACGGGTCGAAGGAGTTGTCCGGGTAGGTTTGGGGAGGGGGCTCGGGTTAAATTAATTGATTGTCAAGATGAGGCAATGGCAACGCCAACGGAAAAACGGCAACCGAGCTGGGGTAAACAAATAAATGTGTCTGGTCATTCAGCGGGAGATCTTTGTTGTCGCCTCGAGATGATAATGCCGCCCGCTGTCAGCTATGGAATTACACTTCCATTCGCACACTTTCGCATATCCTTTACTCAATATATGGTCTACACAACCATATCTACATACATATATACACTCCAATGTTCATGCATTAACGGATGGATCTTGGCCGATTGGCACGCGACGCTAAAAGCCTATCGGCTTGGCTTCCATCAATATTTTGGCATTCCTGGCATTTCTACGGGGCATTCCTTATTGAGTGACTTTTCTGTTTACACAATCCCCTTGCCATGGCTGGGGCTCAACTGTAAATCCCGTCCTCGGGTGATTCACGGGGATTTCCTGGAGACGAAAGCCACCTACGCGTGCCTCCAACCCCTACAGAAAAAAAAGACGAAAATTCAGAAAGGTTGGTCAAATTGAAAGTCTGGCGACTACCGACTGCCGCCGTTTGACGTCATCGGCTCTTTGGCACTTGCCAAAATATATACATCAGATATAGTCCGTCCTAAGGTGTGCCATCTCATCGGGGGACTGGGGCAAACTTTCGCAAGATTTAATGTGTGCTGGCGGATTGCCCGCTCGGCGATGTCGGACCGCATTTCACGCTCCATTGGACGGCGGTGGCGGTGGCGGCTGTGACGTTGTCGCGTCTGCTTTGATTTTGATAAAATAGGCCAAAGTGTTCATCAATAATCATTTCTGTAAAGATCGGATGGGCAAAGCAATTATTTTTACAGCAGAATTTACAAAGAAACACGCTGGGGGCATCCTTCACCCATCAAATTTTCCGGCGAGTAGGCGTTAAAAATGAAATATGATTATTGTTTATATTTAAATCAATTGTGTCAACAAGTTTCAGTCTTTTTTTTGGGAAGCCCATAAAGCACGTGATTTTTTACAACACTATTCGATTGGTAACTCGTCGTTTCGATATATCGAGTGTGCTTTTAGTTTGTATCCCTTGTTTAAAAGAAAATGGTCATAAAAAAATACCCTACCCATCAAACCCTTCTGTTATCTGTATAACCTTAATTATTTGTCAAAGGGAACCCACACTCTTTGAAAAGTTACTTGGATGTCCCTAGAAATTTCCCTCATATTTAATTCATTGTTGGCCCAAAATGAAAACAACCAGAAAATTTTTGCGAAAAAAAAAATCCAAGGAAACGTGGACGTGCCTCTTGGCAGCTACCACGCCCACTTTCACCCAAAAGTGCTCCACTTTCTCAGGTTTTTTTCAGCTTCCAACGTTTTCCACAAGATTCCCGAGAAGGCATAAATCAAGTGACTTTTCCGCCTTGGTTCGCCTTGTTGTTTTTAGCTTGATTTTAATTTTTTTGTTAATTTGTATTATTATTATGGGGGATTTTTGTCAACATGAATTTTAAAATACATACTTGATTTCATTTTCATTTGATGATATACAAGTATCTATAAAAACACACGGATACATATTGGGGGATTGAGTAGTATCTGATGATTCGCTTACTTCCTTTTGGGCGGAATAAATTGCTCCTTCGCATTTATGGGACAATCCCCCAGATGATCAGACACAAGGTGCACCGGCACCATTGTAATGCAATGCAAATGCTATTGCTGTGGCAGACACAACGGGTTGCATAGTTTCCGGCAAGCAATTCCCCCGCAGCATTGTGCCTCCATTAATTCCAATTCCCGGAGAGGGTGCCGAAGCGTCCGCCAGACTGACTGTCTGTCCAGACAGACGGGGAGAGTTCAACGCACTGATGGAATTATCTGCCCGGGGCACTGGGGGCTTCAGCCATTGTCGAATGGCAATTGGCCATAACCAGACCAAGGAATCACAATCAGACAGAACTATTTGCTATTCCCCAGTCCCAGTTCTCAAAACATCCAGCACGCAGACAACCCGCTGACTAAGAAATGCTGACTCTTCTTTACATGGAAAGAAAATGTCATTTAATTTAAGGAGATTTTTCATTTATTTTAATATAAAATACGATCTTTAAAAATCTATAATTGCCTTTTTATTGCTTAAGTTTTTTCAATAATGAACATTGAATGTAAAGTTGATATTTATATTTTAAGTATTTTATAATTTCTTCTCTGCTTAAGTATTGTTTACATTTTTTGCGGTGTTTCCAACTTAATTTACCATTTCTGCAATGCACACACCTTTTTTTTACACAGTTTACAAGGAGAACTGCTGGACGGCGGGGCCTGGTAATTCCCATTTGGGGGACTCTGTGGGGGCTGGGTAAATAGGAATGGCCACAAAAAAAGGCCAACAAAAAAATAAAGAAATGTAAAGGTAAAACGCAACGCTACCACAGCCCATTTTCTTGTGTCTCTGTTGTTTATGGCCCGCTGCGGTGTTGGCCACTGTCAAGTGAACATCTTTGCAATACCCACACCCACATCTCTCACTCGGGATCCGGAGCACCTCAAGCTGACTGCTGCAGGAATGCTTTCAACTTTTCTTCGTATTTCGTTTTTTTTTTTGGTGAGGTGCCGTCTTGGTATTGGGATCAAGTCAATATTTGTCGAGAAAAATTACTTCCTGGCAAAAAAATTCAGGCTATGCTTAAGTACCCTCATACTTTTGGGTTACCCTCTTCTCCATTTTGGCATTCCTATTCTGTCTTAATTTAAAAATTAAAAATTTATACAAACATATCTTGACAGACTGCAGAAGAAAATGTTTTAATTAGCAAATGCTTTAAATGTTGTCATCTTTAAGACGGGAAAGTTTACTTTTTGAATTGGATGGATGTGCTTGTGTGTTTATTTAATAAACGTTTCAACTTTTTTTCCGTAAAAAGCGTCTCTTTGAAGGGTAAAACTTTCTCAAAAGTGTTGGTTTTCTTTTTTGATGATTTTTCAACGTTTGAAATACATTGTTCCTTGTTTCCGGAACTTCTGACACACAAATTCAACGAAATGAAAGTGGTTTTTAGGAAAGTTTCACTGCCTTTTGTAATAATTTGTTAAAATGTAATATTCAAAACGAATTACTCGCCCTGGCGGATGGATAGAGAGCTTTGCTTTCGGTCCGGCTTATCCAATTTCCCGGAGCACATGTCCGGTTGATGGAACTGCCGTTTCGTGCTCAATTCATCCCGACGCGGAATGAAATTTAACTGGAAACGACTATGGGAATGGAGGGTGTCCAGAGATTGGGCTGGGAATGGAGGCCACTTGTCAGTCGTGGGTGGGAGGCGGCAACTTTGTCGCAGGTTGTTTGTTTGCTTTTTGTCGTCGTCGTTGTCGTGTTGGCCCAAAAAAAGCGCCAAAAGCGTGTCAAGGGATCCACGGGCGGGCAACTGTCACCCGCTACTACATATGGTGACTTTAATGCGTAAAGTGAAGCTATGTCAACACGAATTCAAACACAAATTCGGGAAGTCAAGGACTCGAAAAAAAGTTCTTCGATTTATTCTGTTCGCTGCTGCAACTTAAATGAGGCAAAGCAAACAGCCATCCAGAGTGGGTTGTTTATCCAATTTATAACCAGATCAAGCGATCTCACTCTCTAGCCTTTTTTTTTCGTGTCATACAAACAACCTTCTCTACATTTGAACAGAATTTCATTTGCACAGCGGAGCAGAGCAATTTGCACTTGAATTTACGTATTTCGGATTGCGTAAAGATGTCAACGAATCCATTAGATACACGCTTTTAGCCCCGTTAACTGGAATATTCATATTCGGTCTTGAGCGCGTGGACATGCCGGAAACGTTTGTGCCCGGCTGACCTTTGATCCAATGATGATGGCCTAAAAGCCTGGCGGTCGATGCAATTACCGTTTTGGCCTCATGCTGGGCCTTTTTGTGTCCTGCATCTTGTGTCCTGCGTGCCCTGCATCCATTAACTCGCAAAAGTTTGTCAAAGGCCCTAACCAGGCATTAAACCACAATAATTAGCCACCTGGCTGGCTGGCTTTAAGTACTTTAATTACTTTAAATAACACTAATACTAGATTTTTACAAAGTACCCTTTATCCTTAAATATATTTTAAGTTAAAAAATTAGTTGAAACCATAACAAGTTTAGTAACCAAGCCCAAAGACAATTTTTTTGGGCATTACTCTTTCCGGGAATGATGGCATTTTGGGCGCCACTGCCACTTGCTCCTCCTGTGGAGTTATTAGTCCTGCCATTGTGACCATTGCAGAGGTTCTGCTTGCAGGATGTGTAGTAAGTGCGAATGGTGTCGTCTGGCCTATTTCCATGATTAATCTTCAAAAGACAACAATTAAAGTGTTTCGGAAAGAAGAACCCTCTATAAACTCACCAAAGGTTCGTCCTGGCAGTCCCTCAAAAATGATATCACTTTGCTGGCGTTGCGCTGAAATGCAAATGGCAAAAGGATTACTAATTTTCAAGGAACTGATTAATGGACAGCAGTATTTTGCCGCAAACCCCAAAACATTATTCATCACATTCAGACACTCGGGCTTATTTGCATTTCGTACGGTTAGTGTTGGCGAATCGAATTTGCATTTACCCTCGTTTTAGCCAAGAGGCAACGTAATTAATGTCCCCGATCCCCATCCAGTACCCCCCCTATTGCAGTATCTCCCCAAAGCAATCTATTGGCCCAAAGCTAATGCGTAAACAAAGTTCACACTAGGGACACATGGTGGATGGAAGTTGTGAGCCGGAATAGGAGAAACTTTTAATTGCATTGCAGTTCGCTTGGCAGGGCGAATAACATAAGTTTCTTTCAGCACTCAGAATAACGCATCGTCCTTTGGGCCTGGCCAAAGAGCCTGGCGTGTCTTTTTGATCCACCAAAATTCAATCAGCAAGTTCGGGCCATCTAATGAGGCACTTGCGAAATTTTCAAACCTCATCTGGTTATGTTAAAGTAAAAGCCAAGTGGTGGCGGAGAATCAGGCCTCGAAAGTTGACTTTTCCGAGGGGGATTGGACCATGGAGGACTTGGTTGTAAGCTGGCCTAAGCCTTCTAGCAGCTGGGGGGGAGGGAGGAACGGGAGCCTATCCTATCGCATCCCATCCTAAGTGGGTGTCGCTGTATGTGGTGCTCTTTATACGCCTTTCTGGCTTTCCATTAAATTATGGTAATGGATTTTTTATGCACTTTGTTTTCGCTTCTTTGGCTTATTTTACGCCCGCTGTCTGTCTGGGTTTTTTTTCCTTTGCCTTCTCCTGGCTCTTTTGATTTGAGCTGCTTACTGGTTACTGGTTAAAATTAAAGCCCCAAGAGCTCTCCAGTGCTATGAAAGCAATCAAGGTGTGCAGAGAAAGAAAAATAAATAAATAAACGTCTTGATGATTAATATCCATCGTTAAGGAAAAGTATCTTTTAAATGGTTATTAAATTAATAATTTAAAGGAATATTTTATAGAATATTTTCTTCATGTGTATTGCCCTGCCTTTTGCATTTGATTGCATTCCGAAAAAACGAAGAACCTTTAAGCCAGCATTGCTCATACGCCCCGTGGGTCAGTCGACAGTCCGCAGAAATTGTAGCCGCTGTTAGCTCTGAATTCAATTAGTCGAAGTAGAGTGCCGGCACGATTTAATGGCTTCTTTGTTCCTTTTTTTTTTTTGCCTCGTCTCGTCCTCTACGTGCGAGTCGCTAATTTCAGAAAAAGGGGCGAAACTTTCGCTGTGGCAACATTTAACCAAACAAAGTTGAGCGGTGCATAAAAATCAAGCATTCCATGTGTTACTTTGTTGCCGCAACAGCTGCGCTGCGGCAGCTTCCCCAGGACTGCCATATATCCTTAAACATATATGTATGTATAGCCAGCATACGTGAAGAGTTAAACGCTTTGCAGTTTTGGTCCTCAAGCACTGGGGAACATTTGTGGCACGTTCCACCGGCATTTTATGACTGTGTTGCCTGCCAGAAAGAAGTTGCTCTGCAAGCTACAGCAGGGAATATAATATTTGCAAAAAAATTCAGAGTTGTCATATGAGCTCTTGAAACTAAAAAATTTAAGCTGAGTGTCAAAGAAGCAAGTTTTGAGTTGACAAAAAATATATTTCATATTTTTAAGTTACCGTTTGAGATCAAACCTCTTACCTTCAGCTCTTTTCGCACCGTAAGGCAGTACTTCATGGTGCAGTTGAGCACTCTAACCGCACTGGCGTTATTCACACACGAGGCATCACTGTCCCCATCCATGTAGCTGCACACATAGCAGTCGAGAGCTGCAATATACACGAGAGATGTACGATATAAATTAGAAGATGTTAACGAGGTCATGACGTTGCCTTTCGGTTTCGTTTAGATACGTTTCGTTGTTTTCGAATTTAAATTTGATTTTGATGATCATCGTCATGATCGCGTTGTCGTTGTGCTTTTCTTAGAATTTATTAATAGCCGTGCTGTACCAGCAAGAACAACAAACATTTTAGCATCTATAAAAACACAATAATTAATTGAATTAAAGTGAGAATTTTGGCAGCAGACTTTCTGTCTATTTGCCAAGTGGCACGACAACGTCCTCGACATGTATCGCCCGGCTATATGTATAGTACAGAATAAGCTATATAAACGGGTGTATTCTATATTTGAATATAGCCTTTTGTGTAATAACAATGACGTCAATGGCCCCACTAGTGGCCACTATTTTGTGCGAGATGTGTAAACGGATTGATGACACGAGACTTTTCTGGTCTCTACGAGCCAAAAGGCATTGAGCGTTAGACCATCCTCGGGGGTCTTTCAAAGTCCTTCGATCGTGCTGTTCTACACTACGTGCATTCTATTTTTACTTAGAATTTGCATTATGGTTTCTGCATAAAACTTAAACGCCGACGATCAATCTTGGCACGCTTCGATACGATTCGCGGTATTTTGAGAAAGATACAAAATTATATTAACTCGGCGGGGGCCAGTCTGCTACCCGATTCGTCACAATGGGCAGACATCGGGGTATATTTCGAAAGATTTAACATTTACAGAATCTGAATAAATTTCAAATTAAATTAAATTAGTCATGTCCTGTGTGCTGTGCATTTAGAATAGGGAATAAAACTTTAAAAAATATAAATAATTTTTAAAAGTTCAGAACCCCAAACCAGAAGCTTGTAAATAAAATATGCAAGCGGAGGCACAACACTGCGTATACGTGATGAATTTTTAAGCCACATTGCAGACAATAAAACCACTTTAAATTTTATATTTGGCCCAAAAGCCAACTTGAAAAAAGGGAATGGAATGGAAACTTGTATCCTAAATTTAGCCCCAAAGGGGGTCCTTTTGTAATTTACATAAATGTACACTTCAATTCTCAGTATGGCCTAAGCCTGAGTATTTTGACCTCAATTCGCTGAAATGCTTTGGTACATTTTCATTTGGCATTAGCAGATGGAATGGCAATGGCGATGGCGAGATGGCTTTTAACGCCTCGCATCCCACTGTGACTGCAAGAATATGCCCCATTGTGGGGCACTCTTTGCAGATCTTTGAATAATGATTTGTATCATCTTTTGTGAGGCAATCAATAAATTTGAATGCGGTCACTGGCGAGTGACGTCGACAGCTGAACTCGGCACTGCCGACAGCCACCAAACAGCAGCCCACAAAATCAAATGAACCGAACTGAATATTGTAAGAATAGAACGGAAGGCAAAAGTTCTCTGAATCTCTATCTGAATCGCATGTCAAAAGAATGCGATGGCTGGGAGGGGGCACGAGTGCCAAGAACATTTTTAAATTCACCTGATTTTTCTTTCTCGCTAAATTTCCGCTGAGTTATGAGTCGTTTTGAGGACTAATTTCGCAATAAAACAGCTAATTTAGTTAAGCGGAAAATGGCCTGCTAAGCGAGACACTCGACTTTGATTTAGGGAAAAGGAAAAAATTTCGTAGACAAACCATTTGAGAGGGCCACTGACATTAAGGCGACACAGAGTCCTGTGGCGAAGAGTTCGGTTTTTGACAGCCCGCCTGGCACTTTCATGACACTGACTTCTATTGAGATTCCAATCCCAAATCGTTAGCCTGAAGGGCTGGCACTTGACTGACTCGACCCGATACCGATTCGCTGCGATTCGAGTAGAGTTTGATAGCTGTTGGTGTTGATTGATGTCTGACATTTTGGCAAACAGAGCACTCTCACCTTATCGCAACTAACATAAAATGTAACTCTATTTGAACTGTAATTAATGGTAAGCACACTCTGTGGTTTGTTATTATTGTTTACAGCCCGATCGCTATGTCCCCGGCTCCCCCATCTTCCGCGACGCCAGCAGCCCAACGCCCCACTCCGCCCTCGAGGGGCCTATAACATCGCCGCCCACCGCCTCCGCCTCGTCTGCCAACGTCTCCTCCCCAGGCTCCACAACATCGGGAGCAGGTCCTGGGACAGGTACAGGATTGTCCAGAAATCGAGGAGCCAGAGGTATGTATTATTTCAATTCATTTCAGCATTTAATTGAATTTATTCATTCAGAAAAAATATTAAACAGATTATTTTAAGTGGAGATTTTGCAATAAAGCACCTTGGCTTCTCTTGGGAAAATATTGGATAAAATTCTGGGAAATGGAGAAAAAATATGAGAATTTTAATCATAAGTAATCCTCTTACCTATCAGGACTGTAAAGGTTTCTAAATTAGAGAAATCAATTCATATTCCTTGAAATCTTTAATGATTTTTAAATGCACTTTCCAACTAGTACTAGCTTTTTCTTGGCGTGGAGCAAGATTTGTGGCCTGATAGTTGACACACTTTTCGCGACATTTGTGTAAATAATGTACAATGGAAACATGCAAATGGCCCTGCCCGTATAATTTCCGGGCCTGTCAAACTTTCTCGCGAATTCTGGGCCAAAGTCTTCGCCGGAGTCGAACGGAGACGACCCAGTTTAGTTGCGACTCGAGTTCCCTGACCTCCACACCAAATTCCACATATCCCTGCAGTGGCTATGTGGCAGCCTTATGGGGAATCTAGTTGAGTGGTTTTGGTTTCCACCAAAACAACAACAAGAAGCCACAGAACTGGAAGGGGTGATGGGGTAAAGGGGATATTCCGTTGTCCGCACAATTAATTGCGGAATGGAATTCGATTATTTGATGATTATTATCTCGACGCTGTTTGATTGTGTGCTTTGTTTTTCCACGAAAAGTTTGCCATGTTTACGTGCGAAAATCTCACTCCCACTCTAACCCAAGGGAAAGTCCCTCGATTGGGCGCACCACCGCCTTCCCGGGGAGACAGTCTGTCCCCCCCTGGGGAGGGAAAGTGAGTCACTTAATGGCGCAACATGTGAGACCGCGACACTGACGACCGCGGGTCGGGGTGCGAATAAGGGGCGCTTGTCACGCTATAGCTCATCGATTTTATTTGTTGATTTAAGAACCGAACGGCGCCACTGGGTGGCAGACCAAGAAGGGCTCAACAAAATATGTCCAAGGAGATGTAAGCTAAAGCCACAAAATACACGAATACTAATTAGGAAAGTTAGGGACATTTCCAGAATTTTAAATCATTATACACTAAGAAAAATAGTGTTTTAAAAAGAGCTTATATAAATTAAGCATAGGAAACATTGTTTATTCTTAGTGTAGACCCTTCCCGACCACAATATCCATTTGTTTCTCATTTCGAACCGCAATAGGAAACCGCAGGCTTGAAAGATGTGTCTCAGGAAGACAGTCAACCGCATTTGCTTTTGATTGTAACCACTAACTGTGCCATCTATCTCCTCTGTAACCCGCAGCCATGACGGCATCCTTGGCTCACGCTCCACAAGGTAACCACAACTCAAGCAGCAGCCACTCCACTTCCGCCAAGTCAAAGCCTCCTGCTGGCTACATGAGCACCCGCTCGGCAGCGATGATGGCTCTGGCTCTGGGCCAGTCCCCCAGCGACAAGTCGCCATCAGCCCCGCGAGCCAACTCTCCAGCCCCGCCGTCCAAGCCGCATGCCCAGATACAGCCACAGAGCCATAGCCAATCGCCTCGTCCCAGTGCCAGAAGGATCTCCAATGCCTCGCCTCCGGTAAACGCCTCCAGATCGAAGCCCTCAACGCCGACGGCCACCCGAGCAGCTGCCCAGTTAAACGGCAGCGGCATCTTCTCCGGCGGCAGCAACTCCAGCGGCTCGGACAACGATGGATTCAGTACGTCCGGGTCATCGGCGGCCACGGCTCTGCGAAGACTATACTTCAAGAGCGGGCGCAGCATCAAGAACAAGATCAACGCCTCCACTTCCTCAGGCACGCCCCTGAACGGTCTGCCCCTTAATCCGGTCTCCAGCGCCTATCACAACTCGGTGGGCGGACCCATGCATAATATGACCACGGCGGGTGGAGTGCCCAAGGTAAGTGCATTAAAATAATACGGAATATTCGTTTAAGCTTTAAAGTTGAATTTGTTCCACACAAATGCTTTTATGCTCTTTCCATCCCCGTTAGCTGGTGGTCATGGGCACCTCTTCGGCCTCCATTCCGGACACAACCATCAATACATCCACGGACTCGGCCTGCACGCTCATCACGAATGTGACCCACACGGACACGTCGGAGACGTGCGACTCCCTGGACCTGGGTAAGTGCGGGCATCCTGTGGTACTGGATCCTGATTGCTTGATTGATGTCCTCCCGCGGTCCTATTAATTAATCAACTAATCAATCTGGCCCGTTGCGCCGTCGCGCCTTCTGTTATTCTTTTCATTCCCGGTTGTCCTTTTAATTTTTCACGTATTTTGTTTTGTGTCCTTCGGCCTTTAGGCGACAACTCGGGTCCAAGCGAGCCGCTGTTCAGCTCCCTGGAGGAGCCCCTGCTCACCGCCGTCCACATCGATTCGGAGCACGAGGACAGGGCGACGGGCGTCAATGGACGTGGTGGAGGTGGTGCCACTGAGCTGGAACTAACGAGCTGCTCGAGGTATCCGCCCAGGCCGGACATGAATCTGCAGGACAGCACCGAGGTGAGTACGGAAATAAATTGCGGATTAAATCCTGTGCAGGTTGAACTCTGGCCACTTCCGGCCCTGAATCATGCGAAGGGCTACTCTCTGGATTTCTGAAGGGTGCCTTCGAGTATTTTATTGTTTTTTAAAGCCCGAAATATGGCTTTTTTCGTTTTCCTCGAAAATGTGGAAAATGGGTAACTAAGGGAAGCATTTATTGCTTTCTTTTATTAAACGGGAAACTATGGTACATATTAAGTGAAGTAAATATTTTACAATTTTCATTTTGTCAGAGGAAATTTCCTAAATTAAACACAAGTAGTAAGGACGCTTCTTCCTTTTAAGGATGATTAAATTTTCTTCCACTATTGTTGAGAATTTTATGAATAATGTTCCTTCATCAGAGTCCTAGTACTATTAGTACCAATAGTAATTAGCCATATGTTAACAAATACATCACACTCGACTTTTGCAGAGCCAGGAATCCTGTTTATCCATCCTGACCGGAGAACCCACTTCGACTACACCACTATTATCCTCGCAAAGGCGCCACCCAGCAGGCAGTCACTCGCCCGGAAGCCAACAGCGGGAAAGGCAACGGGAAAGAGAGCCCAGCACGGCACCTCCGCCAACCACCCGGGGGCGGGAGCACTTCACCTTTGACCCTCCGCAATCGCCCAAGTCGGCGCGCAGCAGCGAAAAGTCCGCCAGTCACTTCTCCTTCAAGAGCTATGCTAATGAAGGGGGTCCTGGCGCTGGAGCAGGACTAGGAGCAGTTACTGGGACAGGAGGGGGAGGAATTGGAGCCGGGGTTGGGGGTACCCCCAGCACAGTAGCCGCCAGCGAGGGCGACGAGGAGGATGACGAACGCAGCGGCGATAGCGTCGGCAATCGCAGCAAAAAGTTACGTCCACGGGATCGGGACCGGGACCCCAATCACATCTCGCCCAGTGTGTCGCCGTCGCACAGCCGTCGGGCTAGTCCCAAGCGGGAAAAGCGACGGACCACGCCCACCGCCTCCACGGGCGCCATAGCCAAGGTCAGTTCGGCGCCGCCCACCATGAAGGAGGGAAACTTCTTCGGCAGCTCCATGAAACAAAAGCAACGGCAGAGCAATCAAAATGTTCCACCCCACCAGCTGTCGCCGTCATCGACCTCGCAGCAGCAGCAGCGGAAGTACTCGTCCAGTTCCTCCAGCGGCAGCAGCGAAAGGTGCCTCAAGGAGGCCATCGGTCCCGGCACCATGTTCCCGTTCGATCGGGAAGCCCTGGATTACGAGCGGATCCAGAGGGAGTGCTTTGCACCCAGCTCCACCACCACGGCAAGCAACAGCAGTGACTCCGATGAGGCGGAGAACTGTTCGGTGTACGAGCGCAAGTCCGGGGCTGACATCTTCCAGCAGTATTCCCGACTCAGTCACCAGGAGCAGGCGCTGCAGCAGCACTATCAGGACCAGCAACGGGACTGGGAACGGGATCGTCCGCCATCGCGCAAAAACTCCAAACGCATCCGACCGGACTCTGTGATCCACACGACGATTCGGGAGAACCAGCAGTATGTGCCGCAGTCGGACGCCTTCTATCCCCAGGCCAAGTCCTCCTCCTCGCCCAGCGACCACTCCTACGCCGAGCTCAACAAGTTCGACGACATTGCCAGCAAGTTCGAGCAGATTCCTCCCAAGCACGGCTCTGGCTCTGCTTCCGGTTCGCGGTCGGGTTCCATGCTGAACCTGCATCACATGATGCCCAGTCCGGGCAGCGAATCCGCCGTAAGTCCCACGGATTCGGCCAGCAGACGTTCTTTTAAGAACAAGCAGCGCAACAAGGAGGAGCACTTCTACATCCAAACGGAGGATCGTACTGGTGGCAGTGGACCAATTAATGTGACTCCCAATCCCCTCGAAGCAGCCGCTGTTTGCAAACAGCCACGAGCTACTATTGTAGTCCAGCAAGTAAGTACAGGCATTAAATCTGCATTAAAATCTAGAAACAAAATATTTTTTAGATATTTTGTCAAATTTTCTGGGCCATCCCCTTTAAAATATGGGAAATGCATGGGGAGCCCTATATAACCCACTGCGAAGGCCATACCTTGGCCAATATTTATCAGATTCTTGAGCGGAGTACCTTAAACGATTTGTGGATCGATTCTCCACCAATCTGCATTAAAATCTAGAAACAAAATATTTTGTAGATATTTTGTCAAATTTTCTGGGCCATCCCCTTTAAAATATGGGAAATGCATGGGGAGCCCTATGTAACCCCCTTCGAAGGCCATATCTTGGCCAATATTTATCAGATTCTTGAGCGGAGTACCTTAAACGATATGTGGATCGATTCTCCACCAATCTGCATTAAAATCTAGAAATAAAATATTTTTTAGATATTTTGTCAAATTTTCTGGGCCATCCCCTTTAAAATATGGGAAATGCATGGGGAGCCCTATGTAACCCCCTTCGAAGGCCATATCTTGGCCAATATTTATCAGATTCTTGAGCGGAGTACCTTAAACGATATGTGGATCGATTCTCCACCAATCTGCATTAAAATCTAGAAACAAAATATTTTTTAGATATTTTGTCAAATTTTCTGGGCCATCCCCTTTAAAATATGGGAAATGCATGGGGAGCCCTATATGACTTACTGCGAAGGCCATATCTTGGCCAATATTTATCAGATTCTTGAGCGGAGTACCTTAAACGATTTGTGGATCGATTCTCCACCAATCTGCATTAAAATCTAGAAACAAAATATTTTTTAGATATTTTGTCAAATTTTCGGGGCCATCCCCTTTAAAATATAGGAAATGCATGGGGAGCCCTATATAACCCACTGCGAAGGCCATATCTTGGCCAATATTTATCAGATTCTTGAGCGGAGTACCTTAAACGATTTGTGGATCGATTCTCCACCAATCTGCATTAAAATCTAGAAAAAAAATATTTTTTAGATATTTTGTCAAATTTTCTGGGCCATCCCCTTTAAAATATGGGAAATGCATGGGAAGCCCTATATGACTTACTGCGAAGGCCATATCTTGGCCAATATTTATCAGATTCTTGAGTGGAGTACCTTAAACGATTTGTGGATCGATTCTCCACCAATCTGCATTAAAATCTAGAAACAAAATATTTTTTAGATATTTTGTCAAATTTTCGGGGCCATCCCCTTTAAAATATGGGAAATGCATGGGGAGCCCTATATGACTTACTGCGAAGGCCATATCTTGGCCAATATTTATCAGATTCTTGAGCGGAGTACCTTAAACGATTTGTGGATCGATTCTCCACCAATCTGCATTAAAATCTAGAAACAAAATATTTTTTAGATATTTTGTCAAATTTTCGGGGCCATCCCCTTTAAAATATGGGAAATGCATGGGAAGCCCTATATGACTTACTGCGAAGCCCATATTTTGGCCAATATTTATCAGATTCTTGAGCGGAGTACCTTAAACGATTTGTGGATCGATTCTCCACCAATCTGCATTAAAATCTAGAAAAAAAATATTTTTTAGATATTTTGTCAAATTTTCTGGGCTATCCCCTTTAAAATATGGGAAATGCATGGGGAGCCCTATATGACTTACTCCGAAGCCCATATTTTGGCCAATATTTATCAGATTCTTGAGCGGAGTACCTTAAACGATTTGTGGATCGATTCTCCACCAATCTGCATTAAAATCTAGAAAAAAAATATTTTTTAGATATTTTGTCAAATTTTCTGGGCTATCCCCTTTAAAATATGGGAAATGCATGGGGAGCCCTATATGACTTACTCCGAAGCCCATATTTTGGCCAATATTTATCAGATTCTTGAGCGGAGTACCTTAAACGATTTGTGGATCGATTCTCCACCAATCTGCATTAAAATCTAGAAACAAAATATTTTTTAGATATTTTGTCAAATTTTCGGGGCCATCCCCTTTAAAATATGGGAAATGCATGGGAAGCCCTATATGACTTACTGCGAAGCCCATATTTTGGCCAATATTTATCAGATTCTTGAGCGGAGTACCTTAAACGATTTGTGGATCGATTCTCCACCAATCTGCATTAAAATCTAGAAAAAAAATATTTTTTAGATATTTTGTCAAATTTTCTGGGTGTGGGCTGGTTTTTAAAATGTGTTAAAAGACCATATCTTGACCAATATGGACTTTGATGGACTTTGACCAACGCTAAGTTCTCGTGAAAGAGGTATAATAGCATAATAAGCGCCTATAGGAATACGTGTCACACTGATTAATTAATTTTCCCAGAAACTGTCATTACACATCTTTGATAAAGAGATATTACTAATTTATGGGCAGCATCTATTGATAATTTCTTCCGATATTCACGCCTATATCCACGTATAGTCATATAAAAGGAAGCTCTCTTTGTCCACCACTCGGTAGTAGCGCTCCTTATCGTCCAGCAGATATTATCCGCTTTGTTTGCGCTCTTCGCTCTCGTTCCAACTCTCGGATTCTATATCTGATTCGCACTCTCATCGGCCGATGTTCACAGCTAATAAAAAGAGGCACGGATCCGGCGATCTCCTCAGTTTTTCCGAGCATCTCGAAAGCAAAGCAACGCAATCACAGAACTTTAAACGCGCGTAGACTCTAGTCAGCGTCGAAACAAACAATCAAGTCATCAGAAATAGACAAGAAAAAAATATATAAAAAATTTAATTACATGATAAAATTTGTGATAGTGTGTAGTCGCTATGTAAACTCAATAGCTTTGGAACAAACAGTAATAAAACCAGACAATTACAAGTGAATCCCTGAAAATTGACAGTTCACAGCCAGTTCGAGGTCCTACAGTTCGAGTACATAAAATATAGATACTGTGACGCAGTAAATCATGGCGCCCTTCTACAAACGCATCTGCCGCAGTCTCTCCAAGCGGTACAAGGAGGTAACTATTAGTCACTTTATCACAAAATCCCTGACGGGCCCGCTTGATTGATTTTGCTAATGAGCCAAACAACTAGTCGGTGTGTAGGGGGGCTCCAGGATATGAAGCGGCGATAAGATAGCGCCAGTTAATGCCTTGATCCGTCGAACAACCAACATGCGAGATTTATCGACTCCCGATGACGTCAATTTGCCCATAAATTGCTACTCCACTCCGCTCCGCTTTGCTTGGGGTTCGGGACGAGATCGGAATTTGGCAAAATTGTTATCGGAGACCACTCCTCCTGGCCGCTCTTATCGCTTGGCCCACAAACGCAGCTCCAGTGAATGACCCTGTGACCCACACAACACACACAATGAATTTTTTGTCGTAAATAATTAAAATGTTGCAACTGACAGGGAAAATATGAGGGCGTAGTATTGCACACTGAAGGGGGTTGGCATATTCTTTATAATTCCGTTCATCTCGGCGGGAAGATGACAGCTGTCAAAATAAACTACCAACAACATGATGAGGGGGACCCAGTTGCCCAGTTTTGTTTTTTTTTTATAAGCAGTCCAAGCAGGTTGTTTTCGCCTTATTTATTTACTTGTTCAATGCGGATCATAAAAACATAAAAGCAAAGGCCTCTGCTTCGACTATAGGATGGGGAACTTGTCATAGACCCAGACACAGATACAGATACTGGCACAGACTGAGATAAAGATACATATAAAGATATAGATACAGTTATAAATGTTCGAGTTTATTTAACGATTTCATTGTAATCGGCAGTGAGTTAGCATTTCATTCTCCGAACTTTTCTTCATGATGCATAAAGACCTAGCTATATGTACATAGCTATATAGAAGGCACTTCCTGGTCTGATAGAAGGGGAAACAAAGTATAATGTTTGGAAGACAATTAAGGTTGTGGGCCAAACAGAAACTACACGTCCGGCATGGAGATTTTCTCGAAGGAACCACCGCACTTTCAGACGCTTTGAGGGTGTAAGGTGTAATTGTTTTTCGCGCAGATCGATTGGGCCATAAGTTTTGGCGAGCATGTGCTGGCATCGAGACGTATAAATCTACATAAATTGCAAGCGTCCCCGGCGATACCTGGCCATTTATCTAGCAGATACCTTGCCCCCACCTTGCCTCGTTCCTTGGCGAATTATTAGCAGGCACGCACTTCGTTGCCAGTGCGAGTGCAGCCTTGTAGTTGCCGCCTGCCCACTGGATGGAGGCGTGTGGGTCAATCGTTTGGAGGTTACTCCTAATCCCCTCCATCCCCCTATCACTTTTTCCACCTTCAAAGTAAACATCGAATGAAACGCAAACATGTTTCCAGTTTACCCCATTGTCGGTGTGTTGTTTCCTATTGATTTTGCATTGAGTGCTCAGGACGGAGGACCGGAGAATGAGGCGGGGGGCTTGTGAATCGTGTAAAAAGCGTTTCCTTTGATTGCAGGCCAGTGTGTGGGAGAATGCATTCGCCTTGGCTGCCATAAACTGTGGCTAAACACGCTTAAGGTCCATCCGGCACACAGTCTGTGTCCTTGCCTGTTTCCCAGCCTCGAACAAGTAAGAAACTTGTGTGGAGAATCGGTTCTGATTTAATCACTAATTACGGCAATCATAAAGAGGGATTGAATGAAAAATCGGCTAATTACGAAAAACTAAACACACTAATCGGCCATTATCCGAACAAGCCTCAGCCTTCAGAGGTCAGTTTGGCAGCAAACATTTCTTCTGGCACTTTCACTTTGGCGCCGCGGTCATTCACTCGATTAGTTGGCGTGGAAACGGCCAGAATTTGCCGATCATTGATAAATGATAAATGGCCAAAACGGTTATTGACTCGGCTAAGCGGGCAGCCGCAATTGCCAGGGCCACTTGCCCACCAGAGGGACTTGCCAACATGGCTAATTATAACGCTAAATATTCGCCCGAGTTCAGGGGCTCGATTAACATAGGTTCACCTCAACCTTAGCCGAGACACCACTTGCCTGAGAACAATTACCCGACATGAACTTTCCTCCCAGCTGGACGCTACACTGGCGTATACTTGATAATTGCCAACGGGTCGGCTACTTAATTCGGCCACCTGACACCCCCAACAACCATTCCGATTCGGCAAATATCCCGCAGCTTTTTTTGGGGCCAGTGGGTCTCTGGTGTCTTCGGCTCGAGGCCAATTGCCTTATAAAGTCAAAGTGACATTAATTAGTTGATTTATTAACTGCCACCGCACCTGGCGCCCTCAACGTTCCCCTTACATTTCCTGCAATTTCATTGCGACTGCGAATTCATTGACCCCATTTACTTTGGCGAAGGCTGCTATTGCTGGTGCGCTGGCGGCTTCTGCATTTGCTGCTTCTGCATCTATAGATGCATCTGAATCGGATTCAGAATCTCTGCAGTTGCCATAAATAAACCTTTGCTATAAATAAACATACAAGGCGAAAATCTACATATTCTGCTCTTGTTATTGTGCATATGCCAGACATACCAAAAATAATCATTCACGGAAACACTTCCAAGCAGCGTGAATAGTTTGTTGCAGCCTTCGGGTTATTTACCTGGACATGGAAGATGTTGCACTTTGCACTTTTTGCCCATCCGTTGGATGCGTGAACACTATTCGACTGAAAATCCCCTAACGAGGAAAAATTGCCTTGTATGTTTCATTTTGGTTCGCAGAAGGGAAGTCCATCATTCCCGAAAACATCATTATTTGTGCGGTTTGGCTGGGGCCTGGGCTTCGGGGGAGCTAGTGAATTATTGTGCTTGGAATAACACAATTTAAACCGAAAGTGCCTTCAGGCTGTGGCGGGCCCCCCCCACAGGTTAGCAAGTATGCTTTATTATAAATATGTATTTTATTTTTAATATTCGTGCGGCATGAAAATAGCCAGAAAACCCATACCCGAACTGCTCTCTCTAGCGCTTTAGCCGGATTTCACAGGCGATTGAACACAGAACCGTGGCAGCAGACCCTGGCTACAAAAAAAATATGAAACAAAAACATGAAAAGTGATTTGCATGCATGGCGCTCCCTACACACATCCATTCAATGGCATATTTACCAAACTAAGTGTATTTTTAAGCGGCGGGTTGCCGTCGGTGGAAAATAGCTTTTTTTCGCCAAATCGATTGGGTGTGAAATGAGACCTGGCAGCTCCTGTAATATCAATTATAATTTATGCAGACATTCCGCATAGCTGAGATTGAGGGAGCACCACCCAGCTAGAGGATGGGTTTGCATTTAATGCGATTACGAACGATTCAATTTGCAGTTTGCATTCCACATAAACAAAACAGCATTTAATTGCATTCCAATTGGAGGCATCTCTGCAGCAAACAATTGTTTCTGCTTTTCACCTGTTTGGATTAAAATCGACTGGCGAGGCTGGTATGGTCTGGTTCTGCCACATCCGTGTCCTTCGGCACGTAGGCCAGGCCTTTGACAATCGAATTTCTCGAATTCTTTCATTCTGGATAGATTTTTGATCACTTTCACTCGATTTGGATTGGATGGGGCGATGGCTAACAAATTATTCGGAATCTGGATAGGGATCGGGATGAGGGTGCTTAACATTTTCCTAACACCTCTAGTCGGTTTGCTTTTTAATGGCCAATCCAGTGCGTCCGAATACACAAAAGTGCTGCGTAGTTTTCCCAGCTGGACGACGAGTGTTCCCCAAAAAAAAGAGTACAAAAAAATGCTAGCTTGGACTAAGGGATACCCAGTTGGATGACAACAAACGGCTTAAAGTTTGGCTTAAACCCAGCATTCGAGTGAAAGATTAAAGCGAGCATTGGAAGAATATATGTATTTTTTACATTCTTATTCCCAATTACCAGACAACGTTCATGGCTAAGTGCTACCCTAAGAGTTGTGCTGTTTATCCAAATGGCGTTTTTTTTATGGGATCCCGGGTGTGTGGCAACTTGTTTCTTCCACTGCAATCTGCTGCTAAAAATAATCGACAAAAAATATATAAAAAACTGAGAAGAAAAAAAAAACAAGTTTCGACGCACTCAGCGATGCAAGGAAAACTATTTTCGGCGTTTGTGTAATGGGGAAAATGGGAAATGGCAGCCAACACGAAAAAGAGCAGCGTCACAGCAGCATGTCCAAAGCAATATTACTCATACGCCGCGTGTAACGCGTCACTGGCGTGGACCCAGCGCCATGGCTGTTTGCGGGGGTAACTTTTCTCGCGACTTTCGTCATCAGTGAAAGTGTCACAGATTCCCTTCAGCATTTGGCGCCGCTCCCGCCGAATTTGTCCCCTGGGTCGGGTTTCGCCAAAAGTTTCCCTCTGTTGGCCACTTGAAGTATTTAATGCGACCGCGTGTGTGGGCTGTCGATTCGACTGAGCAGAAGAATGGATGGAATGGCTTGAAAGTGAGCACAGTGATATCATTAAAATCCCCCAGCCACACACACACACTAGACCCACCATTATTAATTGGCTTTTTGTGCGAAATGCAGGCAAAGTTTTTCCTTTTGGACCGTTTTCCGTTTCATTGTCAAGCCTGCCAATAAAATACACAAATTAATTTCGCCAGTTGCTGAATAAATAAATGTCTGCGCCAGGGTGGGCGGTGTACAGGTAGACTTTTCCCGAGTGTTTTGGTAATTTATGGCAGGTATTTTTTCCCAGCATAAGTTCTTGATAATTCAACCTAGCTGGCTGGTTTTTATTTGTGTTCTTTTTTTTGCCCGCAGACCGACAAATTTAAAGCTGAAGTTGGCAAATGTATATGATAGCTCTAATAGTAGACAAATTAGCCAGTAGCAGGCCTCCATTAGAGGCCATTACTAGACCTCATTAGATCTACCATACCGAGGGCAACAAAGAAAACAGAAATGAAACTTTTGTGATAAAATACCTGAACACGAATTGCGATGAAAAAGTGTATTCGAATTTGCAACTGCAGACACGCAATGCGAGGGCTTAAGGCTTCTGCCAACAGCCCGAACACCTGTTCAAGGTGTGCAGATAAAGCAAAAACTTTGCAAGCTGAAGTGAAAGCCCTTGGGGAAACAAGAACGAATCCTTGGGGCTCAAGTGCTGCAAGCACTATTTGTGCCACAATTTCATAAGCCCATCAAGAACGAGGCAATGAATGAAATCATCGGGCCATGAGTACTTTCTTCGACTTTTTTCCACTTGACCATCATCAATCCTGGTTCTTACTTTCTCTATTTTTTTTCTATAATTTTTTAAATAGCCATCTCTGAGTCTGGACAACACGGTGGAGACGCTGCTGATCAAGAACGAGGGCGACTTCATCAGCGTGGAGCAGGGCAAGGAACTGGTGGCCAGAAAACGGAACTCTCAGCAACTTTCACATCCGCCGTCCCATCTGCATCACCTTCCGCACCACGGCCACAACCAGTATCAGCATCCGCACCATCAGCAGCAGCACAAGCGGGACGAGAACATGCGCCAGCTGCTGGATGTAACCAACACGCTCACCATCGAGGAGCTGCGGGACTTTGAGATGCGGTAAGTCCCAGGTCCAGTCCCCTTATGCTCTTTGATGGATTACACTTTATGGCCGGGCCTTAGATTTAATTTCCGATTGAATGCCAATCGATTTTCGAGGCTCTCGTAAAAATTCTCCCTCTCGGACCAATGCAATCACAATTTAAATGGCCACTGGCCAACCGGGCTAACAAAAAAAAAGATCAAAAGGGAATGGTCGTACCACGTTTATGACCTTCACCTGCCAGCAGTGTTTGCATTGCAACAAGCTCGCAACGATGATGGGTCATAACTTTTCAAATTACTCATACGACCTGTTGCCAGTTGCCATTTACGAACATATATGGTATATATGTATAGGTATTTGTTTGTCTGCATTTCGTTATTTAGTTTTCCGTGCCATCCCGTCGCAACGAAAGAAAAATATTTGTACGAAAACAAACAATTTTGACTTGCACGTGGCCGCCGATTCTGAACTTGATTGTCATTTTGGAAAAATATTTTAAAATATATCCAACGAAATGCAGTGCCAATGAATTAATTTCCGTCAGTTCTATGGAATTTTACACCCGACTGCTTCACTAATTGGGCATTTTAATTATCAATATTTTCATTTTGGCTTTCGTGTGGCTTTCACCATGCCAAGGACACTTGTCCTTGGCCGCCCACATACTCTTTTGGCATTCACTGTTGCCGGGCCGGGTACTGGCAGGTGCAACAGAAGGCAAAAATTGTTTGGCTGGTGCTTCCAGAGACGTCTAGATCTCCATTAAACCGCTGTCATCTGCAGTTGTGTTGCATTTGCTCAAACAATAGTTGGGAGAAGCACAAAGGATTCAAATTTCTCCTCACTACTAACGATGTCGTTTTGATATTTTCTTTCATTTCAGTTACGGCTCACCCCATCACAGCCGCTCCCAGTCGGTGAAGATGCCCGGAAGCAGAGCTTCTGGAAGACCGAATCAGTTGTGCCTGCCCCAACAGAGATCCAGGTATGTTGTCCACCCAGCGAAAAACTCATTAAGGAGTTGGTAGTAATGAGGATGTAACCCAAACCCAAACAGAGTGGCATCCATGCCGAACACCGGAGTGGAGGAGGAGTACTACAGGCTGAGGCACTTTTCGATCACCGGCAAGGGCGTGGTCAATCGCGGCGACTCACTAAAGAGCCGTCGCAGTCGTTCCAACAACAGCGTGGCCAGTTCGAATTCCAGCACCGAGCACCTGACCGCCCAGCAACAGCTATCCGCCCCCACATCCACCTCCGCACGTACTTCGCTGGCATCCAGCCGGGAAAGCAGCACCTCGAATCCGGGCAATGGACCATACAGGTGAGCAATGGGTACAGAGGAAAAATTTGGGAATGTTTTTCAATTGCATTTCCCATCTGGAAATACTTTATGGAATATTTCCCCGATCCATAAACTTGTTGACAAAAAAGTATCCACGTTTTAATGGCATTCCTTCCATAATTACTAGAAATTTTTGAAATATTTTCCAAATATTTACGATATCTGGCGTTTTAGACAATTAAATAAGCCACACGACAGTAATATTTTCTTTTTGCGATATCAGATTTTATTTTATCAGTTTGTTTCTTTATTTATGTAATTTTTTTGCCAACCATAAAGTTGTGTGTTTTGGTTTATCTTTACGACCCAAAAATATGGAAAACAGTCTAATGAAAATCCAATAAAATATTGTTTATTGTTGGGATGACTTTGCAAAATACTTTGCTGCAAGTAAACACAGAGTTTCTAATTGACTTTTGTACGCTTTCTTATGACAATATTTCAGGGTCCTGATGCTGGGCGGCCCGGCGGTGGGAAAGAGTTCCCTGGTGTCGCAGTTTATGACATCGGAGTACCTGCATGCTTATGACACGAGCATTGGTAAGTGGATGTTAAGCCTTCTTGAAGATGCCTGCCAGTCCTCCCCAACCCATCTAATGCCACCTCAATCCACCCAACCCAAAGTGCACTGCATAGTATATCCTTGGATATAACCCGAGTCTATTTGTCTGTTTGTTTGAGAGCGAGTGCTTTGATTTATTTTTTGATTTTATTTCATAACTCATTTGTTGTCACCGACGACCCACCCTGCTCGTTGTTGTTGTTTCAGCCAGTCAGTGTTGTGTTGCATTGTGTTGTTGCCTTATTTGGTAACTTTTCAGTTGTCTGTTTGATATTAGTTTGATTCCGTTTCAGTGTCCTGTGTTTACACTCCGTTTTCCGTGCTCGTATATCAAATGGCTTTTCATAATTCCGAATCCGGAAAGTTTTTCTATTTTTTTTATTTTGTTGAGTTCAGAGTTTTCAGTGTTTTAGTCTCTGTTTGGTTTGATTTTTATTTATTATTTTTTTTGTTTCTGCCTTTGGGCGTTTTATGAGTGTTCCGTCGAGCTATTGCCACCCCCCAATGGGTCAACACAGATATTGGCATAAAAGCATAACAAACGCTCGCTACTGATGCTGCTGCTGTTTCTGCAATGAAAATAAATTCGCCTCATTTTGGGATTTTTGCGAATCGTATAAAGGAGTGGAATTGGCCAAGGAAAAATTGTATCATTCCCAGGCCGGGAAGTGAATGAAAAGATTCGAGTAAACAATCATATATACGAGTGGAAGACCCAATTAAAATAAGAGCAAAGCACTAAAAGAGCTTGATGTGGAAAACCCCATTGTACTCTGTCCAATTCCATGCTCCTTAGATCAAAATTTTAACCAAAGTAGCCAGCCATTAAAGTCCTCGTGTAAATGCTTTTCCAAACTCGATATACACAATCTCATACAGTATACCCGCTATTGCCTCATACTATCTTTTATAAAGAAATGATAATTTGTTCTGTTTCTCTCCATTCCGAATATCAACCAATCATATTCAACTCAAAATGTATCAATCTAACCCTACAAAACTCGATCTAAAAAACAACAACTACAACAAAAAACCAACAACCGATATGACAACAACATCTTTGTATATAAAATTGTATTCTGAAACCGAATCAGATCTAGGCAACTGTGATATACGCATACTAATTGAAAAAGCCGCCGACGGTAAAATAACAAAGCCACTGAACAATAATAATAATAATAATCTTTTAATTATGCTACTATTTAATATTTAATCCAACTATCTTAATACATACAATTGAAACGCTTTTCAACTCTCCAAAACAAAACAAACTTAACCAAAAGCTAGATAAACACATTACCAACTAATGCATTTGCCTTACGAATCCCCAATTGAGTTCTATTAACTTACTTTTATTAGACCAACTCCTCCCTCAGAGTTACCAAAACAAAAAACGAACCAAATAATCAAAAAAAAACCCAACACACCTGCCCACTATCCACGCCCCGGAAATTGGAGCACACCAGACACACAACCTACTCACCCGCCCACAACACACCATATCTATAGCTATATAGAGTATATGCCATATAGAGTAGACCTTTCCAATCGATTGTCAAACGATTGCGGCCTTTGTTTCGCTTGTGATTTATGGGCAGTTGGCCAGCCTTGAGGATTGCCTTGCCACGATATTGAAATGATTATGCACATCACAAACATTGCGAATGAAATTTAATTAATGATTTGGTCAAAGGGGGCAGCCACGCCACCCACAGTAGGTGGGGTTGCATTTATTGATTGCCATTGAGGACGATGGACAAATAATGTTGTCTCATAAATAAATGCCACATAGAGAGCTTCCATGGAGTATGTTTTTAATTAAAAAAGGGAAAAAATTAAATGAATAATAATTGAGAAAGCACTCACTCACCAACTAACACAAACAATAACAAGTCACACAAAAGCACCGGCAACTTAACCCCGCCTCCATTCATGTTGCACATTACATTGCATATTCGTTGCGGCAAACTATTGTATATTCTCCATGAATTAGCATACATTTGGGGGCAACACTTCCGGGGTGCCTCCGGGCTTTGTACACTCATTTAACTTGGCTAATGGGATATTCAAATTGTGGCATGTAAATTCCTCTCCCTCTCTGACACTTGTAAATAATCCAAACCACTCCAAGACTGTGCACATTCTCCTTGTTATTGCACTGCACTGCCGAAATTCTTGTTGTAAATCATTTCCATTGCTTGACATTTAAGTTGGCAACTTGATCGATCTATTCAAACTATTATTGCATTTCGATGTTATACAATGTACTGACTTGATATATTTTCTGACTGTGTACAGATGATGAGTCCGGCGAGAAGGCCGTTTCAGTATTACTCAGTGGCGAGGAGTCCGAGCTGATATTCATCGACCATGGATACACCGAAATGACGGTAAGTGTCACTCAACAAACCCAAAACCATTCAGACCCCAACATAATGAAGCAGTTAAGGTCAAAATAATAGTGATTTTAGAGTTTAATTAGTGAAAGTTTCATTTTCCAAAGTCCATTTATTGGCTAGTATTATAAAAGATTTCCTAAAAGGTTCTGGTAATTGATTTTTCATGGTGTCCTTTGGCAACCACTCTCCTATTATTTTGACCATCAACTGTGCAAGTAAATGCTCATCGGTGCCATGTACTGCACTCTGCCACATTTCATAATGCCATTAGCATGCACAGCCATCAACTAACCCACACAAAGACACCCCAAACACCATCACTGACACAAACGCAGATACAGCTCTCAACCTCACTCAATGTCACCTCGGTGTCACCTCCATTCACAGCCCGATGAGTGCCTGACCAACTACGATCCGCACGGATACTGCGTCATCTATTCGGCGGCGGACAGGAGCAGCTTCAGCGTGGCGGAGCAGGTACTGCAGGTGCTCTGGACCAATCAGAACATCGCCCAGAAGGCGGTCATCCTGGTATCCAACAAAGCGGACCTGGCCAGGAGTCGCCTGGTCACCTCTGAAGGTAAATGACACCGTTGCACACAATCGCTGCTCCTCATTTCATTAACACTGAAGAGTGCGCTCGGATGGGTTTCGTTTAAAATAGATATCGATATAGTTGTGGCTGGGTGTGTGCCACTGGGTGGGTGTGTGTCTGTTTGTGGAAAGGACACAGCTGAAAAGTTTGCCCAAGCGGAAGTCATCCGGCGGTTGGCCTACTCAAACACAAACACAAACATAAAGAGAGATACCCCACAAAACGAGGGACAGAGATTTGTAAGGGAAAGTGGAGTGGCTGTGCTGGGGTGCTGGGGACGTCCGCTGGGGATGCCACATTTTCCACAATTGAAGGTCGCCAATTTCGGGGGTCTTTTTGTCGTCTGCTCAAGTACTTTCACTTGACTTTTATATCGGATTCCCTTTAAGACGAAGGTAAAGCGGTTGCTTTCATCTAAGTAATTCAATATTTTCCGTTAAATTACGTTTGCTATTATGAAAGTGGTTGGGGACTGAGAGTGGGTTGGCATGGGTCAGGTGGAGGTAGAGATGGAATGGTTCCAAAGCTTTTCCGCCAATGTAATGGCAGGGAAATTGTTTCAGCGCAAAATTGATTACATTTCGTCCCGTGTGGCATGTGTTCCGTTTCAGCAACGGTTTAAGGCCCATAAGCCTATTGTTGCAAACAAGGCGATGCCACATGCCACCTCCAGACCGTTCCACCCACCAATACCCAACAGTCATCCCCTCCACTTATAAGCTACAATTTTGGGTGGAGCTGGGCTGGCTTTCAGTTCCTGTCCACCTAATGCGGCGCCTTAATTTCATAAAGTATTTATAGAATTTTTTATGCCTCCGGCAATAATAAAATGCGCGCTTAGCCCAGAAATGTCTGGATAAAAGATATTTTCATAAATCTATACAATGTCACAGCGATTGGATATAATATGTGTGTGCATTGAAAGAAAAAAAATCGATCTGTCTAATATACATTTGATATGGTATATAATATTTGCTTGGCACTCCACTAACTTTACAAACATTTTGACAGGCTTTTAATTTTTAATGCTCTTCCACTCGGTTTCCACTTTTGCCTCTTTAACTTTTTTGAATATTTTAGTGTTTTCTAATTATTCAATACTGATGCTGGGCACTTTTGTTTACTTTTAATTACAAAACCCCAACCTAAATCCAGCCAAAAGTCAGAGGGATAAGAGCTTAGGCTTTTAAAGCTTAGCAAAAGGTCCGACCTACTATTAAACTGTAATAAAACGACCCAAATATAAGTATATAGGTTTTAGGGCATTGGTCAACTTTCGTCACATTGTTAATAAAAATGTGAGCTTGTCATAAAATTTTCAGCAGGCCATGTACATACATATGTATGTACCTTGGCATCCAGCGAACTTTGATGCTTCAGATTTTACGAGTTGTGTACACAACTGTGCACCAGACGTGACTGACGGTCGGACGGGAAGCCCCATCACTGCCCCCAACGTGTTTAGATACAAATCCGAGTCCAAGTTGAGGTTTTATGGCCAACTCAGAGTTAACTAAGCGAAGCCATTTGATTTGATTAACTGGGTGATGGGTGGCCAAGTGAGCTCGACGACGGGAACGACGACGGGAACGACGACGACGGTGATGCCGTTGCCCATAATTTCCACACATTTTCACTTAACCACTCACTCATTTCTTCTCGTCACCTTTTCCAGAGGGCAAGGCCATGGCCACCGCCTACGATTGTAAATTCATCGAAACCTCGGTGGGCATCAATCACAACGTGGACGAGCTTCTGGTGGGTCTGCTATCTCAGATACGGCTCAAGCTGGAGAATCCTGAAAAGTCCAGGTGAGTTTTGTTGGTTTTCTTTAAATAGGAATCTTTAAAGTCCAGCAAAAGCCAGCACTTCTGGTAGTTTATCTTTATGACTTATTACTCACCTGGTTGTGTTGTGTTTCCTTCCTCCAGGGATCTGTTCCGGAAGCGTTCGATTAGAAAGTCAAAGCGCCGGGCTTGTTCGCCACTGAATGCCGGCTGCTTGAATGCCAACACCCCGCTGGGTCCTTTGGGGGAGGCGGTGGGCACGCCCCCAGGCAGTGCGCAAAGCAGGTGAGTCACGGCCTCTGACAGCTTATCAAAAACAGCCTGTAATTTTTTATTTCGCATTTTTTCACAGCCCCCGCAAATATCGTGGCTCACGAACCTCCACTAGTCTGAAGGTGAAGGGTCTGCTGGGACGCGTCTGGACGCGGGATTCCAAGTCGAAGAGTTGCGAGAATCTGCATGTGCTCTAAAATCGGAACAAAAAACAAGAAATACAAACCAGAATCCGCCACCCACAACATATATATTTCCTATAGAGTACGCCAGATCCTAGACCTAAGTTATAAAACAGACTCGACACTTACCGGGGGTATTTCATTCCCAAGAACTGTATATATTGTGTATAATTTTAGTTTTAGTTTACGCTAGTCATTTGCCCTATTTATCGCTGTATATAGTTTGTCTAAATATAAAACTATTATTTATAATTCGTTTCTTATCGTTTTCGTTTTATTTTACCTTTAAGCATGAGTTGGGATTCTTTTTCGGGACACCATTTACCCCCATTTCGACTGGATCAAAAAAGTTATATGTTTTGATTGAAAGAACTCAAAATACAATGGAAACCAAATTCAAAAAGCAATAATTTTTCGAAAAAAAAACAAAATAATATTTTACCTTTAGTAGATGAAAAAGTTCTAAGATACCAATTGTACTGATTTTGCAACGGTTTGGCCCTTGTGCGCCGAATGGAATTTATTGTTAATTATATATGTGTAGTTATAAATTTTTAATGGTAATTGAATTGCATTTTAAACTTATATAAATATTCATATTATTGTTAAATGTTCAGTATTCGGAGAAGAGCAGAAAAAAAACCAAATATTTAACCACTTTGTGCAATTTTGCTTAAATAGAACTAGGAATTTCTTCACAGTTGTTAACATTAATTAGACGATTTTTTTTTGTTTTTTGGATAAAGAAGCCCATCGTGCATCCACAACCGGCACGTCCTAGGTTTCTCATGTTAGTCGGGACCATTTTCGAAATTAATCAAAGATAACAAAGAAAACTCTAGATTTACACAGAAGGGCTATATTTAGGTTCGTGTCAGAGTAGTTTTACATTAGTTGAACATGTGATTTACACAAGGTCCACAAAAAAATATAGCAAGCAAAAAAACCTAAAACAAAAATCGAGAGCAAATGCAAAACATTTTTGTTAATAAAATATGTATATTATGCGACGACCTACTGTATCAAATATTGAGGTCGGATGGATACGATTGGAGTTTTGAGATTTTTAACTATGAATGTCAACACAGCTTAGGGCTGCACACTATACCCATAATCTAGATGTCCATTAATTTAAGTATTAAGTTAATTAATACTTCATTAAGTATTATAATCACCAACAATTGCAGCAGCACATTGGAATTAATTGGAAAAGTGTTCTGGCCTATATCAAGGAACGAGAATCGGTTGGAACTTTGAAGGAATCCCCAGCATCCTTACATATGTGTACTATACCAATCCTATACAAAGAATAGACAAATTATATACATATATAATATATATATATACATATAGATGTAATTGCATTTTTGTCTCGTCACCTGCGTATTATTCTAGCTCAAAACATTTAAGAATAAATTCGAGCCGAAAAAATATTTAGGACAGTGATAGACCACTCTTGAATTGCACAGATTGTACAACAGTTTATATAAGGAGAAGCGAAAGTCAGCCATAATTTTAAGAAGTGGCCATGTGGTGAAGGATAATCAATTGAATGCATGTTTCAATTTTCTCACTCCGATAATATGTGTCTAATGAGTGTATAATAAATGTGAAAAGTTAAATTTCAATTTAATGGTGGAAGTTTCTCTTTAATTATATGGTGAATGGGTGGAAACTTAACAACAAATTAAGGGTAAATGTTTAAATATGAATTTGAAATTAATTATTTTCGCGCCAAATATGAAATCTTTCGTTACTAGTCTGGAATAACATAACAGTGCGTTAACAGAATTAATTTTCTTACTTTGAGCGGGCTCTACACTATTTAAGTAGCTTAAAAATGGGTTTGAAAAATGGGATTGCCCCTTCACTGTATTAAGCATTATCTCAAAAAATATCTAAAAATTATCTCTCAAATAAAAAAAAAACCCCGGCTAACAGCACATACAAAATTGACCCCAAAAAATTGTTTTTAAAATTGTGAAGCTCCAAGAGGATGCGCCAATATGCACGGTAGTGGAGTCGATGTAGGGCCTTTAAAGTATGTATGGACCAAAAATCATACAAATCGCTCCCACAGATTTTGAGAAAATCGAATTACAGTTCCCCATATAATTTGAACTAATTAGAGGAGCGCCAACTAGTGAACCGGAACCAGTCCGCAAAAAGTTCATTGAACTAGTTTAAAAATACTATAGGGCCTCTGTTAGGCTTATTAAGTCCTTCACAGAGGATGCGCCAAATTGCACGGTATACCCTTGCAAAGCTTGTTTTATACATAACATTATAAGACAATTTTTATTTAAATCGCTCCCACAGATTTAAAGAAATCAAGTCCCGAAAATTTCAGACTCTGATTCACCAACAATGGCCATTAACAGCATCACATATGTATTTCTGCGCTGCTTTGGAGTAGCAACTCCGACACTAGGAGAACGAGCAGGGCTTGACATTTTTGGAGCGTACTTCTAATAATTTTATTATCGATGAGTACTAAAATATTTGTGTATATAAACGATGCCTCGCTGGATCGCTGCTCCAGAAAAGCGCGGGAAATTATGACAGATGCCACCCAGAGTGTTGTCAAACACCATTGGGTATGTACTAGTGTTGGTAAACTCTCGTTTCAGCACTGCGCGCCAAACAAGCGCCCCAAATTTATGTGCTGTAATAGACACAGTTTTAAATTAAAATAAACAAAAATAGTAATTTTAGGGTACCTTTTAGGCGGCTGTTTTTATTTTAAATTAAAAATATGGCTTTAAAAAATACACTTATTAATTGGCTATAACTGCGAACCCTTTGGCAACCCTGCCCTTTTGGCAGCAACAAAACAACAGTCAGAACAGTGACAGACGAAAGGCAAATACGGTTTTGTTTGTTTTTTCACACAAAAAAGTTGTGTTCCTAAATTACCAATGAAGAAGTTGTGAATTAGGCCACGTTATTTTAACTACTTTCGGACCAAAATTTTAGAGTAAACCACACAAAAAGAATTGCAAAAATGGTCATTTAGGGACATTCCGCTGGAGGAAAACAAAAAACAACGAATAAAAGATAAGGAGAATATTGTCGGTGGACATCGAAGGGATAAAAGCCAACGGGATTTATGCCCGCTGTTAACAGTTGTTGTGTGGAGTAGCGGAAGATCAGGAGTAGCCCAGGAGGAGAAACCATGTCGAGCGAGGAGATGTTGTACGCGCAGGTATTCCACATCTTTAATGATATATTGCTGCGGATGCCCCACAAGTGCATCGTTGGCAGATTGCGGCGGTGTCGGTGTCGCGCTCTTGGACGCCAGCAATGGTGCCAATATAAAGTGCACCCATAGCGTGATTGGTGTCGGTGTACGTGTTATTGTGGGTGTATGTGGGCTGGGACAGAGGCAGATCGCAAAAGGGTTCCTTGGGGCTAAAAATATCATCAGTTAAAACAAGCCATTATCGCGATTAGGAAACAGAATACGTTGAACCACTAAAAATATTATTACAAATATGTCAAGTGGTGTACAACCCCATTGATTAAGCCCCCTTTTAAAATTTCCCTCCGCCGCTGCTGGTCATTTTTATTTGCGCCACTTCTGCATTTCTCCGATTCTTCTTTTAGTTGTTAGCCCTGGCTTAGCTTGGCCCATGGCAGGTGATTACCCATTGATGACTGCATCACAGTCCCAAAGTGTTTGGAAATGAATCACGGTTCTTATCGGAACGGGGTGTCTGATAAGCGCGACTGATAAGAAATGGGAGTGGGTGAAAGATTTCCCATTTACGAGTCAGGGAATCGGCTTAAATGCCAATTGGCGTGTGGCCCAGGTCATGTCATTGATTGCTAATCCGCTTTACATATTCCAATATAGGGCGCAAAAATATGGGTGCCGCACACGGAGCAGGTTTGGGAGAGTGCCACCCTGGAGGAGAGCTACCGCAAGGGTGCCGGATTTCTCAAGATTGTCACCGAATCGGGGAGTCTCAGGGAGGTCAAGCTAAAAGCCGACGGCAGCGACCTCCCACCCCTACGTAATCCGGCTATTCTGGTGGGACAGAACGACCTGACCACCCTGTCCTACCTGCATGAGCCGGGGGTGTTGTACAATCTACGTGTCCGCTTTTGCGAGCGTCAGATTATCTACACCTATTGCGGCATCATCCTGGTGGCCATTAACCCATACGCGGAAATGCCGCTGTACGGGCCGAGCATCATACGGGCGTACCGGGGCCACGCCATGGGTGATCTGGAGCCCCACATATTCGCCCTGGCAGAGGAGGCCTACACCAAGCTGGAGCGCGAGAACTGCAATCTAAGCATTATCGTCAGTGGCGAGTCGGGTGCCGGAAAGACTGTTTCCGCCAAGTATGCGATGCGATACTTTGCCGCTGTCGGTGGATCCGAGTCGGAGACGCAAGTCGAGCGCAAGGTGCTGGCATCTTCACCAATCATGGAGGCGTTCGGCAACGCCAAAACAACCCGCAACGACAACAGCTCCCGTTTCGGCAAGTTTACCAAGCTTCTATTCCGCAACCAGATGGGGGTCATGTACCTGCAAGGGGCCACCATGCACACCTATCTGCTGGAAAAGTCGCGTGTGGTGTATCAGGCGCAGGGCGAACGTAACTACCACATATTCTACCAACTTTGCGCAGCGAGGGCTAAATACCCGGAACTGGTGCTGGGTAAGTGGAAGCAGTGGATATTCTTGTTTGGCCACATAATTACAAATATATTTTCGTTTTAGATCACCAGGACAAGTTCCAGTTCCTGAACATGGGTGGAGCCCCAGACATTGATCGCGTTTCGGACGCGGACCAATTCAATGAGACGGTGCAAGCAATGACTGTCCTGGGATTCTCCATAAATCAAATAGCCGACATTGTTAAGATTCTGGCGGGTATTCTCCATCTGGGGAATATCAATGTGTCCAAAAAATACAATGAGGGTACCGAGGAGGAGGACACAGATTCCTGTGAAATTTTCGTATGTCTAAGGCTATTTCCCAATTTGGTTTGCTCTTTTTAATTAATTGTTTCAATTAACAATCTTTCAGCCTAATGACATCCACCTGCAGATTACCGGCGATCTGCTACGGTTGAAAGCCGAGGATCTGCGTCGGTGGCTATTGATGCGTAAGATAGAGTCGGTCAATGAATATGTGCTGATACCGAACAGCATTGAGGCGGCGGAGGCGGCACGTGACGCCCTGGCCAAGCATATTTATGCGAAGCTATTTCAGTACATCGTGGGTGTGCTGAACAAGAGCCTCAACAACGGTAGCAAGCAGTGCAGCTTCATTGGCGTCCTCGATATCTACGGCTTCGAAACGTTTGAAGTGAACTCGTTCGAGCAGTTTTGCATAAACTATGCGAACGAAAAGCTACAGCAGCAGTTCAACCAGCATGTCTTCAAGTTGGAGCAGGAGGAGTACCTCAAAGAGGGTATCACTTGGACGATGATTGACTTTTACGACAACCAACCGTGTATCGATTTGATTGAATCTCGATTGGGTGTGCTGGATCTTCTCGACGAAGAGTGTCGAGTGAGTTAAATATTTATATTCTTTGTTCTTTTTTAAAATCTATATTTTATTACCACAGATGCCCAGAGGTTCGGACGAAAGCTGGGCGGGAAAACTCATCGGAAAGTGCAGTAAATTTCCGCATTTCGAGAAGCCACGCTTTGGCACCACAAGTACCTCATTTGCATATTTTGTTGTCAGATCCAAAATAACTATCTCACATTTTTAGGCTTTTTCATAAAACATTTTTCAGATACGGTTGAGTATGACGTGAACGGATTCTTGGAAAAGAATCGTGACACAGTCTCCAAGGAGCTAACTCAGGTGCTCTGCGAGTCCAATATGCAGCTGGTAAAACAGGTGATGGTTCTAGAGGAGATTGACACCTTGAGTGTGGATTCCGCCAAAGCCTCCACCTTGGGCGGCCGTGTTGTAATCAGTGCTGGTCGTAAACAGGTTTGTGGTTACCCAAATGGAGCCAGAATTTTAAAACATTTCCAGACTTTTCCATTTGTAAACCTTTGTCTTATTGCTAATTTGTATTTTCCATACGCTTATGGTCCGTGAACCGCCAACTTCGCTCGGAATGCCCAAACAGCAATTGAATGAGACACGTCGAAGAGTTAGTTACCAACATATTTTGATCATAACTTCTGTGCAAACAACTAACCTACAGACATTTATGTTTACCTTTAGTTTGGCGCCCTAATTTGAAACCCGCCTTAACGTTTTTTTCACACCGGAATTAAGTGGGAAGTTGGGTTTTACCATTCAGTTTTTTGCTTTGTTGCTTTTAATAACCGTAGTTATAAAAAATCATTAATTTTATAATACCTATTTGTGTAAATGTTATTTTGATATAATTTTAAATGTGTTTTAATAATGAATATGCCCTGTACCAGGTGGTGCCATCGAAGCAACATAAGAAAACTGTGGGCTCGCAGTTCCAGGAGAGCTTGGCCTCGCTAATCTCAACGTTGCATGCCACAACCCCGCACTATGTGCGTTGCATCAAGGTAGGAATCAACTATATTAACTTTGTAGCATTCACTATAATGGTTTAATCTTTTCCAGCCAAACGACGACAAGATCGCATTCAAATGGGAGACTGCCAAGATAATTCAGCAACTGCGGGCTTGCGGTGTCTTAGAAACAGTGCGCATTTCTGCGGCAGGATTCCCTTCGCGTTGGCTGTATCTGGACTTCTATATGCGCTACCAGCTTCTGGCCCATCGCTCCAAGATAGACAAAAACGATATGAAGCAATCGTGTCGCAACATCGTAACGAAATGGATTCAGGACGAGGACAAGTATCGTTTTGGCAATACCCAAATATTCTTTCGCGCCGGCCAGGTGGCCTTCCTCGAACAGGTGCGGGCCAATCTGCGCAAGAAGTACATAACGGTGGTGCAGTCGGTAGTGAGGCGATTCATTCATCGCCGCCGCTTCTTGCGTCTCCAGATGGTTATTAGTGGAATCCAGCGTCATGCGCGCGGCTTCCTAGCCCGCCAGCGCGTCCAGAAAATGCGTGAGGACCGGGCCGCGCTGATCCTTTCGAAGTATGCCAAAGGATGGCTGTGTCGTCGTCGATATTTGCGCCTGCGCCACTCTATTTCCGGCATACAGACCTATGCTCGCGGCATGATGGCTCGAACCAAGTTCCACGCTATGCGCGATCATTACCGGGCGGTGCAGATCCAACGTTTCGTTCGTGGAGTTCTCGCACGAAGAGCCTACCAGAAGCGTAGGCGAGACATCATCATTTGCCAGGCAGCTGTTCGTCGGTTCCTTGCTCGCCGCAAGTTCAGGAAGATGAAGACCGAGGCGAAGACCATCTCGCACATGGAGAAGAAGTACATGGGCCTGGAAAACAAGATCATCTCTATGCAGCAGCGAATCGATGAACTGAACCGGGACAACAGCAATCTGAAGCATAAGACAAGCGAGATCAGCGTTCTTAAGTAAGTATTTATGACTTATTTTTTAATATTCAAAAATTTAACATATATTGTTTTCAGAATGAAACTGGAGTTGAAGAAGAATTTGGAAGGCGAGTTCAAAAACGTGAAAGCAGCCTGCCAAGACAAGGATAAACTGATAGAGGCTCTCAACAAACAACTGGAAGCGGAGCGCGACGAAAAGATGCAGCTGCTAGAAGAAAACGGCCATGCCCAGGAGGAGTGGGTGAGCCAAAAGCAGCAATGGCTTGGAGAGAACGAGGAACTGCGCCGACAAATCGATCAAATGATCGAGCTGGCCAAGAACGCTGAGGTTAGCCAGCGCACGCAGGAGGATCGAATGCTGGCCGAGATCGACAACAAGGAGCTCAACGAGGCCTACCAGCGAGCCATCAAGGACAAGGAAGTCATTGAAAACGAAAACTTCACCTTGAAGGAGGAGTTAAGCCGCATAACGGCCGGAAACTTCAGCTTACATGGGAGGACTGCGAGTAATGCCTCCAGCCAAAATGAGGAGGACGTCGGCTACGCCTCGGCCAAGAACACGCTGGATATAAATCGCCCACCGGATCTGTTGAACAAGAACTGTAGGTTTTTGGACTGGATTCTATGAATTCTAAACGAATAGGTTGCCTCTCCATAGATTCCTACACTGACTGTACCAGTTTGGTTGTAAAGCTGCGCGCTATACTCGAGGAGGAGAAGCAGAAGCACAAGTACTTACAGGAGCAGTACCTTAAGTTGGCCAGCCGTAACAAGCCCACCGAGGACTCATTCCGGTAAGTATCTAATTCCCTTCGTATGAGTGCCGAGATCGCTCTCCTCCAAGATCGTCTCCACCACCACCACAACTCCTACTACTTACGTCACTACAACAAGAACTACGTCTATGTCTACATCTATGTATTGTTTGCCACACACTGCTTGCCACTCCACTCACACAGCGTCTCCGAGCTAGAGGTAGAAAACGAGAAGCTGCGCAGCGAGTACGATCAGCTGCGAACGAGCATTAAACACGGTGTTGAGATCAACGAACTCAATGGTAACCGCTGCACACGCAGAGCGAACCCCGCAGACGTCCTACTGACCCACTTCCCCACTTTTCCTTCCATCCCTCTTTGCCATTGCAGCTCAGCATGCCGCTCTACAGGAAGAGGTGCGTAGGAGGCGCGAAGAGTGCATCCAGTTGAAGGCAGTGCTGCTGCAGCAAAGCCAGAGCATGCGATCTCTCGAGCCTGAGAGCCTACAACTGCGTGGAAATGATGTCAACGAGCTCATGGAGGCGTTCCATTCTCAGAAATTAATAAATCGGTAAGCAGTAGTCTTGCTTTTATAATCAGAACGAAGCTTACATAAAACTAAAAATGTTCAGACAACTGGAGTCAGAACTCAAGGCCATAACGGAGGAGCACAACAGCAAGCTGGTGGAGATGACGCAGGACATCGAGCGACTCAACAACGAAAAAGAAGAGCTTCAAAAGGTGATCTTCGAAAGCATCGACGAGCCAGAGGAGTCTGCCAACATGGAAGCTCTCAGGCAGAACGACCGCTACCTGCGACGGGAACTGCAGAAGGCCGTCTCGCAATACCTGATAGTCCAGGAGGAGCTCAAACTGGCCAATGCTAAGCTCAAGGCCTATCGCCAGGATGGTGGTCAACTAGAACACAAGTTGGAAGAAGAAATGATTCGCAACAAGGCGAACGGCCCGACGAGCGACGTTGGCGCCAATGTGACTAAGCAAAAGTCTCAAAACCCACAAGGGCTTATGAAGTTCCATAGTAGCGATTTGGACAAGATCCTCCAGCGCCTCCTAAATGCATTGACACCTCGAACTGTGGTTGGACTCCTCCCCGGTTTCCCTGCGTATCTCATTTTTATGTGCATCCGGTAAGCTTCCTCCTGGTATTATATTTAAGCTTGGACTAACCTTTCTTCTCTTTAGTTACACTGATCTGACCAATGCCGACGATGACGTTCGCGAACTGTTGAGCAAGTTCGTGATCCAGGTCAAGAAAATGCACAGAACCCCTCATCCTATTGAAAATCGCGTCATTTGGCTCGTTAACTCCATAACGTAGGTCCATGAAACACTACTTTGTGGTTCTACTATAGTTTCCCTCTATTTCAGTTTGCTGAATCTCCTAAAGCAGTATGGCGATGTCGAGGAGTATGTCCAGTTCAACAGTGAGAAACAGAAGCAGCAGCAGTTGAAAAACTTTAATCTCTTTGAGTATCGGCGGGTTATCCTCGACCTGATTGTAAATCTGTACCAGGCTCTGATCATGCAGATCCAGGGCCTGCTTGACGCCAAAATAGTGCCGGCAATCCTGAGCAATGATGAAATTCAACGCGGCCGCTCAGCCCACGGAATGCGCAGTAGGGCCACCTCGATTGGAGCCAGCTCCTCACCGGAGCACGGAGGTGGACCAGCGTGGAAGCAACTCATTGGGCAGTTTGAGCACTTTTACAAGCAGTTCCAACACTTCGGTCTGGACAGCTGCTATGCGGAACAAATATTCCGGCAGCTGCTCTACTTTGTGTGTGCCGTGGCCCTAAATTATCTGATGCTTCGTGGGGATATATGCATGTGGGAGACTGGTATGATAATCCGATACAACCTTGGCTGTATCGAGGATTGGGTGCGAAGCAAGAAAATGGTACGTTATGAGCCTCATCGGAAAGTTCACAAAGTAATGTTGGTTTCTTTTAGTCAAATGATGTTCTGCTGCCATTGGCGCCGCTTAACCAAGTATCCCAACTGCTCCAGTCGCGGAAGAGCGAGCAGGATGTCCAAACCATTTGCGATCTGTGCACTTCACTGAGCACCGCACAGGTCTTGAAGGTGATGAAGTCCTACAAACTGGATGACTACGAGAGTGAGATTACAAACGTTTTCCTGGACAAGTTAACCAAGGAACTTAACGCCAGACAAATGGTAAGCGTGGGATTTTTAAAAACTTATAAACTTCCTACCATATTTTCCATTTTCCTTTCAGCCGGCGAGCAACAGCGACGAATTTACTATCGACCAGAAGTTCATCCAGCCTTTCAAAGTGGTTTTTCGATATAGCGACATAAAACTGGAGGATATTGACCTACCATCGCATCTAAATCTCGACGAGTTTCTTGAAAAAATCTAAACCATTGTCCATTTTTGGCCGAAGTACCTTGTCATTGGGGATGACATGAGAACGTTTTCTTTTTGTGTATTATACGAGTATAACGATTGTAGAAATTATTGTTCAGATTTTTAGAAAATCTATTAGCTAATGAAACGATGCTTAAGAAGTGGTTAAAATGTATGTAGTTCCTGTTTAGTTTAATTACCCACCTTTAACATTCCTCTCGTGTCCAGTGGCAACTATACCAAGTTGTCAAGTTTAGCTTTCTGTTGTGCGAAATAGTTTGTAGTTAAATTTTTTGAAGGTTTTGAACCAACCTTGTAATGTGAGATGCAATAAGTGCCGGGAGTGAAACTCCGACAATGAAAACGATCATTCCTTGCCTGAACCTTGTACCTTAGATCATATAATATATTATATACAATGGATGTATTTCACGAAGGCCGATTTGTTGCCTTAAAGTAAAGCTTGTGCCTGCTTCTTGCGGCGTATAGATTAAGATTAAGAATCAAGAAGCATTGCTTTTCATCGACATATTTATGTATTATCATTGTCTGTCTAGTTTGTTACCTATTTGTTTGTCTCAGACGTAAAAAGTAATCAAGAAAAAAGTGAGCAAACCCAATATACGTTGGCATTTGTTAAAAACAATTTAAGTATTCCGATACAAAATACCTATGAAATACACACGTATAAATATATATTAACGAAACAAGAATGTATAATGAGCAGCAATTTATGAGTTTTGTACAAATATAATTGCCAGACGTTAACAATCCACCAGCGCTTTGGAGAGCTTGTTTTTGGGCAGGTCCAGCGACGGCAGTCGTTGTGTTACCATTCCCGTGGCCACCGTGGCTCCATTCTCTCGTATCGTGAAAGCCTGGCCTGGGGTCATCACCATTTTTCTCAACAGAGTGACGCGCACCTGACCATGCTCGCCAGGCATAAGCATAGCTTCACTGGGATCTAAAAAATAGTTTACCTTAATAGTTGAATTGTTTTATTAAGAGATATACTTACCAATATCGATACGAGCCGGAACATTCCATGTTTGACTAAAAAGCTGCTGAATATACTTGGAAAGCATAGGTTTCACGCGACCACCTTCGGCGCGCGACAGTAGGTACATTGAGGCTTCAAAATGGTTTGAAATATCCTCCGAACCCGTGGCACAGAGCAGCATGCCACGCTCCACAGCGGAAATCTTAATTCCGCGTAATAGAGCACCCACATTCTCTCCGGCAATCGCCTGGGGTACGCTTTTGCGGAAGATCTGAATGTCGCTTATGCTAGTCTTTAGGTTCTGGTTAAAGCCCAGAAGATCGGCCTCTGCATTCCGGGGAATGGTACCCCGCTTAATGGTACCCACAACTACTGTACCTCGTCCGGGAACAGTAAAGGCATTGTCGATGGGCAGAATGAACGGCGCCGTGAAATCCCTTTGTGGCGTTGGTATGTAGGAATCACATTGCTCCAAAAGCTTTTCGATAGCTGGTACACCGAACACCGATGGGTCCTCTCGAAGGGCTAACAAAGCTGATCCACAAATGACCGGACTATTAACACCATCAAAGCCAAAGTCGCTGAGCATCTCGCGCATCTCAATCTCTACCAGTTCAAGAACCTCCTGGTCGACCAGATCGGCTTTGTTGATAAAGACGACAATACGTTGGATGCCCACTTGTTTGGCCAGCAAAAGATGCTCTCGTGTCTGAGGCATTTGCCCGTCGGTGGCTGCCACAACCAGGATAGCACCATCCATTTGCGATGCACCCGAAATCATGTTCTGTAATATTGAAGAATAAAAAAATTAGATTATCCCTCTGTAGTTTCCTCCAACTGCTCACCTTTATATAATCCGCATGCCCTGGGCAATCGGTGTGGGCGTAGGTGCGCTGGCTTGTGGCATAGCCGATATGGCAAGCGTTTATGGTTATACCCCGTGCCTTTTCCTCAGGAGCCCTGTCAATTTGATCGTAGGACAGGTACTCCGCCATACCCTTCTTCGACTGAATCTTGGTGATGGCGGCAGTGAGAGTGGTCTTCCCATGGTCCACATGGCCGATGGTGCCTACATTGCAGTGCGGCAGTTCACGCAATCCACTCTCCGGCTTTTTGTCTGGACTGGTGGCCAAAAATCTTGGTACTATTCCGGCACTGGCTGTTGCCCGCGTGACCCTTTGGCGGAGCAGTACTTCACCGTGGGACCATAACTTAGGAAGCAAACCTCTCAGAACTCTAGCTCCCTGCATCTCTTCCAATCCTCAACCCGGAGGATAGCACGTAACGCAGCTCACGCCGTAAAAAACCACAACAAGAACAGCTGATCCACCAGTGCTGCACAACGTCCACCTAAGCGCAAAGCTCCAACTGAAATTTTGACTGCAAGAGTCTCTCAGCCGAAGAAATATTGACTTCAAGAGTCTCTCAAGCCGAAAAAAGATTTCGGTTTTCGTTGTTTTATTTAAAATTTGTAGCAAACGATTCAAACTAATAAAAAATTTTTGTTTCTCAGCTGTCTGTCAATTTTGTGGAGAAAGCTTTGTGAAAGAGTCTTTCAGTTTAAAACTTAATTTATAAATTCAAATATCTTTAATATGTTGTGGTTTAATATTTAAAATAATTTTAAAAAAGTGAACATAATTTTGATAATTTTCGTTTTAAATAGCTGATTGAAGAGTCAAAAAGAATTTTAAATTAAACTTTTCTTCGAAATTTAAAGATAAAAAGTTTAAAAAATACTCCAGAAAAGTTTGATTTTCTAAGATTTTAATATTCAAATATTAACCTTTCTTATTTTTCAAATGCACCATAAATATTGTTAACGCAAAGTCCACTGTTCTCAGGATCAGCCTGGATCTAATATTGTATATTATCATTTTAATAATAATGAACTTTATTTAGACATTATTTTTACCTTAGAAATAGAATGATTTTAAGTTTAATACTAATTAATACTAATAATAATATCAATACTTGTCTTTTGAAGTCTTCATTGCTTGGAAATGTCTTGGTGTTCTGGAAACGTGGAGCTAAAAATCGGATCTCCCACCGTCTCGGCCACTTTCGCTGTACTCTTGATGATTTTATGGGTTCGTCGCATATGAACGCCGAGGCTGACCCTCTCCGCAAAACGGGTTGTGCAGAGCGAGCACTGCAGAGTCTTCTCCTTGTGGATGTGCCGGTGTTTGACTAGGGCGTTGGCATTGGTAAAAGCCTTCTGACAGATCTCACAAACCTTGTCGCGAATATTTAGGTGGGCCTTTACATGATCTTTGAGATCACGCTTGGTCAAAAAGTCTTTTGGGCAGATGTGGCATTTAAACGCCCGGATCTTGGTGTGCACAGCTGTCACATGGGTCGTCATTTGGATCTTTTGCTTGAACGATTTACCGCAGAACTCACACACAAACGGCTTGGCTACGTGCTTCTCGTCGTGCGTTTGCTTGTGTATGGCCAACTGGCTGGAAAAAGCGAAGGTCCGCGTGCAGAGGTCACAGGCGAAAGCCTTGCTCATGTGCACCCTCTGTATGTGCTGCTGCAGGTGGCATCGCCGGTCAAAGTTTAGCTCGCATAGCGTGCACCGAAACCAACCGCCTTCGCCCATCTTATGATCCCGAAACTGGTGGGCCTGCAAAGCGTGATCCGTGCTGTATGCCTGGTCACAAACCTCGCATTTCAACTTCTGCCGGAATGTCTTTGTAGGCATGAATTTCTTGCACCTTTCGATATACAAATTCTCGGCTAGAGAGAGGCCAACTGTCTGGACATCGGTGAGCGTCTTAATTCTGCGTGAATACCAGCGCCGTAGGCTTAGAATACTGTCGTACACATCGTAGTGTGTGATGATACCCATAGGAATTTCAGACGTAATCAGATCTGTCATCTCCATAAATGCCGATTTCCGTTCGCTTAAATTCGCAAAATTCTTGTGCTTCGGGTCGTATAAATGGGGAAACTTCGAGTAAAGTTCTATAAAAAGGGTGGTTAGCCGGTTCTCCTCCGTAAACACCAGCTGCGTGTCAGAAAACAGTCAGAAATCAACTTTTAGCTTAGCCCTAATATACAACCCACCTTAATTTTGCAGTCTCCTTCGTCGTCGTCGCTCTCGACCTCCTCCACATTTCCCCGATGCGATAGAAAACTGTATTTGGCATGGTAGTAGAGAGGTACCTTGGACAACCGCTGGGTCTTTTTCTGTCTGGTGATGGCCGCGTACTGGGTATGCAGGCTAGCTATGCATTTTTTCAGTTTGTATAAAGTAAGATGGATATTAACCGAGCCCTTTAGCTGCTGAGCCAGTTCCACGTAGGCAGCAGAGCGTTTCTCTTTGTTCTTGTACTCGTCATCAGCTGGATCCCACAGGCAAGTGTGCTGTTTATAGAGCTCGATAAACTTGGTGATCCGAGGACTTCGGCGGTAAAAAGTTGGATTGAACTATTAAAAATATAGATTTACATACAAATCGAATGTTCAGGATATAACTATACTTTTGTAAGGGCCGGAAAGTCATTGGTATTGCTGCTTTCCACTTCATAGTCGAACGGTATTGATGGATTGTCAACCTCGTCTTCATCTTCGATGTCGTCTTCTTCCGAGGAAACTGGGAAGTCGACGAACATGGCCTCAGCTAAGCAGTCTTCCAGCTCCTCATTCTGAGACTCCTCTTCCTTCACAGATGCTGACAAATTCTCTCCACAGTCACTCCTGATATCTACCTTCTCGTCTTCGGTGTCTAATGATTCGGGCTTTATAAAATTGTGCTCTTTGATGTGTCGGATGAAGTCCTGCCATCGCTCTATTTCCATCTCCACGGAGCAGTCATTGTCCACAGCACAGGTCAGCACAAAGTGCTCGTAGTCGCTCCGAACCAATATATTTCCGCAGATTACCATAATAACAAACTAAACCGAACAGACAAAACAAAAACCCGCAGCTGTTGACCAGTGTTGTAAAGGCAAACAAGATCCAAAGAGGTTTAAGCCCCCAACCGCGAAATACAAACGTGTTTATCTTCTACAAAACGATTCCATAAAATGTAATAGTTTAGACTCTTTTCTTTAAAATATATTTCTATTTATTACGAAATTACTTATCACCGATATGATACATTTCGTTAATTAAATTATAGTTAATTTCTTTAATAACAGAGCCCTATTTAACGCAATTAAAAGTTGACGCAATAATAAGACTATCTGAAGCGGTAATCTTTTGACCGAAAGTTTGAAAACAAATTCTTGTAGCTGACTGGTAGAGTCTTAAATGAAAACATAATTTTTTCTCTTGCATCGTCAAAAATCGTTGTATTATCAATTAAAAATTTATTGTTTTTCTCTATGCCCTCGACGATGTCTGGACAGGGAAGAATGGTCGTAAAAAGAAGCTCCACATATCTCGCATTTTTTATCACGAATATTATAATGTCCTTTAATGTGGTTGGACAACTCGAACTTTTTGCGGAAACTTTTATCACACAAGTGGCAGGCATGGGGCCGAATGTTTAGGTGAACGCCGTTTATGTGATGATCCAAAAGCAGTTTCAGACGGAACGATTTTCCACAAACTTCGCACACATGCGGCCTCTCGCCGGTATGGATAAGGGTGTGCACTTTTAAATCATGGGCAACAGCAAAGGTTTTTTCGCAATATTCGCACTTCAACCCTTTATCGAAATGGGAGCGTTGTTTGTGTCGTTCCATGTCCACTTGCCTGTCAAAGCGCCTTGGGCACATAGAACACAGATAAGGTAGATCGCCCAACATGTGCGCTTTAAACATATGCACGCGCAGGTTGTAATCGCCATGAAATCGCCTGTTGCAGGTATCGCAATATAATACAGCACTTTCCGATCCTTTAGCGGGTAAGAAACTACACATACGCAAGTACTGCACCTCTTGCTTATTGCAAGACTCAATGAGCTCTTTGGCTTTGAGACGTCTCATAGCCTCATAAGCCCAACGCCTTAGCTTATTCACGGCTATGTAGACGTCCGTTTCATTCGCCTTCACGACAGGCTGGAACTCCTCCGCAAACTTAACATAGGCGTCGGCTCGTATATCTATCGAAGAGAAATCGGGATGTGAAGGATTGTATAGCATCGGGTAGTTGGCATACGTCTCAATAAAAGAGCTAGTCACTAAATTATCCTCCTTAAAATCGAGCTGGAACAAAATCATTTCATTACTGATTCCATAGTCCACACAATGTTAGATTACCTTAATTGTAATAATGTTACTGTCCTCTTCAATTCGCCTTACTTTTACGGGAGGCGACACGCTGAGGAATTCGCATTTGGCATAGTAACGTGATGCGAGTCCGACCAGCTTACCCTTTGCTTTCATTTCTCCTGCAAGGGCATATTGCGTGTGCAGCTGCACAAGAGTGCGTTTTAGCTCGGCCACAGTCAAAAGGACGTCAGTTTTTAGTTCCATACGACTTATTATCGATTGGTACGCCTGTTTCCGCACGTTCTCATCTTCATAAAAATCATCTGATGGATTCCATAGACAAGGGTGTTCCCTATACACCTGGATCAAATGCAGCACACGGGGATTGCTTCGTATAAACGACACTTTGAACTAAAATAGTTGAAACAATAGTGAAACAAAAATGACTCAGGACCTTGCAATTCGCACATACTTTGAAAACTTGATCCGGTCTGGTACGTATTGGTGGGCGTCCTGGACGCCGTCGTTGCGGTGCTCCTTCCTCATAGGAATCATATTCGCTACCACTATCATACCTCGTAGAACCTTCTGGCTTTACATCAGCCAAGTCATTGTGGGAGCTGACTGCATCACCTTCTGATGTAGCTGACACTTCATTGGATTCAGGAAGGTATTCACCGTCATCCTCCTGATTTTGGCCGAAATAGAATTAAAGGGGTTTCATAATTAAAAAAAAAGCGAACTGTCAAAATACTCACTTCCATGTTTTCAGATTTTAGCCATTGGTCCTCTTCCTCAACCGTTTCAATGATATCATAAAAATCATTTCCATCGTATTCGATTTCAGGATCTAATGAATCTGTGGTTTCTTTGATTGGGGCATTGGCAGAGGCTTCGTCCTCCTCGGAATAATGTGATGTCCGCACATGGTTTATGAACAGCTTCCAATCATGAAGTTCGCTCTCTGTCGGGCAGTAAATGCACTTCAGCCGGAACTGCTGGTAATTCGTATTCACCAGCACGCTGCCGCAAACTTCCATTTTTCTTTAAAAATATATAATGTTTCCCAATCGTTGCTTTAATTTTGTATACGCCATTTAGCACTGCTCAATAACCAGAGCTGTTCAAGGTCTATCGATAACAAAAGCTATCGAAACTAGTTATCGGCGGTACAATTTACATATTGAAAATAAATATTGTAGACCTACCGATTTTTATAAATTAACTTAGGGTTGTACAATTTTTAAGGGCTTACCCTTCAGAAATAAATTCATTACTTATTCGTAATTAAAGGCAAGACACAATTATATATATTATTACAATTTATTTAGTTCTCTGCAGGAAGGGATGTGGTACCTTTTTGCCCATGGTTACGAACTATATTGTGGGTACGCTTCATATGCGAATTTAATCCTACAAACTGAGAAAACCTGGCCTCGCAGAGTTTGCACACGAACTTTTTCACTTCGGAGTGAATCTGACGATGGCGGATGAGGGAATGACAGCTCGTGAAACCCTTGCCACAGTCGTTACAGATCTTGTCGCGAATGTTGAGGTGGCTCTTGATGTGGTCTGTTAAGTCGACCTTTTTCACAAAGTCCTTGGGGCACATGTCGCACTTGAAGGCTCTTATCTTTGTGTGGATTGCAGTAACGTGGAGCTTCATTTGAGAACGAAGGCGAAACGCTTTTCCACAATGTTCACAAACATAGGGCTTATGCCCCGTGTGGGTGCGATTGTGAAGCTCCAAATCGGCGATCACCGCAAAAGTCCGCTCGCAATGGTCACATTTAAGCGTTTTGCCAATGTGAACTCTCTGGGTATGATTAGCCAGTTCTCCGCGACCTATAAAACTGCGCTCGCACAAGGTACATTTGAATGGCAGGTCACCGATGTTGTGGACCTTAAAGATGTGCGATTGGAGGACGTGATCAGAGGACGTCACTTGCTGACAGATCTCGCAGACGAGACGCTGCTTGAACATTTTTGGGGGCATAAAACGGCACACGTCCTGATAAAACTTTTCGGCACCCTTTCCAGCGTTTATTGCGTGCTTGGTGCTTTTGTAATACCATTGTCGCAGATTCTGGATTGCACGGTAGATGTCATCACTGCTAATATCTGTATTGGGTATTGAAATTTCCGCTGCCAAACTTTCATAGGCCTGTTTGCGGGAATGCATATTGGAGAACTCCTTGTGCATGGGATCGTAGAGTTGCGGAAAATTGGCATACAGCTCTATCAACTCGGTGGTCAGCTTATTCTTCCTCGAGAAATCCAGCTGTGGAATTGTATAAATGAAAATACTGAACTAAGAAACTCAAATTGTTTTAAAACCTGAATTTTATCCCTTGTTTTAGATGGGTCATAATCCTTAATGGCCTTAAGAAAGCTGCATAGAGTGTAGTTGTTAAATGCTAATGAATGCGGTTTTTGGTTGCCAAAAAGCACTCGCTTGTGGACGGTGTTATATTGTTGGTGAATCTTCTTAATGGCTCCCCTAAGGCTTCTTTCGTTAAGAAAGACTGCAACCTTTGCCTCCAGTTCAACGACCATCTGTTTAAGAGCTTCCTGGCAAGCACTGGGATCTTTGTATTGGCTGTGGCTCGGATTCCAGAGGCACGGATATGCCTTATAGATCTCAATAAACTTTGGTGTTCGTGGGTCTCTTCGAAAAAAGGAAGGTTGGAACTAAAAAATATAAATGTGTATATAAAAGTACGCTTAGATGGCGGATGAGAGTATACTTTGTATATAGGTGTAGCTAGGACATTCACATCATCTGCAGGTTGTTCTTCTGACGCTTGCTCCTGTCCTGGTTCCAGCTCAGCTTCCTGATCAGTCACATCATCCTCCTCAGCCTCGCTGAGTAGAGATTCAACTGTCTCGATCTCCAGCTCTACATCAATCTGACCTTCCATTGCCGAATGATTATTTTCTTCTTTAGCTTCTTCAACAGCGCATTTCTCTGCAAAACCCATATCATTGTTGAAGGTTTCATCATATTGTCCCTTCTCCTGGGGTGTGTGCATGTTCCTAAAGTGGAGTACAAACTGCTGCCACTGGGCCATCTCCACGTCCTTGGGGCAGAAGGAACATCGCATTAGGAATTTATCGTAGTCGTTACTAACATAAATAAGTCCGCAAGTCTCCATTTTTAGTGAAAAGGAACTGAATACAAAATCCCCAAAGTTTGTTTATGTCCAGATCAGCTGAATACACGGGCACAGTTAAAATTCTTAAAGGGGATCAAAAAATAGATTGAAAAAAAAATCCACTATTATGAATCCACTATTACAAGCATCTTTAAATATTTTTAAAATTGTATGTGGCTTTTATTTTTGGTTTTTGCCTAGCCCCCCTAAGAAGTTCCCCTTATCTACACCTCTGACAAATATCGATAAATCGATGTTAACCAGCTGTTAAATAAACTGTTAAGCAAATGTTTCTAAATGTAAACACAGCTGACAGGGCCGCACTTTTTGGAAAGGTGTTGTTAGTGGAATAGGTAAATTTCGATGAGATCGCGACCATGGAACAGCACAAGAGTCGGCTGGGGTACACCCTAGGCATGCTGAGTCTCTTCCTCTGTGGCGCCGTCTTCTTTCTAATCGGTTTCTTTCCGGCCTCGTACTCGGTGGCGGAGGAAGACAGTAGCGTTCCAGGTGGACGTCCCACTTTGCTCCATGGCGTCAAGTAAGTTCAGCAGTTGTTCGATAAGACATTGATAATAATTGTACAACTTTTAGATTGGAGCCTCCACCGCCGAGCTATGATTCCTTCATACTGTTTCTAGTCGATGCCTTGCGTGATGATTTCCCGAATGCCACGTCAATGCCCATATCACATTCCACTGCCTGTGAGAAGCTAAGCCTTCATGTAGACATTCCCACTGTGACAATGCCGCGTCTGAAAAGCCTAACCACTGGCACGCTCTCAAACTTTATAGACATTGCTCTAAACATTGGACACACAGAGCAAGTAGAGGATTCCTTGCTGCACCGCCTAAAAAAACAGAATAGGGTGGTTTCCTTTGCTGGTGACCATACTTGGGTACAACTGTTCCCCAGTGAGTTCACACGCCATGCAGCTAATAATGATTCCTTTTTCGTAAATGATTTTTATGAGGTAAACAAAATAATTTCCGCAAAAGAAAACATAACAAATTGTTTTGATTTTTCAGGGTGACAAAAGTGTCTCAAAAGTATTGGACTCAGAGCTAGTGCAGGATGATTGGTTTCTGTTGATTCTACACTATCTGGGACTTGATCACATCGGCCATGTCGAAGGGAATACCAGTCCAAGGGTACAGCTTAAGCTGAGGGAAATGGACGAAGCTGTGCAAAAGATATTGGAGCATAAAGTAGTGGTGCTTTTTTATTTTTATTTATGTTTTTATAGCAATACTTTTTTATAGAAAACTTCAAACTATCTGCTCATGTTATCTGGTGATCATGGGATGGCCGATGGAGGTGGACATGGCGGAAACACTCCAGCCGAAACTGTGGTCCCCCTTTATCTTTATTCAAGGAATTGCAGCAAACCCACGTAGGCTCTTAAATATTTCACATGGCTTTTTACTGAGTTCTTTTATTTTTAGAGCTGGTACGAAACGCTACAATCAAATTGATTTAACACCTACGCTTTCGGTGCTCATGTCCGTGGAAATTCCTACGCCTTCCATTGGGTGCCTTATACCAGAAATGCTCGAATCAATGTCGTTGGAGCACCAGATGTATGCTTACTTTTACAATGCCCACCATTTGCTTAACAAGGCACGCGTAAAGTTTGGCCACGACCGAGTCCGACGAAGTGGTAATTATGTTACAGTTTTGTTTTTAACTTATTTATTTTAATAAATTCTTGTTTCTAGATTACTATACATGGTATCAAAACGCCACACTACTCCATAAAAAATTGCTGCATCCTTTAAGAGAAGGAGACGGCAGTGGAGCCAGCAAGGTGCACTACCAAAATGCCAAGCTTAACTATATGCGGGTGGCGCGCGAAATTTCCAGTTTACTCTCAGAGTCACTGGTCAAGTTTGACTATGGTTTCATTGCTCTGGGACTTGCTTTAACCACAGTGGTGAGGTCTTCTTTAAAGATGTGTAATTGTCACAGTAATATTTTACTGATTTTATTCCCTAGACTTCTCTTCACATTGTTATTAGTGTCTTGTACCTGGATCTCACGAAACAACTTAAGTTGGAAAGCATCAATGCGGGACAGCTGTTCATTTCCGTGGCCACGGGTATCCTCCTAAACTTAACTAGTCATGGATTGGATCTAATTCTAATCAGCTCCATTTGGCACAGTATTTTCCTAACCATTCCAATAAGTGTGGCGGTTTATCTAACTATCGATGTGGCGCAGGCGCTACTTAAGATTGCCCTTCCACCTATATACACCCGCCGTTTGAAACTTTCTATTCCATTACCGCTACCGCTGCTGGCCTGTTTTGCTATACGGACATTGACTCTTGGGTCTTCCTCGTTTATTGAGACCGAGTACAAGACGTGGTATTACTTGGGAAATAGCCTTATCCTGTTAACAGCCTTCCGGACCCTTCGTCGTCGTATTACTAAGGCTAATGTAGAGCTGGATGGCCGACATCTGTACACCGTTGCCTCGACATGTCTCTGGCAGCTCCGCAAGGTTTTTGTCATGCTTATGCTGCTTACTTTGATGCGATACCTTCACAGGCTTCAGGCCATTCGGAGCACAATCACAATATTTTCGCTTCTGCTACTTTGGGCGCGTCTGCATCATCACAATCAGCGTCTGCAGTCTGTGGCCAGTGGAGCAGCTTTGTTTTTGGTGTACTGCTATAGAGGTCTTAATGGTCAGGTGCAGTTCTTTGAATTGGCTCCCTATTTAATGTGAGTATCTGTTTAGCACCCCAAACTTTTAAAGATAAAGAATCTTAATATATTTATAGATCTCGAATCATGGTGCCCACTCTGGTGATGTTCTGGTGCTGCTTGGCTCTGGTTCTTGTCTTAGGATATTCAGCGGCATTTCCTCAGACGAAAAGGTTTGGGGATTTGCCGCCAAGGCAAGTGTTACTTCAGCTGCTGCAGACAAACCTCACCTGTTCCTTGATACTGTCAGCCCTATTGCAAAAGGTGCAAAACATAATCCTGCTGCCGGTTCTTCTTGTAGCCCTGCAGCAGTCCTACAAACTATGCGATGTATTTGCGACTAGTGCGCGCAAGTTTTCCGTGCGATTGGTGCACGTGTATAAAATCATCCTGACCATATTTTTGGCCAGGATGTTCTATTTTTACCAAGGCAATTCAAACAGCCTATCCACCATCGATCTAACGCCCGGATATATCGGACAAACAAGCTACAACCCTGTGATCGTAGGACTCTTTGTAACTTTAAATACCTATAGTGCCGAAATTCACGCATTTCTTTACCTAATCGTTCACACTCTGCGTGCGGATCTCCGCAACGTGGGTATCATGCAATTACAGCCGCCGTACTCAATTGCAGCGGACTCGCTTATAGTTCCACTCTACGCTGCTCTCGTTATGCTACCAGCAGCCTTCTACCTCTGTCTGATGGTGGGATTCCGCTACCATCTATTTATATATTCCGTATTTTCCCCAAAGGTCCTCTACGACTGTTACACTGTACTGGTTTTTTATTTGGTATTTTTAGTAACGAGTTTGTACTTTAAATTGTTTAAAAATGACGCTTAAATAAGAAATAATTTAAAAACGCTTAAGCTAATACAGAAATGTGGTTAGTAGTTTGAATTGGTTTAGATAAATGTAGATTATTTTAAAATTAACTATTATCTTTAACTTAAATTTAGGATGCTACTTCGCCGACGCGAAGAGCGTAATGAATGTCATCGGCGCTGACGTTTAGTAAGATTTTCTGGAAAAGATCATTGCGAGAGTGTTCGCTGATAATGAGACGCTCAGCACCTAACTTGGCGCACAGTCGTAAGGCGCGGCCTGGCGCTGGGACGGCTGCGCCCATGAAGGCAGCAATCGTCTCCACCTGCGTGTAGACGCCCATGAAAGTAGTCTCCTCGACGCCAGTACGCGTGACCTCTGCAGCCACCGCCTGTAGGAAGATCTGCTCTAAGCGGGAACAGTTCTTAATAGCTTGCACCTTGGCACTGGCAATCATTTCCGCCAGGGCTTGCTGCACATGCAGCATGGTCACGCACTTAACAGTTGCACTGTCGGCGTCAGCGATTTCTGTGGATCTCCTGCAAATGTCAAGGGCTCGGCGGGCATCTCCGGACACAGCAGCCACCTTACGCGCCACTAACTGCACGGCCTCACCCTTGAACGCCTGCGAGCCACCCAGTCGAGCAGTAACAATCTCCTGTAGCTGCTTGTGTGAGTACGGCTGGAACGTGAGTCGGGTTAGCCCAAGACGTGAGGTAACCTTGCCTGAAATAAAATATATAGGTAACATTTTTGCAGAGGGATGGTTTAAAAACAATCTTACCCATTAGCAACCTCTCTGGCAGATCCATGGTGTTGGCAATCGTTACTACCACAAGCTTGGCAGCCGACTTTGTGGGCCAGTCTAGCAGATTGTAGACCACGTCCTGCCGACGGTTGCATAGAATATCCAGCTCGTCCACCAACAAAACGGTAGTAACTCTGCGTGGAGCAGGTGTGGTAAATCGCTTCTCCAGCAGCGAGTGGGCGTGCTCCCAGGACACGGTCTTTCCAGTCAGCTGCTTGTAAATCTGAACGTAAGCCTGACGCGGTTCTGTTAGGCGCATTCCATTAATCTCCAAAAACTCGAAAGCTGGAAGCTCGTTCTTCTTGGCCAGGCGCTGTAGTGTACGTATAACTCCAGTGACAGTAGCAGTTTTACCTGTGCCCGGCACACCAGACACATACATGCATCCGCCGCACTGGTCCTGGATCTTTCCCTCAAGGAAAGCGTAAATGTTCTCAAACTCCCGTTCGCGGCAGGGCAGGCTCGTGGGCACCACGGAAACGTGGAGCTGTTCCCGGGCCAACTGCAGCTGTGACTTACTGGAGTCTTCCATCGGACGATCTGTGCGCTGCTGCATACTAGGACTCAATTCGCCGGAACGGATTTTATTCATTTTCTGTGAGGGTGTCATGGGGGCAGCAGCTCCCTTACTTGGAGTGGCTGTTGCTTTGCTAGGAGTAGTTGAAGTCTTTGTAGTGGTGCTCATTCGGCGTGGCCGGGTGGGAGTTTTTTGGGTCGCTTTCTTAGGTGTGTAGTCTTCATCCTCGCGCTCATCTTCTGAGACTTTCTTGGCGCGGCTTCTTTTCGGCGTGGATATGATTTCGTCCTCCTTGAAGACGCGTTTCTCCACAATATTGGATAGTTGAATACTTCTTCTGGGGGTTCCCTCAGCTGGAAAGGACCATTATCAGTTTTATTTTTATTAATTTACTAAGTATACCTACCTAATCTACTGGTGGTTGACTTCAAGATGCTCTTGCGTCTTGTCGATGGCGTTAGTTCCGCCCCAGCAACTGGTTCCTTAACCTTCTTAGTAGGCGTGTGGTAAATATCTCCATTGGTCACACCTAAGCGTTTGCGCGACGGGGTTTTGGTTGTCTCTGTTGGCTCCTCAATAGCCAGAGGATCGTGATCCATGGAAGCCAATCTTACAGAACGCCGTCTCTCCGATAGGCGCAGCTTTATTTTCATGTCATTGGACGGCGTCTTTGGATCCGGCGTTTGCTGGACAATAGAGTAGTTTAGACATTCCGAATCGGCCGTGGAGTCAGCTCCTCTGTCCAGGCTGAGATTAAGATTGCGTCGCGCAGCTGAGGCACGCGACTTAGGCGTTTCCACCTTCGCATTTTTTTCTGTTAGCGGCGAGGCTGGTAGATAGTTAGCATTGATCTCCTCGTCCTTGTGGGCCGACTTCTTCTTCTCCGAAAGGCGCACCACACTGCGCCCGCCCACAATCTTAATGGGCGACACCTTGTTCTCGCAGTTAAAGTAGTTGACGTCGACGAATTCCAGAGAGTTGGCCGCCACCACGGAGCGTCTTTTCTTCTCCACAGTTGACTCATTGGAAGCCTTGCTTTTGCGCGCAGAGCGTGAAGCAGACTTTGGTTCAGGTTGTTCCAGGTGTATCTCCAAGGGAATCAGGCAATAACGCCGCTTCACCTTGACGAACTTGTAGCGGCTCACAAACATGGGGCAGGCCGTGGTCTTCAGTTTGTGGGCCTTACTACTGATAATCTCCTGCGCTGATTTTTGAGAGGTACCCTCTAAAACAATGCACTTGCGATAGATGGCTCCTAGAGCGACGTCGTTGTCGTACGGCCTATGTTCCTCGATGACCTCTAGGTCGAAATCAATAGCGATGCTGTCGTCGTCGTAATTCTGTTGTGGGATAGCCTGGGGGCGGGAGTACCACTGGACAACGGCGCGGCAGGGATCACGATCAGTTTGTTCGCGGAGATCGTACATATGCAGGATCTTGGCCACGTCGCATCCGTCCACAGTATCGGGTTCAGCTGCATCGGCATTCGACACCAAGATGTAGTCACCTACCGTCAGAGTCAAAGGTCCGTAGATACACTTTTCGTAGAAGTACACGTTTTTGTGCTCCAAGCCTTTAACACTTTTAGATGAATCGTGGCCGCCGATCCATTTCACCTGCTGTCCCGCACTGAATTCATTTTCTTTATTAACCATTGCAAAGCCAAATGATTGGCCTGTTAATTCAACAATTCTCCAAAGTCAGCAGTTAATCTCAATTTGGGTGTTCTACTTATATTTGTTCTCTTGCTCTTCAACGATCAGCTTGCCGCCTGTTTTTTTTGTTTTGGCGGGAAGCCGATCATGCTCAGGATTTTCCAACACTGGTGTAGTGTCTATTGGTGGGGTTTTTAAATTTAAGCACTACCAATCATTGGAATTACTTTGTTTTTTATTCTTCTATATATGTTTTTTTAATTAAAAATAATTATTTATATAATGTGAAATTATTTACTATATATCCAAGTTTTTTTATATAACCAAGTTTTTGGAGCCCTTCTTTTTCTTGTTTCTTAAAATTACTTCCACATTAAATTATTAAACTTTATTCACTTAATTGTTTAATACAAAAAATTATTATTTGAGAATTATTAAAAAATTCTTCTAAAAATTAAAATTTCAAAAATACATTTCTTATATGTATTAAGAGTTTTGGATAATGTTTAATAAAATAATCTTTGATATTATTTTTTTCATAATTAACATTAAATAAATATCGAGAGATTAGCTTTAAAAATCATTACTTTCACCGAGTCCTGCCCTGTTAGAGCGTTTAGTGTTTTTTAGTCACAAATCCATTTGCAACCGTTGTCAAAACATTTCGGTTTTTAAATTGTCTTGAAACCTAATAGAAAGGTTCCAAGACATACTTCAAAAATAGTCTTAAAAAATTTTATATTTATAGGTTTTTGGCTTCAAAATGTTTCGACAACTGCGAGTAAGTTAAATAGTTTCATCCCACTTGGTTGCGTAAGATGCACCTGACTGCATTTCTTCCTTCTATTTTTAAATTTCGTAAGATGACACTGGATATTTCGGGTTGGATCTTTATGCCATGGAGACGCAACCTCTGCAATAAGCAGAGTCCTCCGGCACCGCCGCTGACCAGCACTATTAATGACGTGATTGTGGACTACGACGATCCGGATTATTTGCCTCTGCCGGAGTATCCTGTACGACCAAATGAACCCCTGGACACTCGCAAGCAGCGGTGGGTTTGAGTGAATAGTTTAACTAAATAGTAGTAATACTCTAATCCTCTACAGACTTTTGTACCAATCGCGCAAGCGGGGTATGTTGGAGAACGACTTGCTTCTTAGCACATTTGCAGCTAAATACCTAGAGAACTTTAACGCCGAGCAGACAGCCCTGTATGACCAACTAATCAACGGAGTGAGCAATGACTGGGACATCTACTACTGGGCCACCGATGTAAAGCCCACGCCTAAGGAATACGATACCGAGATTATGAAGCTGCTCAAAGAGCATGTGAAGAACGCGGAGCGAGTCACTCGCATTCGTCAGCCGGATTTGTACTCCAGTGAATCCTAGATATAATGCTTAACCAAAATTTCCCATTGATTCGGAATATGATCTCTGTTGGCAACTTAACACATATATTTTTTTGAAACACAAAAATGGGAAAAATATACTCCCAAAGAAGTTTAAACATCTTTCTCTTTCAATAATTCCAAAAGAATAAAAAACCAATGAAAAACCTTATTCAAAGCTTTAAATATTATGTAGTATTTAGTTTTTAGAAAACAAAAAAATAAAATGCAAGCCCTATTAACATCTTTCAAATACTTTATAAAGTGTGGGCAAGTTGGTTAACTCGTAGATTTGTTCCTTAAGGCGCGGAGGTGGCAGCAGATATTTTTTAAAGGCTGGAAAAAGAACATGTTCCATGATCCACCTCGGATGTCCCGACATTGAGCCACTTTGACACTCCATCTGCGAGTAAAACCGAGCTGTTTCCCGGCAAAAAGTCTTAAAGCAGCGAACCTCTTCTTCCCAGTCTACTTCGGTGGCCAAACGTAGCAAATAGACTGGCAGATGGGCCACATTGGGTTGGTGTTGCGGTACCAAAGTAGGCAGCGATTCCAAAAGTCCGTCGTCAGAAATCCGAAGGCTAAAATATTCGCGCATAATCGGGGCCTTTTGCTGAAGAATTTCCACGGCGCTTTCAGCTAATTCTTTTTTAGGACCGTCCTCAGGGGTCCAACCAGCTGCCTCGCTCTCCAGTGCCAACATTATTAGTTCCTGGACAGAAAGCGGTGGATTCAAGCTTATTTCTGGACAATTTTGAAATTCGTACAATAGCCGCTGATAGAATAGTTCCTCAGCAAAAGCGCGCGTGTTGCATAGGTACAGATGCGTTTCATATTGAAAAAGAGCTCTTCGCTCGTCCACACAACCCACATATACTAGGTTCTTGAGAATGCCCCGAAGCTGGACACTGCAATTTCTCTCCACTCGTTGACGCATGTCCAGTACGCTGCTCAACCGCACTTCGCGCGACTTTCGTGCTGCTGTCTGTCGAAAACTTTCTTCTGGCAATGGTGGAGCTCCCTCGGAGGAGGTGGACGAAATCCCAGAGTCGCTTTTAACCAAAGAAGTGAAGAACTTCTCCAGCTTCTGTTCGCTAGCATCGGTGCGGACCAGTTCCTTGGGATAGATTCGCTGTGTTTTATCACCTGGCTGCGTTTCATCCAAGTCCGGAGCGCCTGGTAAGCGAAGTTGCTTATAAAAGGTTCGTGTCGAGTTGCTTCCCAAGAGCCTGGCTTCCAACTGCTCTTTTAGCCGCTCCACAATCTCGTCCTGATAGAGGAAGTGCACCTCGTGTTTCGTGGGATGTACATTGACGTCCACATTTTGGGCTGGCAAGGTGAGGCTCATGTATATGAAGGGATGTTGGCCCCGCGGCAGATATGTCGAGTATACGGACTCAACGGCGGTCTTTAATGCTAAAAATGGATTTTTTAGAAACCGAAAGGTGGTGGATATGGACACACTTACAAGTAGATTCTACTAACCGATGATTGATGAACAAAAGCATCTGACTCTTTTTGGCAGAGTAGTTGACTTGGGTAACCAAGCATTCGGCGTCGAACTTAAATACTTCGTCCCGATGGCTGAATTCCAACAGCTCTTTGGATATTGCTGCGCCATAGATGATTCGAATGTTCTCGGAACGAGAGCTGTCGACTGGAGTTCTTAGACTTGGCTGAGCTTCTCCCTGCTTGCGAAGAGTGAAACCGACCCGAGGATTATGGACGGCGTACCTCGCCAACACTTCCGATAGCTTCTGGAACTCTTCTGCCGGCGACCTCAGGGCCTGGCGACGTTGCGGCATATTGTAAAAGAGATCCTCGATGGATATGATAGTGCCCTGGTTACCGGCGCAGGGTTTCGGCTGCCCTTGGAGCTTGCCATCCGCATAGGTGGCCTTATAGCCACACCTCTCCTTCGCTGTCTTAGTTTGGATACTCAAGTGAGCAACATGGCTGATACTGGCCAGAGCTTCACCCCTGAAGCCGAACGTTGCTATATGAGTAAGGTCCTCAAACTTCGATAGCTTCGATGTGGTAAAGCGTTCACAGACAATGCCAAGATCTTCTTTTCGTATGCCAGTGCCGTTGTCCTGGATTTGGAGTAGTTTCAGGCCTCCCGCTTTGACCTGGACTTGAATGTGGCTTGACTGTGCGTCCAGGCTGTTCTCCAGCAGCTCCTTGAGTGCGTTGGCAGGTCGCTGGATAATCTCACCGGCAGCGATTCGATTGACCACCACTTCATCCAATTTCCGGATGACCCCAGGCTCCAGGTCGGACATGGCGGGAAGGTTTTATCTTAATTCAATGGTAAATAATAGTTTAGTGTGGCCGGGTTTTTTATATAAGATAGTCGATATGGTCACATACTTGGAGGCCTATATTTAAATTTTAAGTCATAACAATTTAAATTTATTTTCTTCCTACAAACCTCTTAGTTTATTCCCCAAAACTAGCCTGAAAGTCTGATAGAAATTATGATGTTAGCCATAGAAATAGTAATAAAAAAAAATAAAAGATTTAATTCAATCAAACGATTTGTTTATTTAGAAAATATACATGTTAACAATGTTTCTCTAAGTGGTTTCAATTTTTATAACTTTTATATAGATAATAGTTTGTAATATTCTTTAATATATAGTATTATATTTGATATTCTTCATCAGGTAACCTCATGAGATTCAGGTATTCTCGTTTATTCGTTTTTTCCTTACATATTGTCTTTAGATTTATTTAATATATTTTGTGAACTTTTTAACTTAATTATACTTGAAAGTATTCAACAGTTAATTTAGTAACAGTTAAACATAGAGAAGTCTGGTATATTTTACATGAGATTTCTAAATATCTCTTTAGATTTTCCAACATAAACGATTTGATTCAAAGCTCTCTACAAAAACGAAGCTATATTCCAAAATTGGGAATGTGTACCTCAATGATATGTAAAATTAATACTATTGGAACCATTTGCACTTTAGGCAAATGAAAACAGAGATTCCAAGTAAAATAGTAGTATACTTGAAGTAGTTCCGCACTTTTTTGCGCTTTCGTTCGGCGATGATATCGTTGAAATCGATGTACAGTGGATTTTTGTGAGGACTAAAAGAACCCAACTAAAAATTTGGAGAAAAAAAAAGTGTAAGAAAATATCATAAATGGGGTCTGTAAAAACTTACATATTTAACAGTTCTTGACATTTCGTTGATCACATCCCTGTAGCCTTGGAGGTTGCTCTGCAAAATAGTTAGCTGCGTCTCGGAAGGCTGTCCCAGTTTTTGTGCCTTCTGATTCTTTAAAACGAATTGCAGAGAAGCCTGAAGGATAACCAACTGCTGCAGATGATTAGCGGCAATCATCAGAATCTCATAAAAGCTAAAGAGAAATTAATGACAAAAAATATTAAAAATTAAGTTCAAGCCAAGTAGAAAACGTACTTGTCCATGCCATCCTTTTTTACGCGAGCTATAGACTTCTTGGACCAGTGATGAAGATGAAAGCTGGAAGAAAACACATTTTTAAGGCAAGTTTTAACCATGTTTTGAAAATAACTCACTCCAGAATGCCCTTCATGATTTTGTTTCGGTAAATTGGAAATTCAATGCCTATTTCTTTAAGAGATTGCTCATCCATGACCAGAAACTCAGCCAATGATATTCTCGCCTCGGCAAAGTACCGCAGCGTGTTTTGCACTTCCATTGATTGGAGAATGCAGTTCAATTCCTGAAAGTACTCCGGGCAATCGCTTTTTAAGAAAAGGCGCGGTATCTGATCTCGTAGGGTACTGTAGCCCAAGAAATGGGATGGCACTAGGTACGCAGATGGTGCTTGGGGCAAAAGCTGTATGAGATCATAGTAGCCATGACATTCAGCTACCTGAGTTGGAGTGTATCCTTTGTTATTGGCTATTGTGACATTGACGCCAGCTTCCACCAAAATCTTGACCACCTCAATATGGTTGTGCTCGATGGCGTGGAAGATTGGTGTACACCCTTTATTATCTACGGCGTCGAAGCTCACTTCCTTGATCATCATGCGAACAACGCTCGTAAAGCCGTTCCGGCAGGCGAACATAAAAGGCGTCATGCCGTACTTGTCTGACACGTTGATGACGGCTCCATTCCTTAGGAGTAGACGCACCAATTTGTCCACCAAATGAGCGTCTTTTTTTTGGCAATCACATGCCAGCATCAAAGGCATCACAGAGTCTACATGTCTATTGACATTGGCGGATAACTTCTCTACAAGATACTCGGCTAGTTCATATTGTCCGTTCATACAAGCGTACATCAAGATGGTGGGGCCGTCCTTAAGGCTATCGTCAACATGAAATAGCAAAGCTTTTATCTCCCTAACCACAGCCTCGAAATCACCATCCAAAACTGCATCGTAGAGCTTCTGCTCGGGGTGCACATATGGGGCTGGTTTTGGGCGGTTCATCTACAGTAAAATAATCATAATGAAAGCCAAGGATATGGGAAGACAACCAAAACCGTTTACCTTATCTGAGAAGTAAAAGCCATCGTAGCTACTGTCCGAATCATCGGAATCCATGGGAGGACCATAGGTGCAGTTGCTCATCTTTCTGGAAAAGGGTTGGATTTCTTGTGAGGATTTGATAAGATTCTAGCACATTGTGTTGTGAAAACAAAATGCGCAGGAGGTAATCAGTGATGAAAAACGTCAAACAGGGATTTTCGCGAAACTTACAGCACTGCAAGCTTAAGCCGATAAATTATTGGCGCGCTTTCGACCTTTTTAAAAGCTCTACAAAAAATAAATACTTTGGAAGAGTAAATTATTTATTTTACAAAATTAAAAATTAACATTGCATATAACTATTCATCAAAATTTATTTCTTTTTATCCTTCTTGGCGAATCTTGGGCCTCCGAAACTCTTTCCCTTGTTGAACTTGTTTTTGCCCGCCTTGTTTGTTATTTTAACGTTGCTGGCCTTCTTCTTGGCGGCAATCTTAGTCAGTTTCTTATGACGATTAGCTTCAGATCTTAGACGTAGGGCACCACTGCGACTAACGTCTGTTAGATCATTGGTAAACGCCGACTGAGGGCCACGCCGCTTGGGCTGCCGGCTGCTGGCTGCACTACCTTTATGATTTTCGGTGGCTGCTCCCAGCTTGCCAGGGCGTTTGCGCAGCTTGGCCATCTTTGCCCGCACCAGGGACACTTTCTCGATCTCCTTCATTGCCCGCTCTTTGGCCAGTTGTTCGGGCGTTTTCTTTTTCGGCTCCTCTTTCTTCTTTTTGTTGCGCTTTGCCTCAAGCTCCTTTACTGGCGGTCCATCTTCGCCATCGCCACCATACTCAGGCCTCTTCCGCTTGACTGCTGCTTTTCCCTTACCCTTGGCACCGGCCGGCTTTTCCTCATCTGCCGGCGTCAGTGCCAAGCGTGCCTTCTCATCCTCGCGCTGCTTTTTGGTTTGGAACCAGCCACGTCGCTCGTTAGACTGGCCCAGCAGTTTCCGCTCCGTTTTGGACAACTGCTGCTCGGTCTTGGCCAACTGACGTTCTGCCTGTTCTTCTTCAAGAATGTTTTCTATTGAAATATAAAAATTAGTATACTTAATTGATTAAAAATTAATTTAACAGCACTTACGAATTTCTGGTTCCAAAGCAGTTAGTTTGTTTCGGTACTTTTCAATAATCTCTGGAGGTATAATCCGATTCTTGATTGTGCTTTCTGCATTCTTTATGATATCCTTGACTATCTTTCGCTCCTTTTCTCCAGCAAGCGACACGGAAATACCAGCACGTCCGGCACGAGCTGTACGACCCACACGATGGATGTAATGCTCTGTTGTAATGGGCATTACAAAATTGATGACCGTCTTGACGCCAACGATATCCAGACCTCGAGCGGCCACGTCGGTGGCTATTAGCACGTCGATCTGTTCTTCCTTGAACTTCTTGAGCGATTCAAGGCGCTGTTGCTGGGTAAGATTTCCATGAAGTTCGCCTGCCCGGACGCCAAGAAGGCCCAACAGAATGTGGAGGCGATGGGCCTGTTTTTTGGTCTGCACAAATACCATGCAGTGGTCGTGGAACGTGCGGCAGATCAAGCTGGCCAAAATGGGCTCCCTATCACCTTCCTTATCTTCCCGAATACGAATGAATTCCTGACGGAGGTTGAAAGCCACCTGTTGGTTGTTGTTTACGAACACCTTTACAGGCTTGTCCAAAGAAACGGCAGCTAGATCTTTGACTTGCTCGCTCATCGTGGCGGAGAAGAGCATAGTCTGGCGCGTCTTGCAGCAAGAGTTGATAATCTCTTTCATCTGTTCCGCAAAGTACTCGTCCAACATCCTGTCAGCCTCGTCAAGGATGAGAACCTAAAAATGTAAATAGCTTCATTTCGAAATTTTGGAATACCACGAAATTTTTATTTTTATATTTCTAAAATCAGCTTGCCTCTGCCTCGCAGAGACAAGTACCAAGAGTTTCGTCTTTGCTCTAGAAAAGAACTCGGAGCGCAAGGATGGAGAATCATCACTTTCAATCGAAGGATAACGAAATTCCTCACGATTCACTTACCTCAATCGAATCCAGGGTAAAGCTCGGAGTGTTCTTAATGTGGTCAATTAGACGACCGGGAGTGGCAATAACTATATCTGGATTTTGACGCAGTACCGCCTCCTGGGCCTTTACATCCAAACCACCGATGGCCAGACCAACGTCGATGCTTGTGAACTGACACAGTTGCTTGGTAACCTGATAGACCTGAGCACCCAGCTCACGAGTGGGCACCAAAACCAAGACTCTGGTTATAGCCTTGTTGTTAAGCGGTCGGTAAAGAAGTCGTTCCAGAGTGGGTAGCATGTAAGCAGCAGTTTTTCCTGTACCAGTTGCAGCACAGCCACAAATATCACGACCCAATAAGGCCACTGGAATAGTGGATGCCTGGATAGGCGTGGGATATATGTAACCGAGCACGCCGATGGCCCGCATCAGAGGACGGGACAGATTCATCTGGTAGAACGAGGTAATCTGGTCATTGGCTTCAATCGAGTCGTCAAATTGCATCTTTTCGCCTTCATCCTCCTCGTCCTCCTCTGCAGCCTTTTTCTTTTTGTTTTTAGACAGTTTCTTTTCACGTAGCCGTAAGTTGTCGTGCTTCAGTTCATCCTCTGAAAGGTCAATTTCGCTTCCGTCGCTCTGCTCGGCAGCTACAACCTCTGCGCCACCTCTTTTTTGAAGACGCGCAGCAATCTTGTCATCGGTCTTGGTGCGTGCCTTCCTCTTCACATACTTCATCAAATCGTCCCATGTGTCTTGGTTGTATTCCTTTACAGAGGACACAAACTCAAAGCCCTTCTCGAACTCTGTGACTTTTTTATGCCTCAATTTAGTGGGTTGGTACTGCAAATAAAATATGTAAAAGATGAACAACAAGTGGTAATGAGTTTTGATTTGTAACAGATGATTTGTCTCACCTCCACTTCGGCATCGGAGTCCTCGGATAGGTTCTCAACCTCTGCATCATCCTCGATGGTGCCAATCAAGTCCAGATTCTTGGTTGCACCCATTTTATCTTCAAAAATCAATGATCAAATGCAGCGCGTGTTTACAAATCAAACGCACGTGTGCAGCAGCGGTTAGTGGTGGTAGCTATTTAAGTAATCGAAATTCGATAATAACGAAATTTAAATAGAATAAATTAAGTTTCCATAAGGATGAAAAAAATTAAATTTTCATTTGAAGTTGCTATTTTCGCATAGTTAACAACATAATTAAAGTACATTAAACTTCTCACAAATCAAAATATTCTGATTAAAACAACTACAAGTATTCGATAGCTTAGTGCCGGCAACGTTTATCGCTCATCTCGCATTTCTCATACAGCTGTTTGTACATTTTGTTATGAAATTTTCGGAAGGTTCTCATTAAAAATGCTGCGTTTAATGACAAAAACTCGGCTCGTCAGGTAAGCAAACACTATAAGATATTAAAGAAACGACAATTAAGAAAATATGAATTGCAGGCAAATTGTGCCAGCCACAGGAATTTCCTCCTCTTCGCCACGCTTTTTTGCACAACAGAAAAAGGAAAACAAAAAGTTGGACGAGGAAGTTATCAACAACGAGCCGATTCAGTTCTTTGGAAGCCAGGCAGCCTCCTGGAGAGCTAAGGATACGCGAAGTGGCGGAAGCGATGAGTCGCTTTGGTACCAGCCCTACGTGATCTCGGCCAGCTTGGCCATATTCCTCCTGTACTTCTGCTGCTTGCGGGAGGAGAGTGACATCGACCAGCGGCTGGAGGGAAACCTTTACGACCATGTGAGCGGCCTGGAAGAAGTCCAACTGACAGTCAACTACAAATACAACAAGGAACACGGTCTGGATACTAAAGAGCAGGAGAAGCGACTCGTAGAACTGGGCGTGGACTTGGGCCAGTTGAACGCTAAATTGGCCGCTCAATAGTCATAGAATTGGTTATCTTTACGTGTTTTGTTTCATAAGTTGACATTGATTAAACAATATTCTTAGCAACTAATCATAGTAGTTTTAAATACCATTCGCAAAATTATAATTTATAAAAAAAAGCTAAGTTGTCATCACCGCATCAAGCAGCAAACAATCGCCCCAGCTGTTCGCTATCGATAGTCAGCTGATGACCCACCCACGGAAACCTGCAGCAAAAGTCTAAAAAGTAAACTAACCATCTGCTTTATTCATTATTTGTGCGTTTTATGCACCTACCCGCCTATATCGTGCCGGTAGACTATTCATAATTGGACACCAGCGAAATCTGAGCAAGAACAGTACAATGGTATGCAAACAAAGAAGCCATATCGCTTCCGTCCCCGCCCATGATGCGCCATGCAGCTAACTGATTTGCATTTATACGATGTAGAGCTACGATGACGATGACTATCCGGCGGACACGTTCCCCAAGGACTTTGGCTACAGAGCGTACAACCAGGATGGTCTTGAAATGGAGCCGAATGCCACAGGCAGCAGCGAGACCAAGCCCAGGATCTTGCTGATGGGACTGCGCAGATCGGGCAAGAGTTCCATCCAAAAGGTGGTCTTCCACAAGATGTCGCCGAACGAAACACTCTTTCTGGAGTCCACTAGCAAGATCGTCAAGGACGACATAAACAATTCCAGCTTTGTGCAGTTTCAGATATGGGATTTTCCGGGTCAGATTGACTTTATCGAGCCGACCTTTGACTCTGACATGATCTTTGGTGGCTGCGGAGCGCTGGTTTTTGTTATAGATGCGAAGGATGATTATAATGAAGCTCTGACCAAGTTCAAAAATACAGTGATAAAAGCGTACAAGGTAAACCAGCGCATCAAGTTTGAAGTGTTTATCCATAAGGTAGGTTTCATAGGGCCAGAATTGTTTATCTGAACTAATCGTGCATCTGGCGGTTTCCCACACAGGTTGATGGAATCAGCGACGACTCTAAAATGGAATCGCAGCGCGACATTCATCAGAGGACGTCGGACGACCTCAGCGAGGCAGGCCTCAACCAGATCCACCTGAGTTTTCACCTCACCTCCATATATGACCACTCGATCTTCGAGGCATTCTCCAAAGTGGTGCAGAAACTCATTCCCCAGCTGCCCACGCTTGAGAACCTCCTAAACATTTTTATACCAGTAAGTTCCAATAGTATTTCCTAATTTGAGCATAAAATTAATCAGTTACTCCCCACAGAACTCTGGTATAGAAAAGGCTTTCTTGTTTGATGTTGTCTCCAAGATTTACATAGCCACAGACTCCTCGCCGGTGGATATGCAGACCTACGAGCTGTGCTGCGACATGATTGACGTAGTCATCGATCTGTCCAGCATATATAGGCAAGTCAAATATGCTTTTTATTAAAATATTCCGTTAAACTGATAAGGGGTTTTACAGCTCTGAGGAAACCGCATTCGACAGCGGCAGTTCTAGTCTCATAAAGCTGAACAACAACACGATACTATACTTGCGAGAGGTGAATAAGTTTCTGGCATTGGTCTGTATCCTGCGAGAGGAGAACTTTAACCGTCAGGGCGTGATCGACTACAACTTTATCTGCTTCCGTGATGCCATTAGCAAGGTATTCGAGTTGCGGCTCAAGCGCCAGAAGCAGCTCGAGAATATTGATCAGGACGACGATGATCTTGTGGAGGATCACACCCTGGTTGGCCATGTCACCGATCCATCTGTGATGTCGCGGGCGCGGCCGATTGATTAGGCGCGCTCCATTGCTAGGCGGGCCACGTTTATTTCTCTATGCTAACTTCTCTGTGGACACATTGATTCCGATTTCTATGTTTTCTTCCGTTATATCTGCTGTTAATTTTTGTCTACTGATATGTTAAGTCGCTCCCCATGCAGAGCAGCGTGAGCAAGTTGCCCAGCGGTTGAAATTAATGATAATAATACCAATAAATATGTCTATTTTTAATAAACGAAAAACGTATATTGCGCCATTTTGAAAGTTTCAGGATCTGTAATAGTTTAAGTTTTTCAAATAAAAATTTTACAAATAAAACCGGGTTTTCTACTTTTATTAAATACATAAATATGTTTTTTAATTTTGATTAATTTTATTTAATGTCAATTGCTTAAAGGCGAATCTTTTCTAAAATTTATATTTAATAAATAATTTAAATATTTAAAAATCATAATTACAGAAAAAAGTAAATTTTTCGCTGCTTAATTTAACGGTATCACTATCTATATCCAAGCCTGGTTACACTGAAAAGAGTGAGACCAGGCAGCTGGGAGCCTACAGAGACCAGCTGAGTCGAAATTTTGAACATAACGCAGTAGAGCCGTGGAGAGGAAACAACTAGAAAATTAGTCTTGCTCTGTGTTGTCGTGCCCGGGAGTTAGTTAAACGCCGCGTCTAGCTTAGTTAGCCAATTGTTCGCCGTCGAGTGGCCCTTACATTCCATTTCTAGCGCCGGACACGGATTTGGTGCAATCGCAGTAATCGCCGAAAAAGAGAACCCTGGAAAGTGGTCGGTGTGTGTGTCTGTGTGTGTGTATTGGCGAGCAGTGAAAACCAGTTAGTGAAAGAGATTCAATAACGTGTTGTTGGGGAAAAAAAGAACAAATTGTTTTGGAGTGTGTGCAACGCCAACAGCAACAGCAACAACCAGTTGGTGATACGAGTCCGCTTTCCTTTCCTCACTCATTAGCGGCGCTTTCCTTCAGCCAGCCAGCGACTGGAAATCGGCGGGGAGACCTATAACCGGGCTACATCACTTGGCTTTGCCCGCAAATTGATATTAATATAGTGTATGCAAGTGCACCGACAGCATCTTGGCTAAAAATCAGGTGCGTACGCCTTTCCTTGCCAACTTTCGATATCGTCGATATACATATGTGTTTGGTCCCCGTGTCTGGTCTTGGCTATTATCTGTCTCCCTCTGGTGCGTGGACACACACAACTTATAGTATGGGTTATTGTTAAAGTCGTGCAGCATCTTTGGCATTCAGTCACTCATTCATTAGCTTAACACACATATTTTTCAGCGGCTAACAAATAAAGTGAAAGGTGTCGGGCACGCGTTTTCCCATCTTTTGTGCTCCTCTTGAATTCATTTATGTCTCCGCCAAGGAAAGCGAAATCGTTCTTAGTCATCGGGATTTTCAGGGGGTGGTTCAGTCGGAAGAGCCCTCTCCTGCCCGCCTGGCAACAGGCTTAGAATCAACATACTCCATAAATCGGTGCACTCCCAACGAATATTTTATTGATTTTGTGCAGCTGCTCAGCCCGGGCTCAGCCTGCCGCCGTTAATTATTATTTTTCGAGAGTGTGCGACAAGTGTTGCCACAGTCCCCAGGCACCACACCCACTTATGTCAGCGGAGGAAAAGCGTTAGCGGAAATGATTTCATACCTCGGAACCCACCACCGTCGGAGGCCGTGCTCACTGGCCATTGCCTGCCCCAAGTTGTCTGACAGAGTTTTCCTCGTTTTTCGACAGTTTTGGGTTTTCGGGCTATTGAGGTTAGGTACAGGGGTCCTGCTCAATGTCAGGATTTCCTTTGCGTCGTCGCAAAGTATCATGTTTTGGGGTGTGCGGAAAGCACGTTTTTCGTAGTGCGCCCAATTTCACGGCCAAATTGATTTTCCAACTCGAACTCGAAACATTACAAAATATTTCACACAGCAATGACGATAATAAAAGCGCCTTTTCATTTTCGCAGCCAGCACGCACATCGCAATAATTATAACTGTTTTTTTTCTTGCAAGAGCATGCTTGGCGGCCACCACGTGCGTCCACGCATTGGGGTTTTCGTCTCGTCGGCTTTTCCCACCCAGCTCGCCCTCCAAAGAAAGAAGCAGAAGAAATTCAAAACTTGAGCCATTTGTAGCCAAATTAAGGTGTTAACTAACCGTGAAGTTGGTCAGTGGGAGATCCAGCCGAAATGTTTTGAATTTAAACTTAAAATGGCCCTATCTTTAAAGATCTTTTCTAAAGATACTCTCTTTATAACTGTTTATTATTATTTTTATTTAATAAAAAAAAAAGATTATCTATTTTTTTTTCTGTGTAGTTTGTTGTTTCGGCAGACGAGCAGCTCGGAAATTGTTTGATCGATTCGATTCCTTCGTCTGCTTCCGCTCAGCCAGCTATCGGCTGGTAGCTTTTGCCCTGCCATTCGCCACTTGCTAACAGTTGTTTTCGTACGTGTGCTGCGCTCAGATACGCAGATACAGATACTTTTCTCAGATGCATTGTTGTTTGCTATTTTTTTTTCTTCTCCTCTCTGCTCTCTCCTTTCTCCTCTCTTCTATCCAAGCGGAAGCAACTCCATTTATGTAAATTGCTTGCGTGACATTTCAATACGTCGGGCGTTTTATGAAAAGCTAGAGCCAAAGAACCGACTCCATTGTTGGTCGTGGACGGACGTGGACCAGCAGATCTCCGCCATGCCATCATGCGCCAGGGTTGTCAGGGCGTCTATTCCCCCCCCCCGGCCGCCAATCAGCTTAACTGTGCTTTTTTATGGCCGCACTTGGCTCGTTTTTTATGCGCACTCATGGTCGCACATGTGCAATATCATTGCAATAGCGTTTTTCCAATAAGTATGCCTCGATGTACTTTGAATTAGCGTTAATGAATCTGCATATATGTAGTATCGCCTGCTCTTGTTTAAAGTATATTCCTATAAAGCTCATACATATTTGGGTTTATTTTGTGGCCCAAAACAAACATTCTGCCACGGTATTTCGGCTTTAATTCGTTTGCTTAATTTGCCTTTTTCGTGCTCAGGGTTCAGCGAGGTGAAACGGTTAAATGTTTTCAAAACTGCCCCCACTGTTTTCCTTTCCTTTCCCCAAAATAAGTATGTATGTATATGTATGTATCCCCCTTGCGTGTGTGTTCATTGTTATTTTGGTGTGCCGCCCTCCGGTGGCGGTGTGCATTATATTATGCTAACTAGACCCTAATGTCGGTGGGCCTGTGCTGTGTTTCGAGTGCTCTACATTAGCGTATCGCATCGTATACGCTTTTCTCCATAAAGAGGCCCCATTCGATATATTCCCTCCAGGGCTGCATTTGCATCGGGTTTCAAAGTGCGGGTTCATTGCACTGGATCACCCCAGCAGTACTTATAGATCAACGACATTCGTCGTGTTTTAAACCCTAGTGCAGGTCCGAAAACACAAACAAAAAAAAAACCGCCCATAACCAATGGAAAATGGAAAATGTCAGCAAATTATGAATAATGTAGTGAAAAATACAGGAACTACAGAAAAACGTGATCAGAGAAGGCCGCAAAAAAAAAAAACCGAGTGTATAAATTATATGTATTATCAGTCAGGGTGAAACGACATTTAAGACTTTTTCAGTTGAGCGGTTTGAGAAAATGAATCATATGATATGATATCTCTGGAAAGAGATAGCCTTTTGCTTTTCTCAGAAACTAACCGCCCACAGGGTTGGTTTAGTTTGTTAGCATCTCTTACACTGAGAAAAAAGTCTTAGATAACCATAATTTATAAACTTTTCTCACAATGTAAGTATTTTGGATGTGCACTCTGACAGATACGGCAACTCAATTTTCTGGCTGTCTCTGTCTACGTCTCCGTCTCCGTCTGCCTTTGCCCACAAAATGTTGACTTTTCGCATTAAGTTTCACCGTTAGCACAGATCGGGGGCCGCATTCGAGATGCCGAGATGCTATGGTCTCCCCTGGCGGCGACCGTTGCCGGCGATTTTCGCATTTCAGTTGGGGCAACAAAAATTGACCTAGTCAACGAAATGCGAGATCCCCGATCTCTCTCTCTCTGGGAGAGGAAAACTAGTTTTCCAAAGCTTTCAATGAGCTTTGCGAGAAAGCTTTTTGTGTTCTCTTCCTTAAGAGTAGGCTCTCTTAGAACATGGAGGCGTTTTCTCTTCTCAAACCTTTTGTTTTTGGCATTGACTTGGGGTATTGTTGATATTATAAACATTTCAAAAAAAAAAAAAAGAAAAACAACACCTAACCTTTGGGCTTTCAAGGTTCCTCCATCCAGGCCCGAGGGAATACGATTCGAACCCAAAACCCTGCCAAACTAGATAATGTCCAAAGTACGATTTTCACGTAATTGGAATAGACAAGTGAATTTCAATTAAAGTTCACCTTTGTGTCAGTGCCAGCTCACCTGTTGTCTCACCTGTTGTTTCCCCCCACCTGCGATTTGGTTCCCTCGCCATCCAAATGTCTCATTAACTACCACTAGTAGTAGTACTTAGGCTGTAAACAGACTTGCGCAAGTAAACAGCACAATATTTCCATACAATGTCTAGGTGACAGTACCTTCAGATCACCACAATGTGTAATAATTGGAAAAGAAGGGAATAGAACTAGCCTGATAGTAGGAATCGCATCGAGGGAAAGGCGTAATGGAAAATATGAAGCCTTGATTTCAAATTCTTATCAAAACTGTTGGGGTTTGATGACGCGATTGTTTTTAAACAAAATGTTTATGGTTTGTAATCCGAAACAGACTTGGGGCTCTTGGGCTTGTTTACATTAGGAAAGGAATACCTTTAAAGATCCATTCCCCATCGATAAATAGTAAGATATTTAAAAAAAAAATGAGATATACAATTTTTCCCAAAATATGTTAGGGAATCCCTTAAAACATGATTTTATTATAATCCTTATAATGCACCAATGGCAAATATCATCTAAAAAGCCTACCATTTCATGGATCGATTCCCTGTCGATCTTTTAATACAGATCTTTTTGGTATAACTCGTAAAGGAACCTGTAGTATGATCATTATTATATACGCATGGTTCCTAAAATTGTATCTGATTTGGCCAATAGGCACCCGACTTTTGAAAGAAATACTTCGAAATATTAACAGATTTATTTGATTCGATTCCCTATCAATGTTCATAAAAAACATTGTTAACAGTTTCTGATTCAACATTTTTCTAAAGGAAACCTTTCTTTAAGGGATTGTTATAAGGACTTGGTCAACCAAGGCTACTTCAAAGGGCTGATTCAAAGGGCAGGTCGGAAAGGCTCTTCCCCTTGCGGCAGCTCTAACCTAACCGAAACCTATCTAAAAACCTATTTTGAGCCATGACTACTACTTTCAAATATTTGTAAAATCCTGAAAATACCTATTACATTTAGGATTTAAACAATATTTTTAATTTTCAAACGAAAGTCCTTAATTTATTTGATTTGGCGGTTGGTTTCTTATTCGAAACATCCTTAAAGTCTTGAAATGTTATAACATGCCTGTTCAGAAATGCTTATATCCTATAGATATATAGATGCCTATAGATAATGCCTATATCTATTCCAATTTTCTTAAGATCCGTGAACGGATTACTTTTAAAGTTTGATTTAATCAGCTTTAAAATTGTTGTAATCTATCGATCTATAGATCTATGATATCTGTGTTGTCTAAAACCTATCGATTTAATCTTTGTCCTAGTTCATATTCTTGTTTTTTTTTTTTGAAGGAATCCTTTCTATATCTACATCTTCTCCAATATCGTTGAAAGAATACTGAATAAATGAAAGAATACTTCCTATTATTGTTTTCTAAGTAAAATGGCTTGAATGATCCATTAGTAGTACTTTCTAATCGGCGTGTTATCTCGCTTGGGGTGTAAAAAATAGAAACTGAAAACTTGGCAGTTCTCTGGGGAACTATCTGGGGAGCTATCCAATTCCCCACGCGCGTGTCAGCCATGCGAGTGTGTTTGTGGGACGTTGTTTTTTTTGTAAGTTCATTAATTGATAAACAAAAATAAAATAAAACCGAAACGAAAACAATAGACCCCCTTACAAGCGAGTAGGGTTCTTAACGATAAAATACCCTCCCCATAGCCGTGATATATGGAACATACTTTGATCATAATTCCCTGCCCTCATATAACCTGCATCGCAGGTATCCATTACCAGTTGCAGTAAACAAATTGCACGTATTGTTGTTTACACCTTCTGGCATATCCCAAGCACTTGCTGTTTTTGTTTTCAAAAGCACATTCTGTAATTTCTGAAAAAAAAGCCATGTGCACTGTGTGTTGTTTACAACCAATTTAAGCTCTTTTACATATCCCACTACCCATACCCCAACCCCACATCCACACCCACACCCACACCCACCAGCTAGCTCGGAGTGTCGAGCCCACAGATTGTGGCCAATGGGAGGCAAGTAAACAAGCTGCGGGCTAAACCAAAAAACAACAACAACATCAACGCGGAAGCGAATTTGTTTACGTCTTTATCCCAAGCAGCAATTAGAGATCGGACCAACATCAGTAAACTATATAGGAGTTCCTTACCATATAGGAAAGTTCAGAGATTAACTGGCTTGGAGGGAAGTTCACTCTTCCTAGCCAAAGAACGACCCTGGTTGTGATAATTTACGATGCCATTTGGACGTAGCTATGTATCTTTTGCTAAATATGTATCTTTTTTATTAGCTGGTCAGAGATACACACATAGAAAGATTCATTGATCGCACCGGTTCTTTCCAAGGGGGCCTGACTCTCTGCCGGTTTCCGCCTCTTAAGATTTCTATGCTACACCCCAACTGCGTCGTAATTCCACTTACCGGTGCCATAAACCTCTATAATATATATAATAGTATGTTCTCAGATATATATATTTATATGTATGCTTGGTTAAGGCGCGAGCACCACACGCGCTCTCAACTATTTCGACCTTGATGGGGGGGACTAGCAGCGGAGCGGCATTATCATCCATCCGACCACTCGGCAGGGCAGTTGTTTTGCTTTTTCTGATCAGCACTGAATATATTACAATGTCTATATGTATGTATCTAGAACCGCACATGCTCGAATATGGGATTGGAGATACATATATGTATATGGGAATGAAGGGGCTCGTCTCATGATGTTTTTCTTCATTGATGTAACTTGTTTTCAGAAACCTGTTTGCTGAAGATTTCTTCAGACTGGGGGGAGGGAGGTATTCTGTTCAGATTGCTTAATTCAATCAACTTATGATGCCCTCTATTAGATTTAATTAAATAAACTATGTTAGATGATCTACAATGTGAGAACAGAGCATGCCTGTCTCCGGCTTTTATTTGTCTTTCATTTGAAGAACTTTCTCCTTTAGTTTATCAAAATTGTCAGTGTGTGAGAGATCGTGCTACCAGATTCGAAACCAAACCATCATCAATCTGCCAGGGAAACTGCATCCATGTACGTAGTCCTCCAGAATTCAGTCCTCCGGGCGGAACTCTACGATAAACCCTCGGCCGCCCAACCACCCCTATCTCCTGCCGACCGCGGCTCTTATCTTCCGGAGCTGTCTTATCAGGCAACCGTCAATCTTATCGCTGTGCCACCAGAAACCCCAGAAACTCGGCGGAAAAAGTCGTGGAAAGCAGCCAGCTCAGTGTGACAAAAATTGGTTTGAATTCAATGTGTTTTTCCGCGCTCTTCGGTGCTCTGTTTTCGTTAGTAGGCTAATTAGCTCATCGTTCGATCAGCTGTTTAATTAACTAGTGGTTAGTAAGAGTGTTTACTTAGTTTGCAGACCCGGGACCCTAGAAAGAGCTCCTATGTCTATATGTGTAGCTCCGTCTCGTGTCTAACCTCAAAAAAGACCCAAAGTTCTTAGGAAAAAGCCTAAAAAAGCGACCCCCGTGGTGATAAGGTGTAATCGAAGGGTACCTCAGATCGCCCATAATCCGAATCTGCCCAGATTGACTTCTGAATCACCAGAGTTAGCCTTCAGAATTGGTATTTCCATTTCCCGTTGGCAATTTACGACCGATTTGAACCGACTGGCCGATTAGATAAAGCCGTAGGCTGGTGGCGGACTCACTTCACCCTCTGTACCTCCCCAAGTCCAGCTATTAACTCACTCACCATCCCAACCAAAGAACACCCCATAACTCAATGTAATAACCCCACGATCTTCTACTAAACGCCACGCCTAACCCCGAGTGTAATCGCCTCCTAATCGCAAGAGCATCCCCATTTCTTCTACGCATACAGATCGGGATCAAGAGCAAGGTAACCGGCGGTCACTGTTGCTACATGACCCACAACTAGACGTCGCACCTCCATCCGGTCTTCATCATCCCACCATCATGCCGCTCTTCACGAGGAAGAACAACAAGCAGGGACCCACCACGGACGCCGGTCAGTTCGGCAGTCGCTCCTCCATGAACTCCGCCTCCTCCCAGGGCAGTCACCTTACCAATAACAACAACAACAACAATAACAATGGTGTGCCAGAAAAGTCAAAGCCACCGCTCGTCTTCCACTGCCAGCTGGCGCATGGAAGTCCCACCGGACTGATCCACGACTTCTCCAGCGTGCGAGAGCTGTACCAGAAGATAGCCGAGTGCTTCGACATCTCCGAGAAGGACATCCTCTTCTGTACCCTCAACTCGCACAAGGTGGACATGACGCGCCTGCTGGGCGGCCAGATCGGCCTGGACGACTTCATCTTCGCCCACCGCAAGGGCCGGCCCAAGGAGATCGAGATCATCAAGTCGCAGGACGCCCTGGGCCTGACCATCACGGACAACGGAGCCGGCTACGCGTTCATCAAGCGGATCAAGGAGGACTCGATCATCGACCACATCGAGCACATCTGCGTGGGCGATCACATCGAGAAGCTGAACGGCCAGAACATGGTGGGCAAGCGGCACTACGAGGTGGCGCGCATGCTCAAGGACATTCCGACGGGCGGCACCTTCACCCTGCGTCTGGTGGAGCCGGTCAGGAGCGGCTTCCAGGGCATCGGACCGCGCAGCCAGTCGCGAGCCTCCGGCAGCGGTGGGGCTGGAGGACGGAACTACGGCAGCGGCAAGGAGACGCTGCGGTTCAAGGCCAACGGCAATGCCCAGATCGAGCCGCAGTTCGACGAGGCGACCGAGGCCGGTATCGAGGCCATCAACAACCTGCTAGAGTCCTTCATGGGCATCAACGACACGGAGCTGGCGTCGCAGATCTGGGAACTGGGCGACAACAAGACCAACTCGATGGACTTTGCCGAGGCCATTGACAACTCTGATCTGGAGTCGTTTGGGTTCACGGACGACTTCATTATCGAGCTGTGGGGTGCCATAACGGATGCCCGGCGCAAGACCGCCACCAGTCCCAAGTAGTTGGCTCCCATCCCAGTAGTTGGAGTAGCCTTCCCCAGAACCCCGTTACCCCCGAGGCATTCGTCGGAGAGACAAATAAAAGTTCGGCATTGATGAGTTGTTCGTAGTAACTGCTACTGTCTATTATTTCATTATGTTTTGTTTTAGATTAGCCTATATTCCTACCATACTTATACACTATCTCTACAAGCGTATGTCGACTTTGCCAATTATTTAGTTATTTGTATCCTTCACGGTGGACCTACCTACATACATACATATTTATTTGAACCGTCTCTATAGACGGGAGCGGAAGCGATGAGGCATCCCAGCTACATACATATTTTGGTACAATTTGTTCGATGTACATACATACAAATATATATCTAATGTATTTCTTTAGTTTTACTATTTAAACGATAATACACACTTAAATTATTTAAAAACACGCTTGTTTTCTTTTGATTTCTTATATAATTTGGTAAGTTTTTTTTTTGTTTATTTGTTCAGGTCCTAAAAGTGCTATTTGCTATTTGATTCATAAATACGATCTGTTTAGTTCGTAGGCGTCGTTATCTTTTGTTGGCACCCATTGGCATTTTTCGAGTGGCATTCGGAAAATATTCCACAGTCCCCCTGAAAGTGTGACGAATCTTTCGCCTGGGGACTACATTAGTCCCCTCTAGCCCCGCCTCCCCCCTCGTTTTTATTGTTTTTTCTTCTACAATTTGCCATGGACGATAGACTGTACGTATGTAGTGGCTTCCTGTAGCGAAAGAATCACCCAGAACACGTCTCCCTCACTCCAGTGACGTATGTAGATCGCAACATCCGACTCTTCTGACGATCAGATCGTGTCCAAACACCGTTAATTCATTTATTACATGCAAAAAAAATAGAGCTTTCGATTGCGCATAAACAGCTGCTACTTGAGAGCGAGCAGCTGATAAGCACAGTTAAGGAGAGAGTGGGCACGCCACCGAAGGGAGAGAGTGAATGGGGCAGCTGCAAAAGGCACATGCATTGCATGCATACTAATGCATACACACATATATAGGACATGTGTATGTGTGTGCCATGGCAACAACTAAAAGTTACATGACTTTCCGGTTTTACAGGTTTTGTTGTTGCCAAGCTTTTTTCACTCTCTCTTTGCGATCTGAGAGAGAGAGAGTGGCACACACACACAGGGACAGGTGCTTAATGCGATTAGCTGAATCGCTTCTTCGAGCCAGCGCGACGCTCAGTTTTCAAAGAGAACTCGACGGAACAACAAGTGCCGAACGGAACGCAACGCAAGAAACTAAAAAACTAAAACGGCCAAGCCATATACAGAGCCAAGCAAGAACACACTTTGCCAACATTGTGAAAATACAGAAAACTAACAATAAAGACCAGCGATCGAGTGCCGGAGAAACAGAGTGAGGCGCGATAGTTTCGCTAGTGTTTTCAAGGGCGAACCCCAACCCCAACCCGGACGAACGGAAGCAGTGCAAGATTCAGTGCCAGGTAGTGGACCCAACCGAATTATATTCGAATTGAAAATTTCCATTATACTAGAGGGAGATCTGTTGAGATCTGTCGAGATCCGTCGTCTGCACAGTCTCTCTATCTATTCACTTTTTGGCAAGCATTTTGGTTAGACTTTGTGCCCCGGGTTTTTAATTGTTTGTTCGGCCGTTTGGTTTATTTTTCATTCGCATTCCCCCCATTCCCTGTCTGGACTTTGATCGTGACTCAACAGTAATGGGCAACCATCCAGCCAGTCAGCCAGCCAGCCAGCCAGCCAGACCTATTAAAATGCACACAATCTGCTGCCCCCAGACCACCCCCCCACTAAACTCGTCGCGAATCAGAGTCCAAACCCGATTTTTATTTTATATTCTATAATGTTGTGCGGGTGACGGTTTCAAGAAACCTTATCGCTGTGTGGTTGGTTGGGTGTTTGGAAACCCGACTTATCCATGATCTTTGTGCCTTTGTCTCGATATGTCGCTTCCAAGCGAAGTTGGCCCCATTCTGGGGTTTCTTTGTAATGTCATTGTAATGGCCTGATACTGATACTCCCAAGCCACCGCCCCGCCCCCTGTTATACCACCCGGGCCAGCTGATTCGCAGCTTCGCAGGTGAAAGTGAAGTGAAGTGGAGGGCAGAGCGGCGTGGCCGGAACGCGTGACAGATGGCGTGATGTGTGGTGTGATTCGAGTGTAATTGTTTAGCTCCTGATTAGGTCTTCTCTCAGAGCCCAAAATGAAAACTTGATTTAGTTACAAGCTAGTATAACTAACTAATCATCCTCTATCAAATGCCATAAACTCTCAGATTAGAAGGGCCTTGATTGTAAATATTTAGAATAGGTATTTATTGCCAAAAATCGAAAATGAAATTCCACTTTTCTAATCACAAGTGATAGGAGGAGGCTGATAATGTTATTTGGTTATGCAGATCGATTACTTGGAATTCCAACTAATCTAGCCAGATAGTGGAGTACATGGAGTACATAAAGTGTAGATATTGTGGCCGAAAAACAAGAATCTATAAACGCTTAATTATTGTGCAATGTTGGACATTGAACTCGGGGGGCTATTTATTGGCGAACTTGTTCATTTGTTTGAGTTTTATTTTATTTTTTATTTTTGTTTTTGTTGCTGTTGTGTGTCCAGCGAGTTGTAAAGAGCACGACTCTCGGACGATATCGCGTGATGTCTTTCGGGGCTCTACGATTAATTCGGGGGGTATTGCGATGGTGGTGTGTGGGTGATACCGTGTTTTATCATTCACAAACAGTAGAACACGCCACTGGCCGAGGCAGGCCGCCTTTGATAAGCTGCGTTCGATGATTTTATCGCCGTAATTTATTGGGAACACTCGTAAATAGTTTTATCCCCCAGATAAATCTCTCAAAAGGCGCCTTGAACCTGCCAACCGCTATCAGGGCATGATAATATGACTTTCACACCAATAATCTTTCACTAACTGGCCGAAAACCTCAAAGCCAACCTCCTTGGCTTGTTATTTTTGTCGAGAATTATTCTAGATTGCTGTGCTATTCCGACCTCAACTGCAGTATATACCGCATATATAGCCAGCTGGCTTTGTTTATAATTTTCGACGTCACGTCCGCCGCTTGGCAACATTCCCGTTGCCGTTGCCATGTTGCTGGCGCGGGGATGTTGCCGGTGGCCAGCAACACAAGAGGGGCGCTGGGCAACAACCCACCTTGACTTTCAGAAGAGAACACAAAGAGCTATGGGGAAAAGGTTAAAAATAAGTGGACATGGGCATTGTTGGGGCTTCGAAGCACAGGACGTGCCCACTGATGCAATTCGTCTATTTTCTGCATAACCGTTGCCCATTTTTCCGTTGCCAGCCCCGAAAACATCGATGGTTTATGGCCCATACAGATTACTCATACCCATTTCCGTTCTGCCCCGTTACAGTTCCCCCCGTATCTGAGACGCACGGGTCCCAAGTTGTAGACCGGAGCCCACAATTTCGACGATTCTTCGCCGCCAATAAGCGGCGCATTTGACCGCCTGCCAATAAACATGGCCGCCATATAACCAGCCACGGCGGATACGAGCACCTCGCACTGGTATTGCGATTAGACAAGCACACTAGCAAGTAACTATTCCCACAAGGAGTACCCAAAACAGACCAAAGATGAACAGCCTGGCGCGTGTCTTCAGTAACTTCCGCGACTTCTACAACGACATCAACGCGGCCACGCTCACGGGCGCCATCGATGTCATCGTGGTGGAGCAGAAGGACGGCGAGTTCCAGTGCTCGCCCTTCCACGTCCGCTTCGGGAAGCTGGGAGTGCTGCGCAGTCGGGAGAAGGTGGTAAGTAGTCACTTACACTTAGTAGTCACTTGGATTAATCATAATTCGTATCTCGTTAGGTTGATATTGAAATCAATGGCGCCCCGGTGGACATACAGATGAAGTTGGGCGACTCCGGCGAGGCCTTCTTTGTGGAGGAGTGCCTGGACGACGAGGACGAGGAGTTGCCGGCCAACTTGGCCACCTCGCCGATCCCCAATAGCTTCCTGCAGTCGCGTGACAAGGCCAACGACACCATGGAGGACATCAGTGGAGTGGCCGCCGACAAGTAAGTTATGTCGTCAGATCCCAACTCCAGCCGACACTCATCCCTTTCGCTTGGCTCGATCATTTTAGAAACGCTAGTGAGGATTTGCCAATTTCATTGCCGTTGCCGCGTCGCAACTCCATCGACTTCTCCAAGGAGGAGCCCAAGGAAGCCGCTGTCGAGGGCGGCAAGTTCGAGAACCAGGTTTCGGACTATACACAGCGCAGGTACCCAGTACCCACCTCCATCTTCCCATCTAGTCCTTGCTGACCCATTATTTTTGGTAATTTTTAGGCACACGGACAACACCCTGGAGCGGCGCAACTTGAGCGACAAGCTCAAGGAGTTCACCACCCAGAAGATTCGCCAAGAGTGGGCCGAGCACGAAGAGCTCTTCCAGGGCGAGAAGAAGCCAACAGAGTCGGAGCTGGAGAGCCAAAGCAAGTCGGTGACCGAGACTGAGCCGGAAAAGGTAAAGGAGGCAGATCGGCAGGCCAAATCGGCGGCCAAGGAGCCGCCAAAGCTGGAGGTAATCATGACCCCTGTCACGACCAACAGTGAGGCCACCAAGGATGTGTCCAAGAGCAAGACCAAGAAGCGCCGTAAGAAGTCCCAGATGAAGAAGAATGTCCAGCGCAAGACTTCCTCCAGCAGCTCGGTGGGCAGTGCTGGTGGCGCGGACTTGGCATCGGGCGAAACCCCCTCCCTGGGTGTGACCAATATCGATGAGGGCGAAGCTCCCTTGTCCAGTGCCACTAACAACAACAACACCTCCTCGTCCAACGACGAACAGCCCTCTGCTCCCCTGCTAACCGCTCACACCGGAGACGACAGTCCGCTGAGCGAGCTGCCCCACACTCCCACGACAAACCAACGCCTGGACTTGGACATCCATTTCTTCAGCGACACGGAGATCACCAGCCCAGTGGGCGGTGGAGTCAGGGGATCGGGACGCGCCGCCGGCGGACGCCCCTCGACCCCCATCCAGAGCGACAGCGAGCTGGAGACGACTATGCGGGATAAGCGCCATGTGACCGACGACGACAATGCCGCATCCTGGAAGTGGGGCGAGCTGCCCACGCCGGAGCAGGCCAAGAACGAGGCCATGAGCGCCGCGGAGGCCCAGCAGAGTGAGCGCCACTCCATGCTCAGCAACATGTTCAGCTTCATGAAGATGCGCAAGGTGTTCAACGACAAGGCCGGCGACATCTACCTGTCCGACTTGGAGGCCGGCAGCATGGACCCGGAAATGGCGGCCCTCTACTTCCCCACGCCCAAGCCCAAGAAGTTCGTCCAGCCGGAGGAGGATCGGGAGAGCGGAAACGGGACCAGCCTGCCCCACTCGCCCAGCTCCCTGGAGGAGGGTCAGAAGAGTATCGACTCGGACTTTGATGAGAGCAAGCAGCAGCCAGGCGGAGCCAAGTGAGTATCTCGGAGAAGTCCTCCCATCCTGGTAATCCTAATCTGAATCGATTCCGAAGGTATTTGGACTTTGTGGCCATGTCGACGTGTGGAATGCCCGAGCATGGAGCCGCCCCATCGGACGAGGAGTTCGACCGCAACCTGGTCAGCTATCCGGACGTAAGTATTGCCGCACACGGTCTAGCGCTGTGCTCTGTGTATGTTTGAGTCCCACGCACCTTACTGCACCTCAATGCACTGCATCCCGCCTTGTTAACCAGTCTCTTTCGCTCATGCCACGCCCTCATTGTTGCGCCTGTTCGCCCCTCGATCGCTCAGGTGTGCAAAAGCCCCAGCATATTCTCATCGCCTAACCTAGTCGTACGGCTGAATGGCAAATACTACACCTGGATGGCTGCATGCCCCATTGTCATGACAATGATAACCTTCCAGAAGCCACTAACCCATGTAAGTTGGCCACCAAGTGTACACTGTTCTGTACAGGCCCTTGTGTTTTCTGCCGCCAGTCCACATTGCCAGAAGTGTCCTAATCTTCGAATTGTGTCCACTCTCTGTATAGGATGCCATTGAGCAGCTGATGTCGCAGAACGTGGAGGGCGGCAACAAGCCGGAAACAGCCGCCCAAGCGGACAATGCTGGTCAGACCAAGCGCTACTGGTGGAGCTGGCGGCGTTCGCAGGATGCTGCCCCCAGCCATGTGGCCAATGCCCATGGAATACCAACGGGCAAGGATGAAAAAGGTATAGTTGCAAACTCAAACCTTCCTTCAAGCTGTTGTTCTCATCCATCCATCCATGTGGCCATTTCAGATGGTGACCAGGCGGCTGTGGCCACACAAACCTCGCGCCCCACCTCTCCAGACATCACGGATCCCACACTGAGCAAGAGCGACTCGCTGGCGAATGCGGAGAACACCTCGGCCCTGGTGGACAATCTGGAAGAGCTGACCATGGCATCCAACAAGAGCGATGAGCCCAAGGAGCGCTACAAGAAGTCACTGCGCCTCAGCTCCGCTGCCATTGTAAGTAGTGCTATGAGTACACTGTAAAAAATAGTCGAGACTTTAACGATTCTCTCGCTTGGACAGAAAAAACTGAACCTGAAGGAGGGCATGAACGAAATCGAGTTCAGCGTAACCACCGCCTACCAGGGCACAACGCGCTGCAAGTGCTATCTGTTCCGCTGGAAGCACAACGACAAGGTGGTGATCTCGGACATTGACGGCACCATCACCAAGTCCGACGTCCTGGGCCACATCCTGCCCATGGTGGGCAAGGACTGGGCCCAGCTGGGCGTGGCTCAGCTGTTCTCGAAGATCGAGCAGAACGGCTACAAGCTGTTGTATCTATCGGCCCGCGCCATCGGCCAGAGCCGGGTGACCCGGGAGTATCTGCGCTCCATTCGGCAAGGCAATGTGATGCTGCCGGACGGGCCACTGCTGCTTAACCCCACGTCCCTGATCTCGGCCTTCCATCGCGAGGTGATCGAGAAGAAGCCGGAACAGTTCAAGATTGCCTGTCTGTCGGACATCAGGGATCTGTTCCCCGACAAGGAGCCCTTCTACGCCGGCTACGGCAATCGGATCAATGTGAGCATCTCCACAGTGGCTCATTAATTCCTCCTTTGAAATATATATGTCTTTGTCTTGCAGGATGTGTGGGCCTATCGTGCCGTGGGCATTCCCATCATGCGCATCTTCACCATCAACACGAAGGGCGAACTGAAGCACGAGCTGACCCAAACATTCCAGTCCTCGTAAGTAGCCTCTCTATTTTGTATCCTAGTGTCTTAGCTGTATCCGCACCCATGTATCGCCCATGTCAATGGTTCCGGTGTCGCTCATTACTGAACTCATGCCACATCCTCCGATTAACGTCAACGTTAACCAAGCCAAACCAAACCAAACCAAACCAATCCAACCAAGCAACCAAATAAACAAACGCTAATTGGCCCAAGTCGAATTAACTTCATCACGTAACGCTAGGTGTCGTGTTATCAAGTCGCGCTGAATGTATGGTACTTCCTTCTGTGGATAGTACCTGTCCATTGTACTACCCAATCGCACCTCACCGAACCAAACTAGTTAGCCCGCCAATCCAATTCAAGCACTCTATCAATGGTTGTCAAATTTACACAGTGGCTACATCAATCAGTCGCTCGAGGTCGACGAGTACTTTCCCCTGCTGACCCACCACGAAGATTACGACTACCGGACCGACGTCTATGACGACGAGGAGTCGGAGGAGGAGCTGCAGTTCAGCGACGACTACGACGTGGATGTGCAGCACGAGGGCAGTGGGAACAGCGACGACGACGACGACGACGATGACGCCGTCTACAATGATGATTTTTACAATGATGACCAAGTCCAGGCGGAGGACACCTCCGACGATGAGGGCCTCATAATGCCCGTCCGGAGGGTCTCGACCAAGACCGAGGTGGTCCTCGCCTCGCCCCCCAAATGGTCAAATTCCTAGGCCCAGTTCCAGCCCAAGCAAGTCTCCCCAGCCCAAGAAGGTTGTGCAGCTGACAAGTGAAATGTGATAAGTTAGTTAGGAGGAGTATGTCCTGTTTGTTGTTGTCTGTGCCGATCAGTTATGTTTGAAAAGTATTCTGCTCCGAGCAGGTCTTCATGTTGTTAGCTTTAAGTCGATAGTGAGAAGAGCACATGGTGCAGGGGGTTAGAGACCTCCGATGGGAGCAAGGCTCCCCACATTTTATACCTGAGTCCTAATAAAGTACAGATCGATTCGCTGTTATGTGGGTGTTTTATTTCTTGATCTATAATCCTATAATCCCCGAATGTGGCATGAGTTCTGAGCGGTATTCTATAGTATTATTAAGTAGAATGATCTATTTATTGGAGTAGTACCCTGGTATCCCTCCATTCAATCATGTAGCATACTGCAGGGCGTCTTTTCATGGTCCTACAAATTGTGTTGCATACCCTAGGGGGGCCGAGATCATAGCCTACCTCAAAGGCGCAGCCCTTTAGATATTGAACTTCCATAATAATTGTTTTTTTTCTTTATTTAGATACTGCAGCATGACGTACATTGTGGATCAACTGTTCCCGCCGGTGAAGCACGACGAAGCCTCCGCCGAGTTCTCCAACTTCAACTACTGGCGCGACCCCATCCCGGACCTGGACATACCCGAACTGGAGACGGCCCTGGTGCCGCCGAGCAACAAAACGGACGTGGCCACCCTGCGCCCCATTCCCGAGAAGTGAAGCTACCTCTCGCGTACTATAACCACATATTAACACGGATATGCAGCCCCCCCTCCCTCTCTATATATACATATAGCGGTTAGAGCTTTCCAGACTTGGTTGCTTAGCTTTTGAACCATCTAGATGTGCTTACCAAAAATGCAATATCTGTAACGTGCATAGCTTAGCCAGGATTCCATTCTTAGCCTTGGTTTCATTTCATTTCGTTTCCTTATATCGTAACATCTTGTAGTTAAATGGGCGGACCTTTTTAGTTATAATCAAAATTGAGTTAGTACTACTGGTAGTAGTTAGTTCCTTTGAGACTCCTGCATGTTCTTAGAAGAAGCAGAAGCTGGACCATGCAAGGATGTTGTGATTTTTCGTATTTCGATTTAATTACTTTTCGATTTCGTATAGTATGTGATCATTTAAATTTAGTTTAATGTGATTGAGGTTTTATTTGAAGTTATTCTGAAATCTGTGCTCTAGACCTATGTTTACTTAATTCATAGTTTTTCAATAAAATTAAATGCTTAGAAATTCAACGAAAGCTGAAATAAAATCCGATCTTGTGTTTTGTTTACAATGGAAAGTCACCGGCTCTTCTAACTGACGACATCGGGGCGAGACACTGGTGTTGTGGTACACTCGGATTCGGATTCGGATTCGGATTCGGATTCCCATGTTACAGTGGAAAATTTTGCGATCGCGGTGGGCCCATCTGATGAGGGGGCACATCTATGACCTGCCACCGGTGGGCTGTGCGTTGGCGGGGCATTTCATTTGTCAACGTAATTTTGCCAATTCAATTAATGCTCATTTAATGCAGAGCAGACGGGCCTCAGCCCAGCCTCAGAACACCATACACCATACACATTGGCATACAAAGGCCCACGACAACGAAGTGGTCAGCTTAAGTGACCACAAATGGTCGGGGGTCTGCCGTCCAAACTCAGTGGCAGGTCGGACCACAATTGCTTTCTCTAGGGGCTGTGCTTTCTGAAACTCTCCCAAATGAGGGGGAGCACCACCACCGATTTTAATTGAAGCCTATTTCAGATTTTAAAATATTCCTATAAACCTTGGCCATTTATCTGAAAAATAAAACTAAAAAATATCAGATAATGAAGTGGGGATATATCTGAAATCTCTGCCCTCGCTCGAGCACTACCTATGATCTGTTAAAGTTAATCTGTTACATTAATTTAAGGATTTTGGATGTTACTAGTTCTATACAGACATTTCTAATATAAATATAAGGTTTTTTTAAATTATTTCCTGGTATCATATTTACATTAAATATATCTTTTTGAGGATCTTTGGGGTGACATCTTCTCAGTCTTCTGGGTACCTTCTCGGGTCTTATGGATACCTGCACTCTCTTAGTAGATGCCTGACTAGGACATTTAAGTGGTTTTGAAGTTTTTCTATTTATTATTACTATTTAGCCTTATCTTTTAAAACTTCCCTGATAACCTGAGATATATTTTCAAGCCAAGTACCCTCCACTCAAGCGAGATTATTAAGAACTTTTAATAGAAAATTCAAAACAGACCCCTGCTTTAGAGCATAGTCTACCTTATAAGTGATGAAAATATTAAATAATTTCAACTAAAGTTCAGTTTGATTTATTTGAGCATCTCCGTTAAATAAAAAACAAAAAGGATAACATTCCTATTCACATAATCTCGTCAAGCGATTCCATAATGAGGCTTAAATTACACCCGCCGAGTGCAACTCAATTGGGCGACACTCGGAATCGCCCCACAATTGAGTGCTTCGCATTCGCATTCACATTGAGCCGAGCTCGGAGCAGAAGCGTATAAAAGCAGAAGTATCCCAGCCCAGAGCCAACAGTTTCCTCCGGGCATTCACCGAGCTAGCAATCCAAGTCCAAGTGCTAAACAAATCTACTCTCTCAGTATGAAGAACGCCGTCGCCATCCTGCTGTGCGCCCTCCTCGGCCTGGTGAGTGTTCATCCACAGGACAGGCCTGAGACCATCTAGTAACCCCCACTCCATCCACTAATGATCATAGGCCTCCGCTGCCGAGTACAAGATTCGCTCCGTCGAAGACCTGCAGACCGCTCGCAAGGAGTGTGGAGCCTCCAGCAAGGTGACCGAAGCTCTGATCGCCAAGTACAGGACCTTCGAGTATCCGGACGATGAGATCACCCGCAGCTACATCCACTGCATCTTCCTCAAGTTCGAGCTCTTCGACGACGCCAAGGGATTCAACATCGACAACCTGGTGGCCCAGCTGGGCCAGGCCGCCGAGGACAAGGCCGCCGTGAAGGCCGACATCGAAAAGTGCGCGGACAAGAACGAGCAGAAGACAGCTGCCGACGCCTGGGCCTTCCGCGGTTTCAAGTGCATCCTCGGCAAGAACCTGCCCCTCGTCCAGTCGGCCATCCAGAAGCCGAACTAGGCGCTGTCCGGCCTCCCAGTTCCGGTTGAATCAATTCTAGAACCGCAAGAACATGTCGCCACCGGGCAGTGCGGAATATTCTTTTAGAGAAAACACCGCTATGGCTCTGCATTCCTAAAATTGAAAATAAAACCATATAATAGTGCTTGAAGGAAGGTGTTCCATTTATTTCGCTGTCACATGTGCCACATCATAAGTAAAAAAGACCTAGTATGGGTGGAGGGGATTCGCACTGGAAAGTGCTGGACCTGCTGGACCGGATCCGATGACCAATGGGGAGGAGGTTCCGCCTGCCGTCTGCTCTTCCTGCCGTCATTCCCAACCTCGTCCCGCCCAAAGGAAAGGCATTGAACGCTTATTTAATTCGATTATATTTGTCATCTTTTCAGTTCAGTAAAATTCAACTTCTTTTCTTCACTCTATATATTTTTTTTTGAATATATATAAATTACGCACAGTTCATTTGTTTTCTTTTTTTTTTATCTAGTTTTGTTGCTTTACTTCTTTTCCAAGAGCTCTGTCTTCTTTTTTAAGTTTTTTAAATATTATTTTCATCCTTCTTTTAATCGATTTTGCCATCTTTTAACTTCTTTTTTTTTTTAGGCTTTTTTCCTTTTGCGTTTCTTTTCATATATTTTATTTAATATACTCTTGTTTTTCTACTCTTCTTCTTTTTCAAATATTATTTTTTATTGATTTTTTATTTGAAACTTAAAATGTGTGAAAAGAGGGGTGTTTGGTGTTGGGTGCTTCAAAAAACATTATAGCCAAGATACTCGTTATTTTCCATGATGATTTTTTTTTGTATTTATTTTGAAGTTCTCTTGTTTTTTCGCCTGTTTTTTTATTTCTTCTGGATGATATAATTTTTTTTAAAAAACGATAATTTTTCTGGCGGTTTCCTTGTTACTTGTTTTTTTTTTCTATTTTTTTTTGTTCTTTTATTTATTAAAGAAGTTTGGCAATAAAATAATGTTTTTTGAAATAATATTGTAAAAAAATCTGAAATCAAATAGTTATTGGATTAAAGAAAAGTGTCGCCAAATGAAATGAAGGCATTATTTTTGGTCCCAGAGCTAGGCACGGAGGACAAAATAATCTCTAGATCATATCCAAAATGGGTCAGTCTTTTCGTTGCTAGACTCAAGTCTTTGCAGACAGAGATCTAATCAGTCACGTCCGAAAAAAGTCAAAATACCTCTGACTTTACGAACTTACCTTACTAATCTTTTAATAAAACAATAATCAGTAGGGAGCGTAGTAATTGGCGCGTCCACGGTAACCCCTGCTGAAACGAAAAACAGACCGGGATTAGGCCTACCCGACAGAGATTGGTCTTTAAGCTACGTACATTGCGCGTCTGGCGCCACGGAAGGTGGAGTGACAGCACGCCCGGGATACTCGTGCCCCTCGGCCGCGGAAGGTGCCGCGGGCAAAGCGGTTTGTGGTAGACAGGCCGGGTCGGTTTGTGCGTTTCGACATCACCTGGAATCGTCAGAGAATACATTTAAAGCTTGCTGCTTTTAAGATTCAAAACCACTTCCTACCTTTATTTGCCGTCCGCGGAAGAGGGTTTCGTTCATGGCCAGAGCAGTCTCGACAAACTCCTTTGATCCGAACTCGATGTATGCGAAGCCCTTGGGATGGCCGTCAGCCTTGTTGCAGAGAATGGTGACGCGGTTGATGGTGCCGCAGCCGTGGAAGTGGGCCTCTAGCTCCTCAGCGGAGGCTCCGTAGTCCACGTTGCCCACATAAACGGACCTTGTGTCTATTTCCTGTTTCTCCTCTAGCGACAGAGGGACTGTGGCCAAGCCGGTGGTGGAGCCGCCGGCCATTTGTTTGTCCACCTCTGACTGCATTTGCTTTATCTTCTCGGCCTCCTCCTCCATCTCCTTGACGCGCGCCTTGATGGCCTCCAGTTCGGGATCGATTTGCATGCTGCCCTCCTCCTTGAAATAGGAATTAAGATGTTTAAATTGGTAGGAAACGACGCCCCAAGTATTGGCGGCGATGTGAAGCGACGCTTTGAAAATGGCTGCCGCTTTGTGTATGGCGCAAGCTTAGCACTCGCGAGCTTTTCCAGGGAACTCAGTAAGCTTTGGCGGCATTGGGGAGGTTAAACTGGTTTGCTACTCACCTCGGTCTCTGTGATGATCTCTGTCTCCTGCTCGCCGTTTGTCTCCTCCAACGACTCCAAGAGCTGATCCTCATTCAGTGTGATATCTTCATCGGCCATTATTGTGGATGGTTTTGTTTACGTTTGGGTTTACCGCTAAAGCTTGGGTTTTGTAGTAAAAGCTTCCACCGAAGTCCGAAGTACGGTAGATATCTGTCATTGAGAGAGCGCGGCAAAAACGAGGACAAAGAGAGAGAGCGGTTAAAAGCGATGGTAGATAAAAGGGGAATAAAAATGAGGAAAAAACACAAAGCATTTAAATTTAAAATAAACGAAAACGACTGCAGTTATTTATATTCCAAAAATAGTACACAGTATCCATATTTGAATTCACGCAGAATTTGCAAGAGCTCACCTTAAAATATGTACAGAATAGAGGGGTGCTGACGTTTTCGCCTTTGCTCAAAATGGCCGCTGCTCAGCCACGCCGATACTAGTTTTTGAATTTGACTTTCCTGCCCTAACGACAGCCGTAACCTAGAGTGCTGGGTTAACTCGCACACTTCTTATTAATATCACTTAATTAAAGTGCGTATTCTAAGCTAATATTTAGAAAATTACGAATATGCTCGTAAATTTTGCCACCGAAAAGAAAATTGTACTCTCCCAGTGTTGCCAGACAGACAGTAATCCCCCCCTCAATATTTCTATTAGAGACGATAGCAAAACAGTGCTGGTAAACACGGTAATGTTTTTTTTTCTAAAGCCTAGTACTGAGTTGACGAAAATCCGCTCTTGAAATTCCGCTTGCGAAATTGCACTTTATTCGGCTGCCGAGGTAGTGTGACCAAAACAATGAAGAAATAAGGTAATACTGAACAGCTGTTGTTTGTAAACAAAAAACAAATAAGCAAAAATGAATTCAAAACGATTGGATGTTGGTGTTTTGTTTATGTATTTCGCCGCTAAGGAGCTGATTAAGAAATAGAAAACTGGGTCAAAATCAAAATCCAAATCAATCACAAATCATTTCAATGCCATTTTATGGCATTAAAATGCCCCTTCGGGACGGCCAAATAAATCTTCCCCAATTTCCTGGATAGAAGTAACTTAATACAAAAAAAAAAAAAAAAAAATGCCCCTTGTGGGTCAAATCTCATATTATGGGCTTCGTTTTGACCGCAGAAATTCATTTTAATTTGTCCTGGCGCGCCGAAAATTTTTCGGGCCGACTATTTTTTTGTTTGGTCAATTGACCCTCCATGTCGCTCCTATACAAATAATTTGAACTATTTATTTTACCTCCCCGAGAGCAGCTGTTTATTTTTTTTGATCCGGCAACACGATAAACATCGATAACAAAAATTTTCGTCAACTCAGTACCCGCAAAATCTAGAAGGCAAAAATTTCTTCTTCTTTCCTTTTTTCCACCGTTTTTTTTATATGGAGTTTGACAGCTGTCACTCGTTGGACAGCGGATTTTCGTCAACTCAGTACTAGGCTTTATCGATTTGCGATGTTTTAAAAACGTGAAAGACTAGCCATGAACGACTCCTCTGATTCGGAATACGAGGATACGGAATATCTGGTTTATGGAGACTTCAAAAACAACATTCCGTCGCAGCAGCTCAAGCATGAGAATGCGGCTATAAAGGTCATTGGCATCGAGAGCGACACTCCCATGGCGGAAGTAAATGGAAACTTTTACAAGGGTCACTACGAGCAGTCTGTGGGAACTCTATTATTTTTCGATAAAGAAAAGGATAACGTGGTCAGTGATCCTTTGTACGAGTCCACTTGTCGCCAGCGGTTCAAATACGTCGACAAGTCTACAAAGATTATAACCTTTGAACGTATATACATCGAGAACTGGCCCTTGGAGGCCGGCAAACCGTCTAAACCCGAGGAAGGTGATCAGACAAACGCAGAAAAACAATCTCTCAAGTTGAACATAAACTACAAAGAAGCTATCAACAAGTTTGGGGAGGAGACTTAAGCTGGTAAATCAAATGTCTATCAACATAAATAAAATCATGGTATAATATGATTCTTTCAGCGTCATGGAAGGTGAATTTTCGGTAGCAAAAACACCCATAAATCTTCACAATTTTCTAGAGGATTACCAAAAGACTTTGTCAGGCACAGCAACCGAAACGCCTTTCTTCCTGGAATCTCATCCTGTGCTCATAGACGTAAGCGAAAGTTGTTCTCTGGATCAGATTGCATCACCGGAGGATACCGCCATTTCCATATTTCAACCGGGTGCCGAGTTTTCACGTCCCACCTTTCAACCCCAAGAGGGTCAAAAGTTGCCAAGAACATATACTGCACTGGCCCAGCAAAAATGTAGAACTAGGAAATGCGCTTTTGGCCGCACACCCTACACATACAAGTTAAACACCGTACCTATGGGGGAAAGTGATCTTGGCCAGGAAAATAACTGGGAGCTAGAGCTTACGATTCGCCTGTACAGACCACCGCGGGCTTCTCACAGGGGCTATAAGGTGGAAAGTCCCGTCTTCGCAGAGGAGTACGTATGCCTGGGGAGTAATTTCTTAACTGAGTTTCGCGACAAAATAAGCTGCATTTGTAATGGCAAACGCTTCGTGGACATCAGCAGTAATCCCGACGCTCCGCTTCCAACCATCACAACGAATTCCGGGTACTTCTTTATCAACAACACTTTCTACAATGACATGCGAAATCCCGAAAACTGCGACTACTCGGCTGCGGTGATAAACTGGGCAGGCGTGGCAGATGTCGTTCAGCGCGAACCTTTCAAAGTAGAGCATATGGAGGGAAAGCGTTTCATCGATCTGACCGTGACTCCTGGATCTCCACTCCACTACCTGCATCACGGAAACTGCGAACATCTCTTTGTTGTGTCGCAGGTGGAAGTACTAACGCCAAGCAGAAAACGTCCGGATCGCAGTGCTTATCCTTATCCGCGTTCCATTAACGTGTTCAACCGACGGACCTGCTACATGTGCGGCTTACGAAGCTACCACTTCATTGTCGAACAGTCGCGACGACAGCTGCACGATCCCTCCTACCTGTGTCGCAGCTGCTTTCTCAGTTTTCACTATGTGGATGGACAAAAAGTGGGTCACTTCAAGGCTTATCGTATATATGATCATTCCGAAGAGAAAAGTGAGGACGACAAGGAGGAGCATGTATCTGGAAATGAAGTTGATGAAAATGACAACGACAATGGGATCCTTTTGAACTGAATTGGGCTTCGAAAGACACCAACCACTTCTCAGAAAAAAAAAAACATTTTATATCATATAGTTTAGGTAAAATACCTATTGAACGACCCTCGTATTTTATTGTAAAATATTTTGAGATAAATTTAAATAAAATACATACACATTGCAACAAGAGTAATTGGCATTGAACAGTTTCGTTTGCCGTAAAGCTGCGTAATTTCATGCAATCTAGGTTAGCAAAAGTTAGTGTTCAAGTTAGGAATACAAAATGCGAACAACGTAAATAGTCGTACAATACATCTGGCTTAGGACTAGCGTTAGTACATATATGCAATACTTTGATTTTTTACAAAAAATTTAAGGATATAGACTTGACCAGTGCCTTTGGAAAACACGCCAAGGGCCAGCGGTCAACTCTGGCTAATAATAACAGTTATTCATCCTAGACAAAAAACTAGTACTAATGGTACTTAGCGATAGAATACAGTAAAAACGTACACATAGGCGAGTACGTGGTGAGAAACTGTGCGTTTAGTTACTGGGGCATCGAAAACATACTTATGGCCACACTTTGGCAGGGCCCGTAGTCTAACAAATATCAACAGGGACCTCTTTGGTGTACGTGCTTACGATTACTTCCTTATTAAAGCTTTGACCAGCGGATGCTCCGCAGCGGGACTCGGGCAATAGGCGTTGTTTAACTCTGGAAGACCAATTCCCGCTCCACTGACAAATACTCCAGCATTTGGGCCGGAACCGGCAGATGGGCCAGCTGCTCGCGAGTCATCTGCCGCTGCAGCACTCGGCGGCATAGATCTTGCAGCTTGGGCATTTGCGCGTATCGACTCAACGGGTACTTGAGAATCACCGGGAACGGCGGTTGCATCTCGTTGGGTACCTTTACGAAGCATACAAAGTTGTCGTTGGTGCAGCGGTGCAGGATGTCCTCTATCATATCCACAATGGACTCGTACTTTAGTTCCTCGAAGTGCCAGAAATCGTCGCGGAACTCTAGCCGATAGTGTAGAGTCACATTCACAATCCGGAAGCTAAGGGTAAACTGGGATCCACTCGTTTCCGAGTCGCGAACAAGGAAAGAGCCCGTCGGCTTGTCACTCAGCTGGCGCTGTGAGTCGCGCCTGGAGATCTCACCCCAGTACCAGACTTGGCTGCAAACAAAGACAAACGGGGTCATGAGTCATCGATTGATGACTGATCGAACTGATCGCTTACTTGAGCATCTCCGAACAGGCCTTGAACATGACCTGGTTGGGGCAGTGGGCGTCCTCGCGTTCCAGCCACTTCTTCCGGATAAATCGCAAGTAGTCATGGGTGAACGGCAGCGTGGGTTCGCTGCGGATGGGTGGTGTGAGGAATTCATAGGTGGCGTCCGTGGTACCACCATCGCAGTCGTTGTCACCCATGGAGTGCCAGTTGCGGAGCGAGCTGAGGCCCTGGCCCACCTTCCGGCGCAGTCGTGCGAACACGTTCCTGTCCCGCTTCTCACGTCTCCTGCGCAGCGTGCCCCCCGCGCCCAATGTCCCTGACCCGTTGCTGCAGCTGGCCATGGAGGAGTCCATGGCAGATGCCTCAAGGACGCACACCTCGTTGTTGTTGTTTTGGCCGCCACTGCTGCTGGAGGAGATCGCCAGCGACGAGTTGGACTTTTTGTGCCTGGTCAGAGAGTGGAACCAACCCTTCTTCTCCCTCTCCTTTGAGGGATCTCCAGCACCTCGCTGCTCCTGGTTCCTCCGGCTGCTCTGGTCGCCGTAGCTCATATTGGATTGGGATTAGTGCGGGCTCCGCGTGGCGGTATCACATCATTGGTCTAAATCGGAGCCGTGATTAATGCTACCAACTTTAATGATAAGAAGTATTTGTTTTCGTTGTTTTTTTGTGTACATGAAACGATAGACCTGACTATCACGCACGCCCGTGAGCGTGAGCGTGAGTGCACGGCGAACGCTTTAGCACGATTACAGTCCACGCGTTAGGACCTCTTTTGCCGGCACATTTACAGTTCGACACACTTATTATTAAACTTAAATTATTTTTTTAATGCTTGACGACGTTTCCGTAGTGTTTCCAAAATGAACAATTTCTCAATGAAATTGGACCTTTCTAACTTCTTCAAAGACCAACGAAGTCAGGCATTAGTATTAATCAATGCAGAGTGGAGTAACATCAAGGATGTCCAGGATCACATTCAAAGCCTATTCGAGCTGGTACGCAAATTAAAACATAGGTCCGCCTTTCATTAAAATAAATATTTTACTTAAATCTTATACTTTTAGAGGGGTATTAGCTTACTAACTGAAGATGGGTGCTTCCTGCCTCCTAGGGAATCTATAGAGGTTCTAAGGGCTGCCAAAGGATTGAAGTGAGTTTTCTGAGTTGAAGGATGCCTTTATTTTAACAATTGGTATATTCCAGGGCGTTTCGGTTCCAGCCGGTTGACGAGGATTCGTTTTTGGCCCCGGCTCCAGTTTCCAAGTCAAGCAAAAAGCGTAAAAACCGATCCGAAGAAGGCGAAATCAGCTCGCATTCCACACCATGTCGCCCCTTGAAGCGTTCCAAATCAAAGAGCACCAATGCAACTGATGCAGGACCCTCTGGATCTAACCAGGAAACAGAAGAACAATGCGAGACCATACACCTGCCATTAGTTGAAGATTTTTCTTCAGATTTGAGCACGAAATCTGTAACCCTCTCGCGAGAAGAGTCTTCTTTCTCTCAATCTCTGAATGGAAAATCCAACTCTCCAAAACATAAGGATGTGGAAAAGCCACACGAACGAAAATCGACAAGAAATTCCAAGAAAACAATTGTCTCTACGTTGGAGATGGATTTGGACCAAAGCGTTCCAGAGGAAATGCAAGAGACCGTGTTTCGCGCCCCTCTCCTGGAGCTGGACTCCAATACGCCGCGCATTTTTGAACTTCCTCCTAAGAAAAATAAGATTCAAATACTGGAAAATATTACAATCAAAACGCCCCATAAAATTCTAGACCCACCTCCTAATCCAGGAGAGGAAACCCTAGAAAATAAAGAAGAATCTGTGCTGGACAACTTGAGTGATGCTGTTAAGGGAGCTCCATTGGCTCCTGAAGACACAAACAAGGATTTAGTTGCAGAGGAAGCTATTGAGATGAAAGATGAAACATCAGAAGAAACTGACTTAGTCGCTGCTCAAGAATCTCAAACAAATATTCAGTTGGTCGAGTGCGAGGAAAATAAATCAAGGAAGAAAGGTGAAAAGATTATAGAGCCTACTGATATTAATAAGGGCAAGGAACCTGAGCCAAGCAAATCCTTGGATAAGAAACTTGATGCCGAATCTTCGGAGGAAGATATCCTGGGAGGAGAAAATGTAGAGAAGCTTGAAACTAGCACTCGAAAAACTAAAAATCAAAAGACTGTTGAGGACAAAAAAGGAAAGAAACTTCAAGAAAATTCAGTTGTTTGCGACGATAGCTCAAACTCCGATTCCGATGATGACGTTATGGTGGTGGATGATACTATTGATGAGTCGGACTCCGATGTGGAGGCAGTTCCCATTATCGGTCAGATCTTAATAGACATTTAAAAATATCGTTTAAACTATACTCTTACTTATACTATACTTTTTACAGAAGTCGAATCCGCCCAAGAGTCTGAAATCATTTCGGACTTGTTGTCTACCGCCAAAAAACTTGACAGTCTACCGGTCAAGGGAGATACCATCGTCTTTAAGTTGCCAAAGGTCAAGGGACAAGCAAGCTCTGGTTATACTGAGTACATCGCCGCCCAGTGCAAATACGTCAACCGCCGCACCAAAATGATCACAGTGGATATCTTATGTGAGAAGCTATAGCCTTATGTTTGGTGAAAAGAAATGATATAATGATTTTGTTACAGCATCCCCGTCCGACCTTAACCGCGTCCTGCGCCAGTATGCAAACAGCTTGGACGACTCTACCAGTCCAGTCCAATCCATAAACATTCATTTTCCTGACCTAGGCGAAGCCAAACTAGTTATATCCCCAGTCGATTAAATTTGTGGACGCTTTTGATTCTTCTATTTCCACACTTTGTAGATTGTAAAGATTATAAACGATTAAACAACATTCAGATGTACGAGTAATTTCCATTTCCGCTCTCCAGCTTCTTCCTCTCCTACTTGATGTGCTTCTGTACTTCCTTGAGCAGTTCATCGGCCTCTTCGCTCGTCTTAACACGCAACAGCATCGTGGTGGCCTTCTTCTCCTCTGGCGTGGGGATGCAGACCATCATTACGTTGTTCTTCCCCAATCGCTGGCAAGGAATGCCATCGCTCAGGATGAGGTTTACCAGAATGTTTCCGAGGTTTGTGTCGGCGCGAACCAGCAACTGTGTTTTTCCCGACTCCTTGACTGGCTTCAAATATATTGTGCCCACGCCGCGATCAGCATAGTCCTTATCTTTCTTTACGAACACCTTGCAGCGCTTGGAATACACTGCTCCATCCTCAACTACCTACAATGGGGGATAAACTTCGATAGACTCAATGGGAATAGATATATGACCAGCGTACCTGTGTGAACTCCACTTTGGGTGGTTCGTCAGACTCCTCCGCGTCTTCACCAGCACCAGTGGCTGCTGATGGTGCGGCCGCTGGAGGCTGTATGTTCCCGAAAGAGAAAGGTGTGCTGCCCGGGGTGAAGCTGAATCCTGTTGAAGGTGCCGCTCCTTCGGATGCTTTGCCAAAACCAGTAAACAGTGAGCCACTAGGTTTCTCATCGGTCTTCGTCCCAAAACTGAAGCCATTTGTCTTCGGAGGTGATGACACGGGCTCATCCTTTTTACTGGTTCCAAACGAAAAGAAACCCGGCTTAATGGCATCATCAGTCTTAGCTTCGGAACTAGCCGAAGGCTCTGGCACAGAGCCGAATCCAACGAAGCTGCTGGTGCTGGTTGAAGCGGCGAACAGCGGTGTGGTGGTGGTGGTGGTCGTCCCACCGCTGGTCACGGTGCAGTTGGGCTTTTTGGCGAACAGCGTCGAGGTGCCGCCGATGGGAGTGTTGGGCTTGCCGAAAGAAAATGTAGCGGCCGGCTTAGCTGTGGAAGCTGCAACGTCTCGCGTTTCGGTTCCCAATGAAAAAGTTGGTGCAGCAGCCGGAGCTACTGGTGGCGGGGAGAAAGTAGGCAATGTCGGTAACTTGGGTACTGTCGGTGGCGTGGATGGTGTGGGCTTCGTGGCATTCGCCGCATCTTCGGTGCGTAGATCCTTCAAATGCTTATCATAGTGTTTGAACACGGGCGTAAATATGACGTAGGGGTTCTTATCCATATGCTCCTGAAGGAATTTCATGATGGCGCGGTTAAGCTCAGCAACGCCCTCACGAAAATCGGCTGAAACGGTCTCACGAGGCTCGGCTGAAACGCTGGCATTGCCTGGCTTGGAGCCAGAACTTGAGCTGCTAGTCGCCGGCGTCTTCAAAGAGATGGGCGACTTGACGCTTTCTTTTTTGTCGGCTGCTGTGTTGCCGAATATCGACGGGGATAGTTTTGGGATGGCACCGTCGGCCAAACTTGTACCGAAAACAGAAGTAGATGCTTTTGGAATCGTTTCTGTGCTGCTGACAGAACTGGAGCCAAATATCGAGGTGGTCGGCTTTGGAAAAGCACTTTCTGGTGCACTCTTAGCAGCCGGCTTGTCTCCCACACTAGTAGAACTCGGCAGGAACGAAAAAGTGGATGCACTTGGGGGGGATGTGGCTGCAGTATCAGTAGATGCTTTTGGTATCTTGGCCAGAAATGCGAAAGGGGATCCAGCTGCCGCTGTACTGGTAGCCGGCTTACCAAAACCTGCAAGTAAACAAACTCTTTAAAAAAAGATCCTGGGCTTATAACAGACATTACAGCTCACCTGAAAATCCCGAAAATAGGCTCTTCGACTTTGAGGAGTCTTCTTCGCCAGTCTCAGCAGCGGTAGAGGAGGCGGAGGTGCCGGCAGCCTTACGGCGCGCCTTCTTGATAACGCGTGTCTTCAGCTCGTCCTCGGTGGCCGTGCGGAAGGTGCCACGCTCCTCGGGCTCCTCTTCATGGTCCCAGTTGTCGTGGTTTAGGTTAGAGGTCGCTTGCCGCTTGCCAGCCATGGTATCCTTAATTCAATAGCAAATGGAAAAATGCACCAAGGTGAAAACGAATAAAATCTCACACCGCGTTGCAACCTCGCCGCTTTGGTGTTATCGGATTCCTACATCACGCGCACTTATGAGCTGCATTATCGATGGACCTATCGGCACGATTAGTTATCGATAGCGCAACAACAATCCACTGTACAGCGACGCCAGCAGCACAAAATCGCAATAAAACAAAAAGTATTTAATCACGCCTAACTGGAGATGACCGTGTCCGGGAATCCGAGATCGTGCGCGGAACTGAATGCTTGCTCCTGTGCCTAAAGTGACGGTGATGCGGTCCGCTATTTATCTGCAGCCCGGGCATTGCGCACTTCTACTTCCCTCTGCCAGCGTTAATTGCGCTGCTCGCAGAACCAACAAATAAAAAGTGAAAAAAAAAGGTGGAACAAAAAACCCCAAATAATCGCGAGAGGATGAGAACGTTAGTGCGTGGAATTAAGTGTGCGGATTGCAGTGCGACGAGCAACAATAACAACCCGATCCGGATCGGGGCCATATAAAAGTGCACCACAACCACAGACACGTACAGTGCAGAGGCGTTATCCTTGCTTCGTTTCTATACGCTTGCCCCTGCTCTCCTGCTCCTGCTCCCTCTCCCACTCGTACGGCCTTGGGCGCGAGCTGGTGTGTGTGTGTGTGTTTGTGTTGTGAGTGTGTCTGTAAGTGTGCCAGTGTAAGTGAGGTATTCGTGTCCTGGGCAAAATGCCGCCAGCTTTGATAGCCGTATCCGAGTTCGTGGAGGAGACACGCTCCGATTACAACTCGCCCACCACCTCCACTTTCGCCTCCCGGATGCCCGATTGCCGCCAGACGATAGCCATACTGGAAGAGGTGAGTTTTGCGCCCCAGGTCCAGGTCAGGTAGCCGGGTTCTACCTATCAGCGAGGGTTTGCTGTAGGTAAACCTATACCTGCAACCATTTTATACCATTTTTCGCAGGCTGTATCTATACACTTATCTATACTCTGTCGATGACCAAAACAAAAGTTCAAGGTGCGATATTTGCACTGCAGTAAACGTGGTTGGTTAGGCTACGCCCCCGGCGCAAGCAAAGATTTCTTCCATTGGGAAAGCATCTGAAAGATTCAAAAATTGGCCCGACGCCAAAAATGAGCCACCGCCTGCCACTTACTCACTCTCCCATTGCGAGATCTCCCCAGCCGAATGCAAGGTGGTTTCTGTGGTTCCACAAAGTGCATTCTTGGCTAAATCAATGCAAATGCGGGGAGAATGGAGCTGGGAGCTGGTAGCTGGTAGCTGGGAGTGGGGAGTTGCCACACTAACATGCTGAAATTTTTATTTTTAGTCACGGTAGCAGCTGTGGCTATGTCACCCTCTACTAATACACGCCCCCTGCCCACCCTTTGCCACCGCCGATAAAACACACAAAGAACATAGTGTTGGGGCCGGAAAAGGCCCGTGATAAGAGAATCAAAAGCTCCAGCTAGTCCCGCATGGAATGTGCTTTACTAGAGTGACATTTAGTCAGTCGGGAAAAGGAAAATTTTGGAAAGATCATCTATTCTGTCATTTGACAACCCCTCGATGGGGCCTCCTTTTAGACTATAATTATGCAATGTACATATATGCGCTCCAATTCCCGCAGTGGCGTCCCTTGCTACCCAAATGCAGCTCCCAAAGAAACACACAAAATTAGACAATTTATTGGATCCAAGAGACCGCGAGACCGGGAGACCACGAGACTCACGTCATTCACACACACCGCCTTCTTGGACTCCCATCAAAAGTTTAATATTTAATTTCGCTGATGGATTTTTGGTGTAGCCGGCGGACGGACACCAGCCCAGTGACCTCCATTCCGGCCAGTTAAATTAGTTTTATTTCTTTTTGGCCTGCTGCCGCCTGCCTCTCCCATTGCGTGTTTTGGTAGCCATATTTGGAGCAACTGTAAACTGTTTCTAAAGCCAACTCTAAGTGATTCAGATACAGATACAGAGATACAGATACAGATATGTATGAGTTTCTCGGCAATTCGCTTCTGGAACAAAGTGTTGCGGTTTCGGGCTTTGACTTGTTTATAAATTAGCATCTTTTGTTATCAAAGCCGAAACAACAGACTCACCAGCCAAACAAGTTGATCCAACTTTGGGCCAGTTCGTGTATTTGTTTATTTTTTCTAGGCGTACTGCTCCTGCCCCGACTCCGTCATGACTAATCCCCGCGAGCCAATGATCCGCAGATGTTTGCCTAGTGGCTGGTATCGAGTTGCAATAGCGAAAATATTCGGATTTCCTTCTAGCTGGTTACGGTTCTGGTTACCCCGAATCGATTGTAAATTATTTGCGCCCAATCTAATCTACAGTATTTATTGGCCAGTGCCTGCCCGGCACTCTATGTAGTTCATATTTCAAAATTAGCTGGAAGATGTGCAGCCAGGAGTGAAGTTCCTATGCGCCACCCTTACTTCTTGTCGGGTAATTCAATTTCCCGAACAACCTTTTGAATTGGAAGCAATTGGGCAGAGTCAATGGGTCAATGGGGGAGACGAACTCCAGACCCAGACCCGGATTGGAGCCGGTTTCCAAATCACCTATACCCGGAAAAGGGGGGCTAGACTCTAGAGTCTTTTTGGATTTTTGTTGCATGCGACGATGGCTGGACTGCATTCGGAATGGGGCTGGTTCAGTTATTAAGTTTAATAATAGAAGTGACCTTGTCGTACATTTTCAATTAGCTGGAGGGGTGGAGGGTGGGCGGAGAGGCGCACGGAATACCTAATGCCGGTATTGACGCGGACTCAATCAGAGAATATTGTTCATTCGGCGCCCAAGCAAGGCGTTTCCTCTATTTGGTTTCCCCTTTTTGGCTCATCCGCGGAATGCATTGTGGATGTTCTGGCTCTACAGAGAACGAGAAGGTGCCGCCCCTGCATTGCCTTTTATTATTCCTATATCTATAATAACAAAGAATAGCATGACTTTAATGGACTTTATCACTTGCAGCGTCTGGAATTCGATCGCGAGGGACTCACCAAGCTGAAAAAGGCGGTCAAGGCCATTCACAACTCCGGAAACAGTAAGTTCCAGCTCTGGATATAGATTCGCCTCAGATTCGCCTCCAACTTCCATTATCTTTCAGCTCATGTCGACAATGAGATGTTCATGGTGCGGGCCCTGGAGCGGCTGGGCGGCAAGGTTATCGACCAGGATGAGCCGGACATTGGGGCCGCCTTCCTCAAGTTCAGTGTGGTGACCAAGGAGCTCAGTGCCCTGATGAAGACATTGGTAACTATCGCTGGCTTTTACGATAAAACGTTATCACATTGTTTACTTGATAACCCACCCACAGATGCAAAACATTAACAACATCGTCATGTTTCCGGTGGACTCGATGCTGAAGAGCGAGCTGCGGGGCGTGAAGGGCGATATGAAGCGGCCGTTCGACAAGGCGGCCAAGGACTATGAGGCAAAGTTCATAAAGATCGAGAAGGAGAAGAAGGCCCAGGCCAAGGAGGCGGGCATGGTGCGAACGGAGATCGACGCCGCCGTGGTGGCCGACGAAATGGAGAAGGAGCGACGGCTCTACCAGCTCCAGACATGCGAGTACTTGCTCAAGTACAAGGACATCAAGACCAAGACGGGCATCGAGCTGCTGCAGCACTTTATCGAGTATTACCACGCCCTGAGCAAGTGAGTGAACCCTCCTCCATTGATATGCTGGATAGAATCTTAAAATCTTTATTTTTCTCTCCAGCTACTTTAAGGACGGCTTGCAGACAATCGAGCACTTTGGCAACTACATCGGCGACCTCAGTGAGAAGCTGCATGAAATCAAGCAGAAGCAGGATGACGACCGTCGCAGCTTGCTGGAGCTCCGAACCCTGCTGCGCAGCACCCCGGACTTTGAGCGATTGGACAATGCTTCTGCCTCGGAGAACCGCAGCGCCGGAGCGGGAGCTGGCTACTCGCTGCACCAGCTGCAAGGCGACAAGCATCACGGCGTCACCAGGCAGGGCCATCTTCTCAAGAAGAGCGAGGGCAAGGTTCGCCGCGTTTGGCAGAAGCGGCGCTGCCGGGTTACTAGCGATGGCTTTCTGGATATTTTTCACGCGGATGAGTCCAAGCCGCCGACGCGCGTCAACTTGCTCACCTGCCAGATTAAGCCAGTGCCGGATGACAAGCGCGGCTTCGATCTGATAAGCTGTAAGCTTGAATATATCCCTAAAAAGCAATAGTATTCTGATATTCAATATCCTTTCTTTCAGACAATCGTCCGTATCATTTTCAGGCGGAAGACGAGGGCGATCAGAAGGCCTGGATGGCCGTGCTGGTCAACTGCAAGGAGAAGGCTTTAACAAAGGCATTCCAGCATGTCAATCCGCAGATGAGCCCCAGCCTCGTGGAGCTGCAGAAGACTGTGATCCGCTACGTCCAACAGCTGCCGGGCAATGATCGCTGCTGCGATTGTGGATCGCGCAACGATGTGACCTGGATCAGCCTCAACTTTGGCATTCTCGTGTGCATCCAGTGCTCGGGCGTTCATCGCGACCTCGGCGTACACCATTCGCGTATCCAAAGTCTCACGCTAGACAATCTTACTACAGCTAATCTGCTGATAGCACGTGCCATGGGCAACAGCACGTTAAACGACATTATGGAGGCAAAGCTGGGAAGGGGAAGGCTCCAGCATGAGAGCTCCATGTAAGTTATCCTTCCAAGTGTAAAGGGGCTGCAACTGATTGTCTTGCTGGCTTTTCAGGGAGGATCGTTACGAGTTCATTCGCGCCAAATATGTGGCAAAGCGCTATGTGATGCGTACTTGCGCGGACGATAACGACTTGAGGTGCGATTTGGAACAGGCGGTGGTGAACGCGGATATGAGCCAACTGCTACAAGTCTGGGCCGAGGGAGCGGACCTCACCTGCTGCCTGCCCAGCTCGGACGACGGCGAGACTGCTCTGCACTTGGCCGTGCTCCGCGAGATGGGCTCCACGCTGCATATAGTCGACTTCCTTATTCAGAACATGCCGCCCAAGGGACTCAACAAGGCGACGAATCCGGCGGGCCTGCTGGATGTGACCGGAAAGAATACGGCGCTGCATCTGTGTGCTCTCCACGATCGCCGAGAGTGCATGAAGCTGCTGCTTCGCTCCGGAGCAGACTACGAGCTGAAGAACTCACAAAATAAAACAGCACTGGATATTGCCAAAGAGATGGGACACAATGGCTGCAAGGAGCTGGTAAGATTGCCTTAGTCTGGTTTCCTAAACCCTCATACTGACCCACTCGGTTCTTTGAAGATTGAATGTGCCATAAAGCGAGAGAAGAGCGCCTTCGACCACATCAACACCGATTGGAACCTTCCCAACGAGGACGGATCAACGGACTTCAGCGACGACGACACTGTCATCGACGAACGCGTAAGTTAGGCTTCAACTCCAACCATTTCCCATACTGATTCCCGCTTGGCTTGTTGCAGAAATCCCGTTCGCGTCCCCCCAGTTTTGCTGGCGGGGACTCGCCCGTTCTGCGCTCTCGTTCCTCCACATGCGACTCCATTCAGTCCAGTTCTAGTCCAATCGCGAACTGCCCCAGTCGTCAGTTCACCCTGCCCTCGGGCTTGCCCAGCTACACCCAGTCGGCGGGCACTTCGCCCAAGCAGCACATTAGTGTGGGCCAGTACCTGGGAAGTGCCAGCAACGTGGGTGGATCGTCCGCCGGAAACGGAGGCTCCAGCCCCAGCTCCGTGTCCAGCCAGAGCGTGCGGGCCGCGCGAAACAGCCTTAACATGCAGAACGAACTCAGCGGGCATGTTACCGGCGCCCGGAAGTCAACGTCCACGGCCAATATGAACTCTTTGAAGAAGCGCACAGCTCCGGCACCGCCGCCAGGTACTTTGGGCAACGCCTCGTCCAGCTCATTTTACGGCACCTTGCCCCACCCGCCGCGGCACTCACAAAACTTTGATGCCAACGACATACGCGCCATCAACCACAAGAACCAGTCCCTGGACGTGGCCTACGGAACTCTGCCGCACCTGCGCAGCGTTGATAACAGCCCGCGAGGCGGTGGGGGATATGGATACGGTGTTTCGCAGGATCCTGGCGGGTCAGGCAACGGCAGCAGCAACAGCCTCATGCCTGCCATGACCACTTTCGGGCACAAGCGTTCACCCAGCGGCGAGTCGCTGAATCGAAACATCCACTTGGCTGGAGCCAAGCTGGTACTACCACCTACAGGGGAGCTGCCCACGCTGAAGCATGTGGACAAATCAGCGTTGACGCGACCAAAGATTCCACCACCAGGACCGCCATCAGGTTTGTACTCTGACAGCTTTATTAAAGTGTTTATTTTGAATCCTAATCCTTTTTCCAGAGCGGGAGATATCCAACGGGCAGTCGAACGAGAGCATTAGCTCCATGGACGAGGGCCCAGTGGCACCTCCTCGCAAGGTAAGTCTTGTCAAACCGATTATTGGGGATTGTAAGGACCTGTAACTCAAACCCTGTACCCGATCTCTATGTATTTGATCTGATCCGCACTCGGTGCACAATTTGCAGCGCAAGCAACAAAAAAACGCACTCAGATGTCAGTCCAGCGAGGAGACGGTAAATGGCTAGCACACTGCTCGTTTGCATTTTCATTATTTTGACAAGCGAACTGCACCAGACTATTGTTGTGGTTGTCATTGCTGTTGCTGTTGTCGTTCCTCTACTAAGTGTCTCGTTCTGTGCATCTCCCAACAGCTCTAACCCCTATGCGCCTCACTCACCCACAAAATACTCCAAAACTCTTTCGAATCCAATTTCTATGTGTTGACTTTTGTTTCTCTAAATCGATTACACTTGCATCTATGTTTGGCCTTCACTTTGCTTAATTTTCGAATTGTTTTAGTTGATCAACCAGTCGGCCAACTTCACCGAGTACGAGTCCTGGCACACAGACATGGACAGCTCCGGTGGAGGCTTGGATCATTCCGCTGAGTCGAATGTCTCCTCCAGTGACAATGATCGACTTAACTCTTCGCCAGACAATCCATCAAAAAGCGGAGGACCAGGCCCTGGTGGCAAGTTTCACTATGTAAGTTGGAGTTCCTCTAGGAGACAGAAGCGACTTATTGCTTTTTGTATTTTGCAGAACGGTCAGCGGCGGTGCCGAGCCCTGTATGACTGCGTTGCGGACAATGATGACGAGCTGGAGTTCAAGGAGGGCGAGATCCTGATTGTGCTGAACGAGCGCACTGACGACGAGAACTGGATGGAGGGCATTATCGAGGGCCAGCCCGCTAGGAGGGGCATGTTTCCCGTCAGCTTCGTGCACATGCTGCCCGATTAAGATTCTATCCATAAATATCCGGCCTGAATGTATGGGCTGCGCGTGATTGTATATAGCTATATATATTTGTGTGTGTGCATGCGTCTTTTAAACATAATTGAAGCATAAGTTTTTAATTTATTACAACCATTTTATCACAAAGCGTGCGACTATTTATTTGCCTAAGACTAAACGTGACCGTCACAAGTAAAGCTACTTTTGGCTTCGAATTTGAACTACTACTCTAATTATTTCGACTTTTATCAGAATCAGAAAGTAGATGATGGTTTTGCTGTGCATATCCCGATAGCTTCCTTTCCATGTTCAAAAGTTAGCTCCTTAATGACTTAATGACTTGCTTTAATAACGAGAATGTCCTGAAAATGCTGTAATTCGTACCATAACTAAATCTATCCTTAACTTAGCGTAACAAAAGTTACTCAACATGAAATTATGTAATGATTGCTTATACTATATGCTGCCATATACAGATACTAACGATATCCATGAGATGGCCGACCTGGTCGGCTTCTTAGCTTACACTCGTACTCAAGTATTCTAAATCTGTTGTTGATAGATTGACGAGAAAGTTTATAAAACAACGTTGAACGAAATACCCAAAAAAAAAAAAAAAAAAACCAATGGCGAACGTAATAATGACGAGCCCCAATGCTATTATAAAGGAATTCGCGCAAAATTCTGCAAATAGAACAACATATATAAGCCCCTTTGTACCTAGAGTTGTTACCAATTAAGTACCCAATATATTAACTTATATGCATATTACAAGATATCGCCCTGTCGAAGAACTAACCAAGGTATACCCACTTATTTAGACTTGATCGATTACGTTGTATACGTACATACATACATATGTATTACAAGAACACACTTATGGTCATACAAATTCTGAACTGTACATAATTTTTTTAAGACACCACACCACACACCTTTTTTTTCTTTTCACACATTTTGTACACACGTTTCAGTATTTATTTAGCAAAACCTTAAAACATATTGATATTATATTTAAGTCGAATAAAAGGAAAAACATAACGCTTATTACATATATACATATTATAAGGTTGTGTTTTTACCAAAAAAATAAGCAGTGCTCTTTTATTATTCCAAGTCCTTAAAGATGTCGGGTGATGGCGTTATGCCCTGCGCTGATTGTTTAATTTTGGTGAATTTTTGTAGCAGAGACGCGTATTCGGAGAAAACCTGGTATCCATTTTTTTGCAGAGCGGTTTCGCCGTAAAGATTTGAGGTGAGCAGCTTGGCCAGGTTCTTGTAGTCCCGTTGCAGTAGACAACTTCGGGCCAGGTGCAACTTGTCGTAGGTGAGGGAACGCCTAAATTCAGACTCGACCGTCATCTCATAGCTGACCGAGGGAGTACACCCCACATTTATGTTCAGCCAAAAAGCGTCAGTGGAGTCGTTGGCGATGGTCAGAGTTCGCTGCAGGACATTTTTTGGTATCCTGGCTGGGGGAAAGTGTTGGGCGGATAATTTTCCTCCAACTTCTTTAGGCATCTTCTTCACTTCCTTTGATTTGGCGGATACTTTTCGTTGGGCTAGTTGACGAGCCTTCTTCTTCGACTCCTTTGTTTTGGTCTTCATTTTGTACGTCTATCCTGAAACTTATTTTATTGTAAAGAATTTAAAAGAATATTTTAAAATTGCATTTACCAAAATTTAAGCGTTATTTTAACATATGTTCTAGCTGTGAGACAATCGATAGTTTTTTCTTTTGGAATATCGATATATGTGGGGAGGAAATTAAAATTTTACGATATTCGATATCAACAAACAAAACAAATTTAAAAATATAAAAGTCGTATTCTAAATTCAATTTTAATGATAATATCAATATAAATTAATAATTAATTTTGTTCAAAAAGTTATATTAAGGTATTGGATGAAAGATCCCAGCCAAAGAAAACTTAGACTTAGATGTCAAAAACAGCTCACAGAAAAACAAGTTAATTTGTATGTACATTCAATTCAGAATTCTCTACTTCAAATATTACAATTTTGTGAAATTTGGCTTTCAACGCATGAATTTATCGAATTCTTGTTACATTGTAAAGATCGATTGTTGTTTGTGAAATTTGTAAACCACCTACCATCGATGGTGATATCGATGCTTCTCCACCACTAATTCCTACTACAAGGCAATATTTTCCGCATGCAACCAAAAAATGCAAGCATAGAACTTATAATTGCCAAGCCGATTCTATTTGGGTAGCCCCACAGTAGCAGCAGGATCCACAACTGTTCGGAGAAGCCCTCTCCGCCTCCGTCACGAACGATAGAAGTCAAACAGTGCCTTTGACTTTGGCTGAGCCCTGCAAAATTTGTGTCAGCCGTGTGCGAAAGTCGAAAAAAAACACCTCTGCTGATTTTGAAAAGTCCCTGCGAAGGTAAGTAATAAATTTGATGCTAGCTTATATATTTGACTTCGGCAAGAAATAACCTCGTGTATCTGCGGGCAGAAAAAGGACAGACCGGCACCAGCAGGAGCAGGAAGCAGTAACGGCTACAGGCTGCCTTGGCCCGAGCTATGAGTGCTGCAAAGAAGTATAAGCCCATGGACACAACAGAGCCGAACGAAAACACTGAGAACATTACCGCCTGCTTGAAAAAGGCGGAAACCGCAGCCGCTGCCGCCGCCTCGACCCAGGGACGCAGCGCCTTCGCCGCCCAGAACATGAACTCGGCCGCATCTACAAATGGCGAGCGCTTGCCAAACTTCTCCAAGCTTGGCGGCCACCATGGGGAGATTCGAACAGCATCAACTACCTCAAACCTCCTTAATCGCATGGGAGCCATTCACAACAGCAAGCCAGGCGATGTTAAGAAAATAGTGATTAAGAACTTTAAGGGTAAGTTGGGTCTAATGAGAAGTTGTTCCGAATCTTCATTGTTACTTATAAATTTTTTTAATATTCATAGCTAAGCCTACACTGCCCGATAACTACTCCGAGGACACTTATGTGAAGCTCGAGGAAGCGGTTATTGCCATTCAACTGTCAAAACCCATCAAATATTCGCTGGAGGAACTCTACCAAGCCGTGGTGAACATGTGTAGCCATAAGATGGACGCGCAGTTGTATGCGAAGCTCAAGGAATTGACAGAACAGCATGTGAAGCGCAATATTAAACTCAAGGAACTAACCGGCGGCAGCTTGGACAAGCTGGTGAGTGAAAAAATAGGATTGAATGATATTAATTCCTAATATTAAATACTATCGTTTTTCAGGTATTGCTGGAAAAGATAAACCACTGGTGGCTGTCATTTTGCCAGCAAATGATCATGATTCGTAGCATTTTTCTTTACATGGATCGCACCTATGTGCTGCAGAACTCCTCCATCCACTCGATCTGGGACATGGGGCTGGACCTCTTCCGCATTCACTTTGCTCAGAACAATGTCGTCCAGAAGCGGACTGTCGACGGTCTGCTGACCTTGATAGAGAAGGAGCGCCAGGGCTCGACCGTAGACCGCGGACTTCTAAAGAGCCTGGTGCGCATGCTATGCGACTTACAGATCTATACCAGCTCGTTTGAAGAAAAGTTTCTCGACGCCACCAATCAGTTGTACAAGGCTGAAAGTCAACGAAAGATGCAAGAGTTGGAAGTGCCCGAGTACTTGCAGCACGTCAACAAGCGGCTGGCCGAGGAGAACGAACGGTTGTTGCACTATTTGGACTCAAGCACAAAGTAGGTTTAATGAATATGATTTGTAGCATTGCTCTTCCAAACAGAAACTATTTTTTTTTTCGACAGACACCCCCTGATATACAATGTGGAGAAAGAGTTGTTAGCAGAGCATCTAACGACCATTTTGCAGAAGGGGTTAGATGCTCTGCTTGAGGATAACAGACTGAACGACCTTACACTGTTGTATGGTCTTTTAAGCCGCGTCAAGAACGGTACTTCCGAGCTGTGTGGAAACTTCAACGGATACATAAAGGTATCATTAATACATTTAAACAATATTTTAGGAGTTAACTGACATAATTATTTATTCGCATGCACTTTAGAAAAAGGGACGCACCATTGTCATCGATCCCGAGAAGGATAAGAGCATGGTCCAAGACCTGCTTGATTTCAAAGACAAAATGGACATCATCGTCCGTAATTGCTTTGAGCACAATGAAAAGTTCACAAATTCGTTGCGCGAGGCCTTCGAGTTCTTTATCAATCAGCGCGCCAACAAGCCGGCCGAACTCATTGGTAAGTACTCGATCTTGCTTCCAACTGATCAAAGTTCGCTCTCTAATATCCATTCTCCATTAGCCAAATATGTTGACATGAAACTTCGATCCGGCAACAAGGGCACCACCGACGAGGAGCTGGAAAAGACTTTGGACAAGATCATGGTTCTGTTTCGCTTCATTCACGGCAAGGATGTGTTCGAAGCCTTCTACAAAAAGGTGAGAATTAATTTAAGGTTTCCTTTTTTCGCATTAAAGAAATGCTTTTTGTTTTTCGCAGGATTTGGCCAAGCGTTTGCTGGTGGGAAAATCTGCTTCTGTAGACTCTGAAAAGAGTATGCTATCCAAACTGAAGCAGGAGTGTGGTGGAGGGTTCACCTCGAAGTTGGAGGGCATGTTCAAGGACATGGAGCTGAGTCGAGACATCAATATAGCGTTCCGTGGACATGCGCTGAGCAATAATCGCGACGTCCACAACCTAGACTTGTCCGTCAGCATTCTGACCATGGGCTATTGGCCAACGTATGCGCCCACAGAAGTCACTATGCCGCCACAGTTTATCAATCCCCAGCAGATCTTCAATAAGTTCTATCTGGAAAAGCACAGCGGTCGCAAGCTGCAGTGGCAGCCAACGTTGGGAAATTGCATGCTGCGGGCACAGTTTGATGCGGTAATTATAACGAAATATATAACTTGATGGATTATTTCGAATTTTAAATATTTATTTACAATAGGGTTCAAAAGAGTTACTGGTGTCGCTGTTTCAAGCTCTGGTCCTTCTTCTGTTCAACGACAAGAAAGCTTTAAGCTACGAAGAGATATTGGCCGCCACCAGCATCGAGGATGGAGAGCTCCGTCGGACATTGCAGTCGCTGGCGTGCGGTCGTGCCCGCGTTATAACGAAAACACCGAAAGGTCGGGATATTGAGGATGGTGATCAATTTGATTTCAACAACGAGTTCACCAACAAGTTGTTCAGAATCAAGATCAACCAAATTCAGATGAAGGAAACGGTAAGTAGATGATAGTGTAATCGGGTGACTTCTATTCCAATGATTTATTTTTACTGCGCAGAACGAGGAACAAAAGGCAACGGAGGAGCGTGTTTTCCAAGATCGCCAGTATCAAATTGATGCTGCCATTGTGCGCATTATGAAAATGCGCAAAACGCTGAGCCACAACCTACTCATCACCGAATTGTTCAACCAGCTGACCTTCCCTGTTAAGGTGAGTAACTTTTTCATTTAAAATACTTGGATTTTGGATTAAAAATACATTCTCTACTTGTAGCCTGCTGACTTAAAGAAACGCATCGAGTCGCTCATCGATCGCGACTACATGGAGCGGGATAAGGATAATCAAAATCAATACAACTATGTGGCATAAGCTGCCCCAGACTCTGTGAACACCGATTGTAATTTTCTTTTCAATTACCATATGCATACTTACTAAGAGTCCAATGAAATGTTTGGAAGTATTTCTTGGCCGGTTGGTATTGGTCTGCGAGTTAGTCGGCGCTAGTTGCGTTACTATAACTTTTATAACTAGATCCGTTGTACACGCCCCAGCTAATGGTAGTCTAGATGCTACAATTCTTTTTTGTAAGTTACCTTATCAACCAATAAATTAAGCGTTTTATTTACAAGCCATGCCACATCGACGATGTCATTATCATTGGAAATAGAAAATCGGCAGCAATATGGAGGTCCTTGAGCAAAAACGTCGTATATAAAGAACCAAAAGTTCAATGAACCGATTGGACTAATCGTATCTCGTTTATTTGTAATTGATAATAATTCGCGTTCAATTAACAATAGAAGAGACACTTGCAGGCTAATTTTTTAATGGAAATATTTAAATAATTATAAATCGTACTCGTAACTCTGTATGTAAAACGGATACGCATAAACTAAATAGTTTTTTTATTTACCATAAATAAAAAAAAAATTACGTGAAAATATAATAATGCACACTGTTTCATTGCCTTAATTATAAAATTATACAAGCATAGATGCCCAGAAAGAATAGCATTCAGCAAATGAATAGTTTATATACAGTTGTTACAGATAAAATTAGTTCTATTTACAATTTGGTAATAAATATTTCGGTCGCGATTCCGTGCAATTTAATATCAAAAACGACAATGAGGCTGGTTTAGGTATCACAATTTCTTCCTCCGGTATCCCCGTTCGTCTCTCTCATATGCAAATCAAAGCCATTAACTTGCAAAGTTCTCATTGGCTCTTAAAAATACATTTTCAAAATGTTAATCGATGTCTCAGACCGTCAGAGACCGGTAATACCATCTACGCCTCCACGCTGTTCACGCTGTACTGCGAGCTATCGTAGTCAGACACGCTGTCTGATCCGTAGCCACCAAACCCAGCTACCGAAGGCCTCACAGTGCTGCTGTTCCGCACCGCATGATCCCGAAGAACGTCGGGCACATAGATTGGCGCCGGGCCAGCAATCTCCACTATGCTGGGTCGTCGAGTGGCAGCACACCGCTTTATGGGCGACATAAAAGTGAAAAGCGTCAGGGTAATGGCCAGGGTGATGATCAGCAGAATGAAACGGGGCACTCCAGATTCGCCGCGGAAATATGCAAACACGCTCATGACAATTACTAGAATCACAACGGAGAACTTGGTCATTGTGACAGCTGTCGAGTGGATCTTGCCTCCTTTTCGAGAAATCATATTCGAGGGTCCATAGGCGAAGTACAGGTTGTGACGATCCACAAAGTGCTTGAGGCAGATGTAGATCATGGCGAAGGGCATAATCATCGGGCAGAACACGCTGTACACAATAGAGATTGTAAAAACGAGGGTAGTCCAGGCGTAGTGCGTGCCGAAAGGAAACTCGATCAGGATTGATTTTCGGATATAGGGCGTCTCCGCCTTCGAGTTGGCTTTTAGTAGCTGCCATATGTAGACAATCAGTTCTGGGAACCGCAGGAGCTCCAGAGCGGTACCAATGAAGGCAGCAGTGATTATGTAGTTTACGTAGAAAGAGCCGCGTTCCGGTAGGAAGATGCATTGCCATCGTCCAGTCTCATTCTTGAATCCCCATTCCAGTAAAGCTTGCGCTGAGGTCAATCCCAAGGATGGAAGAATAAGGATCATCAACAGCAGATATCCAAAGCACTTGGTCATGATCGAATAGTTTTGTTTCGATCTTGTGTAGTGACCCATCCACTTGTCCGAAACGGCCACTATCACGGGCATCAGAGCTGACAACGTCCACAGCATTAGGGTGGGCAAAAATTCAGAAATCAAGGGGGAGATTTTTCCCTCCGTATCCTTTAGCCAGGGCTTGTTGTTTAGTAGGTTTACCACAATGGCCGGAGTGGTGAGGAAAAACAGAAACAGGAATAGTACCACGTTTACGCAGAAAAACTTCAGGTACCAGTGGCTCTTATTGACATTCAGATTTTCCCAGAAGATGTCGTCGGGCGAGGGAGCAAACATCATGTGCCATTGCCGGTAGGTGCCCGGTGTGAAGTGTGTCACGATGTTCTGCGCCTCCTGGACAGTGGAAACGGTCAAAAAGGCAATGTCTAGTGGCTCGTTCATGGTTGAAGCGCGGAGGCGAGCCACATCGCCGGATAGCTTGCGCTCCTCTCGCTGATAGTACTCATACGCGTTTTCCTTTTTACAGGAACACATTTCGGGTTTGGCCTGGAAGTAGATTTGACATTAATGAAGGATTTAAAATGGTATTCTTGGTACTTACCATCAATGTGTCCTTGTCCCTGTGATGTTCGCAGTAGAGTCGAGCTTCGTGAACCCTCTCAAACTCAGCGTTTCTAACGTGCAATCGGGAAATGTTATAGGCTATGGTAACGTTCTCGATGGTCACATCGGGGAAAAGCTCTTGCATATAGTTCCGCACCACCGTCTTGTTGCGATCGCTAGACGAAATATTTGATATCATGATAGTGCGGGTGGCGGCCTTTTTGAAAGCATTCCGACCAGAAGACCGTCGCATAATAAGTACCACGAGCGGCACGTATAAAATGGTTATTATCGTATGCACCCACAGCCATGGGGAGTCGACCGCGAGGTTCGCCATTGTGGTCCGGCCAAATGAGTTGACATCAAACGCCGTTGAAGTGGGTCCGTTTAAAAAGTTCACCGGTAAGATGATTGCCAGCGAAATGAGGGTAACAAGAGCCATAACAGCCATCAGATGCTGCTGGAAGGAAAGGTAGTGGACTGCATCAGGGCCTGTGTGCAGCAGTATCGTCTCCTTGCGCAGCTTAAGCGTGATCTTGATCCACCCGAAGATACTTTCCTCGGGAGGCTGGACTGGCGAGAGAGGTGTCGAGTCGGCGGAGGGCTGTGAGGCGGTGCTGGGCCGAGGCGAAACTTGACTCGTGCTCGGTTGAGGTTCCACCACACTGGCTGCCCGCGAGTAGAAGATCTCCGTCCAGCGCTTCTTATTTCCGTTGCTATTAACAAGTGCCAGGCGTCCAAAGTCTCCGGCCTGGTGACGCAGCGTCGTGAATAACATAATAAGAAGCACCCAAAAGATTGTGTTCAGAATTAGAGTTTCCGGTATGCCATTATAGGCGCTTGTGAAGAACGAAGTCCGGTTCCCCACCACCAGACAGTAGGAATTGTTCGGATCCGACATGGTTGCCAGGTGAATCACTGAAAAACACAAAGAAAGTCGTAACTCATTTTCTGGAGTTATTGTGGTTTTTCTGAATTGATAAGGCTTCTGTTCTGCGCTTGTGTGAAAACCAAAACCACTAAGCTGATAAGGTTCTAACTGAGCAAGCATTTCCCCGGGGGCAACAGATCTCGGGTGACTTTCCATGCCCCAGAGTCTGGGGCCCAGACAAATACATCTTTCTGGGTCAGTCGGTTAGTCTAAGCAAAGTCCGCGACATAAGATAACCACAGAGAATGAATTAATTATGCTGGGCGACATAGCTGCCTGTCTAATAAAAAGTGTGACTACTTTTATCTTTATTTGCAAAAATAAATAAGACAAGCAAAAATAAGTCGAAATCTACGAACGCCATTGAAAGGGGATTTTAAAAATGAGATAATGGTTGCTTCAAACATGTTTTAATGGGCATGAGCTAAGCAAACTAGAAAGGGGTGGATGTGGAGAGGCGTTAGGGGGTGTCCGAGACGTAGTACGTCAGATTGGACACCATTTCTCTTCCTCTACGTTTGGTTTGGGCCATGAATCATCGAATTCATTTCCACCTTGGCCTGTCGCGTGGCAAATTGGCCAATCCATTACAATAGCCATACTGCACTGGATGACTGCTAGCCAGTGTACTTATTTAATTAATTTTCAGAGTTTAAACAGCAGTCTTTTTTGTGTGCTGGTATTGCAGTCCACTTTCTTTGGCTTAGAAAAAAACTTTCACCACGGTTTGCTAGGGTTCATACCTTGTCGGTTGAAATGTGTAATCCCAGTTGGCCTCCTTTTACGTCTGCATTAAATTAAACTACACCTTTTCAATCTAAATTATTTCAAAATTACATCAATCAAAACAGCTTTTGTGTGTGTCGTAAAAATTAAGTGTTACCAGATGATTGAATTGGAATTTAAACCAACCTCCTCAGCGGGCGTGAAAATTCACTAAAAAATACCGCAGTCCGCGTAGATTTAAAAATATCTTAATTTAATAAAAGTCTGGGGAATAATAGCTACTAAGTTGTTATTGATCTTCCTTTTAATGGCTATTATCGATTCCATTTTTTATTTTTCAATACCAAAATCACACTGTTCTAAACCATGTTTTATTGGTTTCAAATATATGAAGTACCTAATTTAAAAAAAATATACAAATTTTACCTACATGATAAGCATATTTTAAAGAGTTATTTGATATTTTTTTAAGTCTAGTGTAACTATTTTTTTTAAGCCCTAGATGATATGAATAAAATTTAAAGGGTGGACCTTACACGCCTTCTCTTCACGCTCTCTTTCTAGTGATGGAAAAATTGAATTTTCTCCCTCAGGATTTTATTCGAAATACTGTTTAGTGTTGGTAAGTTTATGCACAAATAAGACGCCTTATTTAAATAGCGGAGTATAAATCCATTAGGAAAATGCATCCGAACTATATACGAAGGAGTAGTTGACGGTTTGTATAAGGTATGTCAAAACTTTTTCAAAACTTCCTCTCTAGTTTGTAACATTGATTTTCACAGCCTCAACACACAATTTGTTCACATATTTCAAATACGTTTTTTCTGCATTTTCGGTACCAAATCTTAATAAATCTCAGAAATTCGTCACATACCATGGCGTCCGAACCAAGACCAGAGGTGAAGTTCGATATCAAGCTGCTGTCCGGCAAGACCGTTGTGATGGTCGAATGTCCTGGCTACGAGAGTGAACTTTTCATGCCGCAGATTGTCAAGGGGCGCATCACCTTCCAAAACATCATACCGAACCGCAGATGTTGCCCGGAGAGCATCCTACTATCTGATCAATTCGTCCTTCGTGGCGAAGTGGGCGCCGGGACCAGGCAATTGGCCGGCACTCCCCTGCGTTCCTCCCAGGCATCCAATATTGCCTCACCGCTGGCAAGGAGTACGCCGTCTAGTGTAACAAGTCTGAACACACGAGCCAGCCGAGAAAAAAGTCTTCATGCGACGCCGGAGCTAGTACGATGTCGTCCCATACAGCTTACCTCGCTGGGCGAGGTCGATCTGGATTTGGGAGTGATGCATATGCCGCCGGACTTGGAAGTGTCCACCGCCAGCTTGCCGTCCCCTGAGGCTGGGTTGCCATCTACATACCAAAGCCCTAGCCTACCCGAATCAAGGCTATCCCCGCCAGCTGCTCCCAGCTACAATATTGTCGCGGCCCAGCTAAAAGAGTCTATCAGCAACAGCCCCAAAAAGGAGCATACGCTGCGCACTTACTCCCGCAAAAAAGGGGGATCACCTGGGAAAACCAAGCCCACTGTCTGGTCCCCTCTACACATGAAAAAGAAGGAAAAGGTATCTTTAACTAAGGCACCTAGTCCCACCATGAAAGTTGAGTTGAAGCCAAAGCGTAAACTTATAGTGGACGCCAAGAAAACAATAGCCCCTCACGATTCCAATAAGATGCTTTCTATGCCGATCTCAAAAAAGAAAATCATCCGCAAGCAGGTGACGGGGAAGACGCGGAAACAGTTTGAGGCTCTCAAGGCGACTGCATATGATTTATTGACGAATCCATCACTAAATCATATGTCCTTGGATCTGCGCAAACAGTTTCAGTTGGCATGTATGGACAAGTGCGCCACCACGCTGCCCAACTACGCCGAGGTGGCTGTAACCTCCCCGCTGGAACTAGACCGTCAGGTGAAGTCGCTGATGGCCAAGCAAAAGCGATTGGATCGGAAAGAGCGGATTCCCAAGAGTATGACGTCCATGATAGGCAAACTAATTTAAGGTGTACCTGCAGCGGATTTCTTTAAGAGGCGTGATTCTCTGAATTTAATTATGCTGGCACATGCAATGTACTTGAAAGTGTAATATTTACAATCGTCAAATGAACTACTTATTGTAGTCCATTAAATATAAAACTCTATCAATGAAATGCCACTTTTATATACAATTTCTGCTAGTCGAATTTAATGTTTATGTTTACAATCATACTTTTAACAAAAAGGAACACATTCTGCCTATTTATACATATTTACAATTCTACCTTAAGCTAGACTCCTACAACAGTGAATAGTAATAAGTTTCTTTTGTACGACAAAACATGTTTGTAGTTGGTGGCAGCTCCTAGGAGCTTCTGCATCGAAAACAGGCCTTGAATCCGCGCTTGACAGCTCGAATATTGTGGACGACTTGCTCCTGTAATGGAACAGGAAGTTACTTGTATGCGGGGACTATTTATTTAGATAGATATTTACCTGCATGAGGTTAAAGCACATGGCAATCACGGCCATGCCAAGCAGCAAATACACGGCGCAGAGAATGAAACTAACTTCAACCTTATCCCTATCGGCGGTTATCTGAATGAAAAAAATTTTAATTATTTTTACATATTAGTTTAGAATATAGAAGGGCATCTTTCTCACCACACGATCACCTGGCACCAGATCCCCGAAACCAATGCTGCTCAGCGATATAAGACAGAAGTAGCTCCCATCGAGATAGTTCCAATCCTCCCATCTTCCAAACAGCAGGGCACCCCAGAGGATGTAACTGAAGGAGGCAAATACTTGTATAAGTTATGGTTTCATATCTGGAAAGCTATATCTTACCCAACCATAACGAATATGCAGACTGTTACTGGAACCGTAATTTCGTCAGTGCTGCCACGAATCTCCCGCTCGATATCGGAGTCCGAGCCACTAAAGGGAACATCCACCAGGCTGGAGCTGTGCTTCGAACTCCTGCTGTAGTCTCCGCTGCTGCTGCTGTTGGAGGTGCTGGTGCTATTGCTGCTGGAGTAGCTGCTGCTGCCACGGGCGTTCTCCATGTCATGCAACTGCAGCTGTAATTTGTATAAAAATTTAATTATTTGCGATCCCAGCCAATTGTAGCTCCTACTCACTGCTCTGGCCAGCTGGCGCATCTTGCGCCTTTCCCGGATAATGCGACGCTTGGCCACACCAGGACATATGCGGCACAGGCACACCTTGGAGTATATCCACTTGAAGGACTTGGCCAGCACATCACCAATGTTGGACAGATAGAGCAAGAACAAGGGCATGCCGATTATGGCGTACAGAATGGTGACCAGCTTGCCCCACTCGGATTGGGGTGTAATGTTGCCGTAACCGATGGTGGTGATCACTGTCAGGGAGTAGAGAAAGGCGCCGGAGAAGCTCCACTGCTCCACGTCGGGTCCTTTCAGTTGTTTCTTTACAATAGCTCTCTGATACTCGAGCAGTACATCGTTGACCCTAAAATCGAGAATTTATTAAACATTTTAGAATAAAATAAATGAGTTTATATACTAACCGTCTTCTGTACACCCTGCGGTCAAAAAAGCTAATATTCTCAGACGTCAGATCCCAGATGCGTGTGAGAGCTTCTCCACTGAAATTTCGGGCTATAAACCGATGTGGTTTCTCCAACTTGAGTCGCTCGTATTCAAAGATCTCAATGGCCTGGAAAATGAAGGCTCCCCCGATGGTGTAGAAGGTGACTAGCAGGATAATGCCCACATTGCTGAACATAAAGGCCGTGAAGTGGCGGCAGTGATCCTTGAATCGGTCGAAGGCCGGCTTCTCCTTCCGGCGGAAGGAGCTTCGTCGCGAGGACATGACTTAGAAGCTTTCTTCCGTTTCGGGTTCGGTTGGCGTTCCACTGGCGTTCGCCTGGACATGCTCGGGTCCTCTAATTTTGAACACTCGCATAGATGGACGACTCGAAGGACTTGCAGCTACCTTTCTGGCTAAAAATATACGTGATTAGTTGCTTCCCCAATAGTGTGGAATCATTCCCAAATAAACAAAACCATCTCTACTTTATCAAAGTGTTTGGCGGCATAAATCTTGCCGGGAAATGGATGTGCTTTTGCGGTGATGTGTGTGGGTGGTTTATTTTCATGGTTTGGGATTATCGCGGAATATACGATTCTTTACTATGGCTACAATGTTGCTGCAATAGATATTCTAAATTCAGAGAGATACGCCAAACAATAATCTAATCAAATTTAAAAAACAAACTAATTTATTTAAACTATTTATTCATTTGACAAATTTGTGGGCAGAATCAGAAACCGCAAATGAATAAATATTCGAAAAACCAATTTTCACACAAATGTAAATATTTTATGTCATTTCTAGCCCATTAAGATAATTGATTATATTTATTTTTCAGCCAGATTGAATCCGATTTCGCACTTGGATGCTTTAAAATTAAGAACTGCATGTAACTCATTCGGCTTGACAGTTTTCGGATAGTTTTTAGAGAGAATTCGAATACATTCGGCAGGCAGCATGAATGGGATTTTATTTTTAATGCCGTGTGTTCTATATGCTTTCAAATAAATGACCAACATGAACATGAATTATTAGACTACAATCTTGGCAGCTGGCCTATGGAACAGTCACATCATCCGCATCTCATCTCGACCGATCTCTCCCCATGGATGCGCCGCTTGTGTGTGGTATTTCAATTTTCTCGCGTGGCCGGCGGATGACACTCGTCTAGATTCGAGAATTGATGGCGTAGCCGTGGCGTCAAATTGGAGAGTTCCTAACGATGCGATGCGCTGTCTGCGGTTGCCAAATGCGGGATCCCCCTCGGTCCACGCCCCTGCCACAGCCTTTGCCACTGGCTGTCTGTATTTGTTTGGTTTTCAATCTTTTTTTAGGGTTTTATTTAGTGGGTGTGAAATACGAGTTCATTGGGGATTATTTTTATAAACTTCTGTTCTGGACGGGTCCGGCAGTCATTTGGTTGATTTGTGGCGGCACTGGCCAAGATATCTCTGGTACATAGCCTTGGAACATATCGCAACAACACCACCACCTTACGCATTTCTAGAATTTGTATATTTTTATTGATCAGCACAAAAGTTGGAGGCACTCGGCTGGTGAGAGTGATGGTCGAGGGGGGCATAAATTAAAATCAATTTGCAATTGATGTCTGCCTTATTTACAAGCCGAAACATATTGTGTACATACCTAATTAAAAAATCCAAACACAAAACAAACACCAAACTAAAAACTGCTGCCGATGGAGATGGCGATGACGATGCCCGCCAGCTTGGCCAAAAATGTGTTTCCAATGAAAATACACACAGGCCGCGGAAGGAAAACACATTAGTGGATGGTTAGTTGTTGCAGGGTGATTCGGAGGGGATGATATTAAAAACATGACCCCCTCCTGGCCAGTTCTAGGGTGCAATTAAGCAATCATTGAGTGTTTGGGCAGAATAACGAGCTTTTTTTTGGCTGCACTTGGCGGCCGGCAATTAAAATGCAATTATGGTGAGTTTGTCGAGATATTTTTGGCAGGAATTGGCCATAAAGCAATTTTTCTTTTCGTCCGTACACACTCATCATTTCGACCGAAATGTCTGTTTCTCAAAGCATAAAAATTTTAATTATAATTGCTCTGAAAATTTCCAAAAGCATTTATGTTAACCCAAATCCGAAGATTACCGAAAAGATCAAAGCAACAGGCACAGGAATTACTAATGTATATTATTCCCATTTGGCTTTGGCCAGGGTATACAAGACTAGCGAAAATTTGCCAATAATTCCATATATTTCACAATATAATCGGAATTCTCACAGGTCGAGCAATCCCCAAAAAATTCACAGAAGTGGCTCTTTTGGCTTTTATATTTTTTAACTTGGCCAATTGAGAATGCTTTTTAGTTAGCAACTAAATTGCGTCATACCTGAGGGGAAAGATTGTTTATCCGTGAGATGATTCTTTTGAAATGTGCTTGCCGTCTATGTTTACATCGGTTTCAGGTGGATAGACCCCTTTTTAAATATATATACACATATATAGTTGCCCGATCTGAAGTGGCATTTGTCAATCATTCGTCATCGCAAGGAGGCACCTGGCTTTCGGGCAGGTCCTTCGGCCAGCACACATGCACAATTAATTTTCAACATTTAATTTGCCACGCCAAGAGGCTTGGCATGGAGGAGAGAGCAGGCATTGCTTAAATATGACTGACAGCCACAGAATGTTAAGTGTCAGCGGCTACACGAGAGGAGACTTTAAAATTTAATTACAGTGAAAATTCGGTGACAATTCGGGGCCAAACTAGCTGCCGGGGCAGGAGGACGCGGCAACGTGGCATGGAAAATAAGAAATTACGGCGACGACATCAACACACAATTGATGGCCAGAGTCCGTGGTCAGCGGCCCAGCTGAAATGACAGATCCGTACGGAGAGGGAGGACCGGAGGTCGGGCGGAGCAGTACGGATGTATAGTCATACGGACGGACACACTACTCGGGAACGTGTGTGAGCCAAAAACTAATTTTCGTGCATTGACCGCAGACGAGTGAATTGGTTGCGTATCGAGTTGCTGTTTCCACACCTGTACAGGTTCGGGTTAAAAATATACAATTTGTCAATGAAAACTATATATGTATCTATATAGGCTATAGTTTATTGAAGTTTGTTTATAGATTCTATATTGTTTTGGTTCTTAGAGTTCTATAAAAGTTTCTACATACTCTTTAAGCAAAAAATTGCTGGCCTATGTGGCGTATGAGTGATATTTGAATTTCTTTTTTAGATTTCTAAACTTTTCCCGATTTTTTTATACTTTTTTAAATGAATAACATAACTAATTTGTACCCATACTTTTGGATAATTTTATTTTATTTCCTTTTTTAAAAATATGTTGGAGTTAAACCACACACTTTCAATAGTTTTGAAAAACTTCCAACAACTATGATCCTTTTTGAAAGAAAAAAAAAACTATTACTAAAAACTACAAAAAACTAAAAACTATTACTTATATTAGTTAATTTTTTTAATATTCATATTTTTCAATGATTTTAGGAATTGGATACTGAAAGTATTTCATTTTCCAAACGCATATTTTAGGAATATATTTCTTTGAAGAGTTTTTCAACAAAATATTCTATTCCTATATGGTTCTTTTGAAAGAAAAACAAACCTTTATTTCGTATATTAGTTGCCCCCAAGAGATTTGTTATTGTGTGGCTGATACTGATGCTCCTTGCCAGATGCTCACCCGTGACGTCATGAACGGAGACGGGAGACTGTAGCCCAGGGTAGAAGGGGTATGTTTTATTCCAAATCGTATCAGATCGGATTGGATCGGCTGGCTGGCTGGCTGACTGGATAGTTTTTGTTGGTGTTGTTTTTGGTGCTTCGGTTGCTCCGTTTATTTTAGCAGCTGATGTATTTCCGAACTATGCATGTGGAATATTATTTATGTTTGCGCTGCGCGCTCTGTATATTGTTTTTATCAGTATTATTCAACGCACGCCACGACACACGCCCTAACTCCTCCGTCGCGTCTCGAAAGAGTTTTTTAGATTTTTGTCCGAGTTTTTCGAATATTTCGGATTCCGGCTAAAGGCACCGAAGAACTTCTTGCCTTTATTTGCCTTTTTGGCTTGTGTGCCTTGTTTATTTTTAACCGCACAACACCACACTTCACTTCATCTCACTTGTTCACCTCTGGCCGCGGTTCCACGATTCGCATCACTCCACTCCCGACACTATGCCCCGCTACCGTTACCGATTCCTATTCCGATCCCAGAGCAAGTGCCGCATCCTCGTTCGCCTCGACGTGTGCGCTGCTCGACGTTCTGCTGCCCACTGGCGGCCCGTATTTATAGACGGCGTACACAAAGCACTGCGCTAATCTTGACGCTCTACCTGTGACGTCGCCGCCTCCATTGTTGGACTCGGAATACATGGGAGGCTGCGAGAGCCATAATCGCGGGAATGCCGCTCTCCCAAGAGCCCAGGAGCATCTCCACACCGGCGCATCTATACTCTGTGAATAATTTTAGTTTTATTAGGATTTCAGAATGCCTGACTGACCAAGAATGGCACGTAAAAAACTCCCCTCTAAAAAGGCCACTATGGGGAAGACTTTACTTTGGATTTGAAGCCGTTCTCCATCAAGGGAGCCACTTCCTGCGGCTGTCGATTCCTTGTCTCTGGCAAGTAGCAGAGGGTTATGAAGAAACCACAGATGCAGATAAAAGCACAAAACAAGAAGGCATATGGTCCGATTGCTTCGTTGACACTGGGGAAGCCCATGCTCAGGATGACATTAGCCAGCCAATTGAAGAAGCTGCCGAACGCCATCCCGGCAGGACGTGGAGCCGACTCGAAGATCTCTAGAGGTGGAGGGTCTTTAAATCTTAAATCTGGATAGAGTATTAAATAAGTGAACTAACCTGCACCAATGAAATACGGCAAAGGTCCCAGAGCCAGGTTGAAGGCAATGATATACAAGGACAAAAAAGCAATGCAGCCATAGGATGCTTCCTTGAAGGATTTCTGGGATATGGGAATATTAGTTAGAGCCCGAGGAAGTCGCCCAACTCACCATAAATATCAGACCCACAACGAGCAGTGTAAGGAAGATGTATGATCCCAAACAAGACAACATCATCATTATTCTTCGGTTGAATCTGGCCATTAGAAAGGGACCCATTAGGGCGACTACAAAATTGAGGAAACCCTCGATAAAGTTTAACCAAAGGGCCACTTGGAGAGTGAACCCGGCATCAGTAAATATGCCCACGGAATAGAACCAGATCTGGATGAGAGGGAAAGGATTAGTTTGAGGCCGATGCCGAGGATCTCTTACACTCACCGCGTTGATTCCACTCATTTGCTGGACGAAATGAAAAGAACCCACTATGAATAGTGGCAGCAAGTACTTCTTTTCGCAGATCACCTGCTTCATGGTAAGAGGACCCTCGGAATTGGCGGCAGCCTCAATCTGGGCCAGCTCCATATTGACCCGAGCCTCATCGCCACGCAGCCGCATCAGAGCGCTCTTGGCCTGCTCCTTCCTGCCCTTGGCGATCAGGAACCGGGGACTTTCCGGGAAGAACACAATAGTCACAAGTCCAAGGACGACAAAGATACCCGATCCGGCCAGAGCATAAGGCCAGAGACTGTCGGTGCCCAAAGCAAAGTCAAAGCTAAAGATCTGGCCCACCACAATGCCGCCAGTGATGCCGATGCAGGTGAATACGCCCACACTGCCGCTTAGCTCCGCGGGTGCCAGTTCCACGAGGTACATCGGTTGCGTGGCGTAGACCAGGGCGGCAGCTATACCACCTAGCAGCCGGCCCACCATCAGCATCTCAATGGAGTCAAGTAGCTTGCAGCCCATCTGCAAAAGAGCGGCCACCACCATGATAACGCCACTGAGCACCAGGCAGTTACGGCGACCCAGCCACGAATTGAACATTGGAGCGAAGGGGGTGCCCAATGTGCCCCCTATCACGAACATGGACACCACGGTGGCCATAACAGCCGTGAGCTGAGATTCGCCCGGAGAAGAGGAGTATCGTCTTTGGAAGGAACCTTCCACCCATTTTCTTATAAACTAGGAAACCGTTAAATCAATACAGGAAGATATACTATTTAATCCTATGATCCAACCACCCACCGCCGCTGGGGCATTGATGACTCCAAATGCGTAGCCAACGGGAATGACGCTGCCCAGGGTGACGCAAATGCAGATGCACATCAGCATGAGAGTCCATCCCTGTCGGCCCTCAGCCATGTTGGTCTTTCCTGACTTGTTATCTTGATAGATATTAATTTTTTATAATTAAAACTGACATTTTTGGAGAAGTTTAGTTGTTTTTGTGATTTATGAATACCCATGATTTCTATTTCAGCCCCAAACCAAGCCCATATCGAAACACCTTTTCCATTCCCCTTCAATTGGTCAAAAATTTCGACCCGCTTTTTTATTTAAATTTTTCTGATGGAACCCCTTCTGATGGAAATCCAGGATGTTGATTTCCCTCCCAAACTAACATAAATCCATATCTTTGCCAATTTCTATTCAATCTTTGCGCGAAACAACTGCATTATCTTAAATCTGCATTAAAATCTTAAATTAAAATTTTCGATCCGGATTTTTAAATTTTTCTCTGACTATTTTTAAGCCCATATCTTGCCCAATTTCCATTCGATCCTTGAGCATTATTGAAACACGATTTCCCCTTAAAATCTTTTTAAGATTCTCTTAAAATGTTGTAGAAAGAATGGGGAGGATTGTTTAATTCCAATAATCATCTTATTCATATAAGGTATTCAGTGGCGGATTTAAGGAAAAAGGCCCAGTTGGCAAAATTTTTTCAGGGTACATTGAAGAATATTTTGAAGGGCCCAGAAAATTTAACAAAAAATCTTAAAAAAATTTTGTTCCCAGATTTTGCTGCAGATTTATGGAGAATCGATCCACAAATCGTTTAAGGTATTCCGTTCAAGAATCGGATGAATATTTCCTAAGATATGGCCTTCGCAGTGGGTCATATGGGGCTCCCCATGCATTTTGCACATTTTGAAGGGGACAGCCCAGAAAATTTGACAAAAAATCTTAAAAATATTTTGTTCCCAGATTTTGATGCAGATTTATGAAGAATCGATTCACAAATCGTTTAAGGTATTCCGTTCAAGAATCGGATGAATATTTCCTAAGATATGGCCTTCGCAGTGGGTCATATGGGGCTCCCCATGCATTTTGCACATTTTGAAGGGGACAGCCCAGAAAATTTGACAAAAAATCTTAAAAATATTTTGTTCCCAGATTTTGATGCAGATTTATGAAGAATCGATCCACAAATCGTTTAAGGTATTCCGTTCAAGAATCGGATGAATATTTCCTAAGATATGGCCTTCGCAGTGGGTCATATGGGGCTCCCCATGCATTCTGCACATTTTGAAGGGACAGCCCAGAAAATTTGACAAAAAATCTTAAAAATATTTTGTTCCCAGATTTTGATGCAGATTTATGGAGAATCGATCCACAAATCGTTAAAGGTATTCCATTCAAGAATCGGATGAATATTTCCTAAGATATGGCCTTCGCAGTGGGTCATATGGGGTTCCCCATGCATTTTGCACATTTTGAAGGAGACAGCCCAGAAAATTTGACTAAATATCTTAAAAATATTTTGTTCCCAGATTTTGATGCAGATTTATGAAGAATCGATCCACAAATCGTTTAAGGTATTCCGTTCAAGAATCGGATGAATATTTCCTAAGATATGGCCTTCGCAGTGGGTCATATGGGGCTCCCCATGCATTTTGCACATTTTGAAGGGGACAGCCCAGAAAATTTGACAAAAAATCTTAAAAATATTTTGTTCCCAGATTTTGATGCAGATTTATGAAGAATCGATCCACAAATCGTTTAAGGTATTCCGTTCAAGAATCGGATGAATATTTCCTAAGATATGGCCTTCGCAGTGGGTCATATGGGGCTCCCCATGCATTCTGCACATTTTGAAGGGGACAGCCCAGAAAATTTGACAAAAAATCTTAAAAATATTTTGTTCCCAGATTTTGATGCAGATTTATGGAGAATCGATCCACAAATCGTTAAAGGTATTCCGTTCAAGAATCGGATGAATATTTCCTAAGATATGGCCTTCGCAGTGGGTCATATGGGGCTCCCCATGCATTTTGCACATTTTGAAGGGGACAGCCCAGAACATTTGACAAAATATCTTAAAAATATTTTGTTCCCAGATTTTGAGGCAAATTTGTGGAAAAGAAATCGAAGGTGTAACTTTCAGCTCGGGGGGCCCTGATAGCCCTTCGTCGGGAGGGGGGCCCAGTGGGCAAGCGCGCCTTTGCCCACCTGTTAAATCCGCCACTGAAGGTATTCCTGAAACGATTCGTATATTTGTATCTCCATGTTTAAAAATAAAATACTTTTGAAAATAAACTGGGTTAATCGGCATTAATAAATGGGACTTAAAGAATTTTATCTGGAACTGCCACAGTGAGTGTTTTCATAATTTAAAAATAATAAATTACTTGTGTGTTTTTTCCTTGATAAGAATAAGCTTTAAATGGCTACGCAAACAGCGTTGAAAATTCTGTTTATATTTTTAGGAAGACCACCGTTAAACTCAAACAGTTAACGCAGAAAATTGGTTAATTTTGAATAAAAATTATTTATAACATCTAAAATGATATTAAAAAAAAAGTTATTAAAAGTTAAATGCAAACCTTTTTTAGAATAATTTTCGTTAATATTTTATTAACTTTATTTTGACATTATAAATTGAAAAAATTTACTTCAACTTCGAGGCGAATCCTTGGCTCATTAGAGGCTTTACGTCCTTTGGATCTCGTCCTCGGGTTTCCGGTAGATATCGCCACGTGAGGAATAGGCAGTAGAAGCACACACACATGCACGGAATAAAGGCAAAGGAGCTCCAGACACTCTGGAGTAGGGGAAAGCACATCCCAACCAGGAAATTACCAATCCAGGAAAAGAGACTGCCCATTGACATGGCCACAGGACGAGGCTGATCCTCTAAAAGCTCTGTAACAGATGTGTTAATAATTTTCATATAATAAGAATAATTCTTATACTTACCAGATCCAATAAAGTACGCTATAGGGCCCAGACCAAGCTGAAAGCCCAGAATGAAGGTCAGGATGAAGCCGGCACAGAAATAGGTCAACACCGTACTGCCTGAGGAACTTAGGTAAAAGAGGCCAAAGGACATGGCAAACAGGGAAATTCCACAAACGGAGCACGAAAGCATCATCAGAGGACGACGGGGGTAACGCCGTATGAGGAAGGGTCCCAGGAGCGAGGTGCACAGATTGAAGCCACCTATTCCCAGATTCAACCAAGTGGCTGCTCCCGAGGAGAACCCAGCATCCGTCAGGATCGCCAGGGAGTAGAAAAAGATCTGCAAGAAAAAAAGGATGTTAAAGTCACATCCCAAAGATAAAAGTCATATAGTTTACCGCGTTGATTCCACTGAGTTGTTGAGTGGCCTGGAAGGAGCACACCAGTATGAGAGGCATCCACAGCTCCCTGTTCTTTAGAACACAACATAGGGAACTGGCTTTGTTGGTGTCCTTGGCCTCCAGCGTGGCTTTCAGCTCCTGCAGTTCCCGCTGCACTTCCTCCTCGGCATCGTTACCCCTCAGACGACGCAGAGCATTCTCACTGCCTGACGTGTCCCCTTTCTGGAGGTAAAGCCAGCGAGGACTCTCCGGGAACCACCAAATGAGCACCATCGATGCCATCACCAGCAAGGAGTAGGCACTCAGAGCGTATGGCCATAGCCGCTCGTTACCCAGTAAATGGGACAAGGTGAAGACTTGAGCCAGCAATATGCCACCCGTCACTCCAATGCAGGTGAAGACGCCAACGCTGCCGCTCAGTTCCGAAGGAGCGGCCTCCAGGAGATACATGGGCTGGGCAGTGAAGATTAAAGCGGAAGCTATGCCGCCTAGGAAGCGGCCCACCATTATCATCTCCAGGGATTTGGCGGCACGGCACCAGTTGAACAGAATGCCAGAGATCACCAGAATCACACAGCTTATCAAGAGACAGCCCTTGCTGGGGGTTTGAGAGGCTTCTGATAAGAAATATTTTTAAATAATTTAGAAAGTCAGGCATCCATTACCGGCCATATTTGTCGCTGCACAAAGCACTGAAGCAGGATCCGCATATGCCACCGATCAGGTAGATGGACACTATACTAGTCCAGAGGATGTCCAACTGGCCACTCGTGACGATAGTGTCGTACTCACTGGCCAGGATGTCCTGGCACCATTTCTTGATAATCTCGGCCGGGGCGTTGAGGACGCCGAAGAAGTAACCCACGGGAATCGTTGTGCCCAGCGTAACTGTTAGACACACAAGTAGGAGGAGCGGCGTCCAACCATTGCTTCTACCCGGATTCACATGCTGCAACGATAGCACAGGAAGACACACAATTACCACGAATTTCTCGATAAAAACAAAAGACTTAAGCAACAAACTTGTTTTGGAGTCCGAGCGAGAAAGTGATTGCGAAAAAAACGTGCGTCGAGAGCAGAAATATTACCATAACGACAACCATGGTGGAATCGATGGGATCGACGATGCTGTCGAGCCAAGAGCCAAACCGAAAGTGATTCGCATCCAGCCGTAAAAACAGAGGGCCATCAAACAAGTCAGTGATTCATCAAAGAGCCGTAAATATATCAATCACATACACACTCTCTAGTTACATGAGGAGAAGCAGCCACATACTACGTTTACAGCCCAGAACCCGGCGTAGATAAAATTAACGTATTTGTCTGTCGAGTGCTTGTTTTCTTATCATTGACACGGGGAGCGCTTGTTTGCGTTGGGGTTACTTCTTCGCTTTTATACTCTTCTAAAGTTGTGCAAAAAAACATAAGATTTAAAATGGAAAACATCTTAAAAATATTTCTTATCCATCAGTCATATAACAATAAAGCTTTTTATAGCATACCATAGTTTATTTATTAATTGTGTCTTGAAGGCATTTCAATGGAAAGAGCATTCAGGGAAGTATCATCTATTCTGAGACCTAGTGTCTACAACAATAAATCTAATTAACCGAGTATTAGTTGCCGCTTTGTCCCCCAAAAGGCTTTTTAATTGAACTTGTGCAGGCGTGATAATAGAACAGAGTTCTCAAAGCTCTCTTACAGGGTGTCCCGCCTTAAAAATACTTTCATTTTATCATTTATTGGATTTATACAAAAAGCACTTACAAACTAAAAAAGAAATTACAACTTGCCCTCGGCTTATTGTCGAGAAAGGCACACTTTTGGACGAGGTAAGATGCCCGCCTCACATTGGCAATTACTTAAATCTAATTGTAAGAGGAGCCCAGGTCCTATTTGACCTTCGAGCGGAAGCCCTTCGATACGAGGGGCGCCACCTCGGACGGATCTCGTCCGTGGGTTTCCGGCAGATAGAATTTCGTTAGCAGGCAGAGCAGCACACAGGTAATGGAGAATGGCAGGAAGACAAAGGCGCCCCAGGCGTTCTGCAGGCTGGGGAACGAGATGCCAATTATGAAATTGCACGTCCACGAGGACAGACTGCCCATCGACATGGCCACGGAGCGGGGGGCCACTTCGAAAAGTTCTGCAAATTGAAAAGCATAATCAAAGTTAGTTTGTGTGATATAAATAGAGCCAATCGTCCAATTATATTGCGTCAGCAATACGACAGTCTGTCTGGAGACGGCGTGCCAATGAACCCCATTCTATATCGGGTCCAGTTGCAGACCCACTTCGCCGAAACTTGATCAGCTGGGCCAGTCACGAGCACTGGAGCCCAAAGAATGCGTATAAATAATAGTCACGCGACTTCCAATTACCTGCTCCAATAAAGTAGGGGATGGGGCCCAGCCCGAACTGGTAGAAGAATATGTAGCCCATGATGCAGAAGATGCAGGCAATGGCGAACCAGCTGACAAAGTCCTGAAGGAAGAAATAATCTTAGTAAGAGGGGGTACACTACAGAATCCCTTTAGGACTTACAATATAGTACAATACAAAGGCGATGGTGAACAGGAAGACAGAGCAGAGGGCGCAGGAGAACATCATCAGGGTGCGTCTCTTGCAATAAGCCATTAGCCAGGGTCCCAACAAGGAGATGCACAAGTTCAGGCAACCAGCACCCAAATTAGCCCATTGGGCGTTCACTGTGGACAGACCAGCCTTCTCGAAGATGGACACCGAGTAGTAGAATATCTAAAAAACAAAACATCATTAAAATTCCATTTAAAAACATAAAAGTCTATACCAACCGCATTGATTCCTGAGAGCTGCTGACCTCCATGGAAGCAGCAGACAATGATCAGAGGAAGAGTCAGACGCGGATCGCGAAGAACATCGCAGAAGCTGCTCGTCTGCACTTTGGCATTGGCCTCCGCCTCCATCTCGGCAATCTCCTGGGCAATCAAGTCCTCGGAATTCTCACCCCTCAGGCGCTGCAGCTCCCGCCTGGCCGCCGCATGGTTACCCTTGACGATGTACAAGAATTTCGGGCTCTCGGGATACAGGTACGATGGCAGATAGCAAATCAGGATGAGACCCATGTACGCGGTCAGAGCATAGTGCCAGAGATCCTCAGTTCCAAAGGCATCGCCTAGACTGCACACTTGACCCACGACCACTCCACCTGTGACGCCAACGGCACAGAACACACCCAGAGTACCACGCAGCGCCATGGGAGCCACTTCGGACAGGTACATGGGCAGGGTGGCGGTGACGAGGCCAGAGGCCAGGCCCACGATGAAACGGCCAATGATCAGCATCTCCACTGAGCCTGCGGCGCGGCAGAAAAAGAAGAGCACGGCTCCAATGGTGAACAAGGCGCCACAAATGAGGAAACATGCTTTCCTGCAAGGTAGTAGTGTAATGTCATCTTAGTATTAAAATTTTCTTTTAAATTCTAAACGTTTAAAATGATTTATAAATGATGATAAACCAAACGGAAAGTACTATAAAATTTAGTGGTTTCCAAGATATGCGAATTAGCTTGCGGATTAGAAGCACTCGACTGAGCTTATCGCCTTGATTAATAACTTACCGGCCAAACTTATTGGCTGCTCCGGCACCGCCCAGCGAGCCGATGGCGCCACCGACCAGGAACACAGAAACCACGCACGACCACAACAGATCCAAGCCGCTCTCGCTCAGGTTGCTGCCATAGGTGTCGTGCAGGGTCTGATTGCACCAGACCTTCATCAGCTGTAAAGATAAGGGCAGAGGCGTCCGGATTATTTAACCGAAATCGATCGACAATCTTAGCGCCGAATCGCTGATTCTCACCTTGGAGGGGGCGTTGATAACGCCTATGCAGTAGCCCGTCGACACTGCTCCGCCAAATGTCGTTGCCAGGGACACCAGTAACAAGAGATAGGTCCATTTTGGTTTCTAAAAAGTAGGCATTTAAAGCGTAATTAACAGTTTGTATTTCAAAAATCATTTGCTTTCTGCGTGTTTCGAAAGTTGGACTCTGTTTACAGTTGAGTGCGTCACATTTTGATTCGTTTGGGGGCTGGATTATCGCAACTTTTAGAATGAATCTGAATAATTGGCGCTAATTATGGCGAATCTTGACACAGGGTCAAAACTTTCCATTTCGTTTTCAGGGGCAGTGTGGGTCAGCTGCGATTAAGTATTTTAAACTATTTATTAACTAAGAGATTACTTAGTTGGATTGGTCTTATCTTTAAACGCCCTCAGGCGGTGTCTCTTTAAAGCTGATAAGCTTTTGACCGAAAAATTCAGCTGATAGTAAACCCAATGAGATCGGTTTGTTTGCCAAAAATATGTAGAGGAACTAAAACATTCTATAGCTCTTGAGTACAGTGAGGAACAAAATTCGACGATTTTTAATAGAATCATCAAAACAATACAAATATTATAAAGCAAGAATCATATATATTTATTTATCCATTTATTTGGCTAAATATTCAACTAGCTGACTTATCTTATCAGACTATTTCCACAGTATAAGCAATAAAGATATAAACCCTAAACTTGAATACTGAAAAAAGTATATATAAAACTGGACTGAATCGATGATTCATAAAGGGAATTTCTTTAGATATAAATTATGGCTACTGTTAGGGCACGCCATTATATTTGTGATCGGGACTGTATGTAAATACTGTCGCACCCAATGTCGCACAGAGTAGCATTTCTAAGTATATATTTAACATAAAAAACTTGTGCATATATAAACAAAAATAAATAGCAGAGAGGAAAATAAAAATAAAATGCGTACACCAGACACACTCTTGGCAGTAAAATAAAAGATAAAATTCAGAAAAACAGCATCCGAGAAGAAAGAGAAACTGCGTCAAATCAAAACAAAGAAAATGTGCATGCCGATACAGCTGGACAAGAACAATAGCATCAAGACTGGTTGGGTTGGGTGGTTGAGTTGGGTGATCTTTAACGCTCTCGCCTCACCTGGTTGCTTTCCGTTTGAACTGCTAGCAGTTCCACTCTTGTTGGTTGGGGGTACAACTGCTGGGCCTCCGCCTGGTGACTTTTGCTGGCCATATTTATGGAGCGTATGCTTAGCTGAACTTTGCACGTACTAACAATAATGTCAGAACACTTTTAAGGCACTGTGCGTGTTAACAACTTGAAACCATTAACCGAATTCGGATTCGGATGCCGGCGATCGTTTAAGCAGTGTTGTATAACACAATTCCGGTCTTAGTAATCAGTACTAAAATGCTAATTCTTACATTTCCGATTCAACAATTTTAGAATAAAAACTGAGTAAAAACAATGCGCACCGCCAGCAGTGCACGCCGAAATGTGTGGGGACCGAAATGTGTTGGAGCCAAGAGCACGGTTGGCGCTCGCTGCTATGGGAAAAAGCTCTCCTTAAGTATGGTCGAGTCACCCGACCTTAAGATACCTTGTACTAAAACGAGTCTTCTTATTAAATAAATCATTAATTTAAGTGTGAATGAAAAACACTTTAGTTTAGCATTTAAATCTGCAGATTAATAATGTGAAAAGAAATTGAAAATACTTTCGAGAAATAACGAGGTATTTTTATTTGCCGGTAAATTTTTGGCGCTAGAAAGCTCTCTCTTCTTTCTCTCAGCTTTCAAACCTACCGCGCACGCAATAAACTTATCGATACATATCGAGTGTCGTTGTGGCACCACTACGTGCATCGCCAGCTGTTCAATTTTTGTTGACGTCGTATTAAGAAGCGTATTTATTTACCACCGTTAGTTAATTATACTTTAGAATAGGTACTAGGAACTAAGAAAGCGCTATGTCGACGGTGGCCTACGATTCCCTGCTGTCAACGACGGCGGTGATAAGCACCGTCTTCCAGTTCCTGTCTGGCGCGTAAGTACTCCCAAAACTGATCTGGTCCGGTAAATTAAATTTTGAACATTTTTGTTAATAGTATGATTTGCCGAAAGTACATCCAAAAGAAGAGCACCGGCGACTCATCTGGAGTTCCATTCGTATGCGGCTTTTTATCGTAAGTACAAACTGCCGACGTGACACTTCTCCCAAGATAAGTTTGAATTGGTCTTGGTGGGGTGTTGGGCTTGCGACTTCTGATAAATAGTAGAATGATAAAGCCCTTCAACATGTGTTGCAGATATTAGCAAACTTGGTTGACATATGTACCCTCGGTTATCCATGCTTAGTAGAAACTTTATTTCAAGGCTAAAATTTCCAAAAGGATCCTCCTGCCTGGTTGGCATTTACTGAAACCGCTTAAACAACAACTTTTTTATTTTATTTAAACAGCTGTAGCTTTTGGCTGCGCTACGGGGTTTTAACGAACGAGCAGAGCATTGTCTTGGTCAACATAATTGGCTCAACGCTGTTTCTGATCTACACGCTGGTATACTATGTGTTCACCGTGAACAAACGTGCCTTTATAAAACAGTTTGGCTTTGCGCTGACCGTACTGATTTCGGTCATCTGGTACACCAATGGACTGGAAGATAAGCGGGAACAGATGATACACGTGACGGGTAAAAAAATAAATCATTCATAAGGCTCATAAATCATAATATATGAAAATTGTTTTCAGGAATCGTTTGTTGTGTTGTAACCGTGTGCTTCTTCGCCGCCCCGCTCGCCAGCCTACTGCATGTCATTCGGGCCAAGAACTCAGAGAGCCTGCCACTGCCCCTGATTGCCACGTCCTTTTTGGTCAGCCTGCAGTGGCTAATCTACGGCATACTGATATCGGATTCGTTTATCCAGGTGCCTAATTCCCACGCCATCAGACTGGCTAATTACTAACGGTGGCAAATATTTGCTCAATTTCAGATACCAAACTTTCTGGGCTGCCTATTGTCCCTGTTGCAGCTGGGACTGTTTGTTATTTACCCGCCGCGTAGCTATTCCGGCCATGGCTACAAGCTTGTTGAACAAGCGGTGCCATTTTAGGGGACTGATTTGATACAGCCACGCATTTTGCTACGGTATTCAAGTGTGTCGCATACAGGATATATATTTTAGTATAACTTTATGGTCGAACATGCTTCTCGCTTAGACGCCAAGCTTATTTACTATAGAAATACGTAAGCCTATATTTATTGTAAAATATTTATTAAACATCCCAAATTTGTCACATCTGGTACTTACTTTATCTTGTGGATTTGTTCTGCCCATTGGAATATATCCTGTACAATATATGTCCTAAATAACTGAGTCACAAATCTTTTCGTAAATGATTAAAAGAGCAGTTCGCTTTGCTAAATCCGGATAACCACAACGAATGTTACGCGTTCGTTTTGACCAGGTCTGTGCCGATTGAGAACGACTTGCTAACTGGGTGGGTAATAACTGAACTTGGTGCACTCTGCTGGGCTGCGGTCAACGGTACCGATAAGGTTGATATGCTGATATTCCGGGGCCATAAACTGTCAAATTAATTGAACGTGTATTGGCGTTTTGTGTCCCTGATTTAATGAATTTTCCCTCTGGGCCAGGGGGGTGTTCTAATCAATGAATACCTCCTGTTTTAATTCAATAACTTCCTTATCATAATGCGGAAAGTTAACCTATGTCGGATCAATCAGATAAAGTTATAATCTTTATTGACTACCAAAAATGCAAAGCCCTATAACTGCGATAAGGTTTTTGTTGAGAAAAGATTATAATAGAGATTAAACATTGTTGCGGGCAAGATGTGGATTTGAAAAATAGCTACCGTTAAACTGGGATTCCTTACCAACACTGGGCTTGTAAAATCGAAGGCTCTGTGTCATCACTATATTATCGATAGACGAATTCGTCATAGGAATCGTTGTGAAAACATTTTCGTTTTTATTTTTATACAAAGAAGTTTTATTAAACTACAAGATGCAGGAGAATAGCGCTGAGCTGTACGAGGAGGTGAAGCTCTTTCGCAACGCGCGGGAACGCGAGAAGTACGACAACATGGCTGATCTGTACGCTATCACGAACACAATCCAGCAACTGGAGAAGGCCTACATCAGGGATTGTATTACGCCGCAGGAATACACGGCAGCCTGCTCCAAGTACCTGGTGCAGTACAAGGTGGCCTTCAAGCAGGTGCAGTGTGATGAGTTCCCCACAGTGGAGTCCTTTGTGAAAAAGTTCCGCCTGGACTGCCCAGCAGCGCTGGAACGAATCAAAGAGGACAGACCCATTACCATCCGAGACGACAAGGGCAACACCTCCAAGTGCATTGCCGAGATCGTGTCGCTTTTTATCACTATCATGGACAAGCTTCGCTTGCAGATCAACACAATGGACGCCCTGCAGCCGGATGTCAAGGATCTGGCCGACAACATGATCCGTCTTTCGCTCATTCCCGAGGACTTTGACGCCAAGTTGAAGGTTGAGAAGTGGCTGGGCACTCTCAACGAGATGCAGGCCTCCGACGAGCTGAGCGAGAGTCAGGTCCGTCAGTTCCTCTTCGACCTGGAGTCGTCCTACGCTGATTTCAACAAGCTGCTGCACAGCCAGTAGCTGCCGTTACTCGTTTCTCATTGTGTACATGTAGCATTATATTTAAATAGTATATTCCGAATTAAAAAAAAATTTTATATATGCCTAAACTGCTGTTTTTTTTTTTTTAATTAATAAAATAGGTTCTCCCAAGGTTAAAATAAAACTACAATCATTTTGGTTTCTTTTTTTTGCATTTGTTTGGATTTAATCGTATCTTCTTTTTTGTATTTAGTTTAAATATTAAGGTTATAATTATACATATAAGTTTAAACCGATTACAATAATTAATTTTGTTTGTTTTGTTTTTTCTCATTCACGTTATGTTTGTGGTTTTGTTTCCTTTTAATATATACTTGTATTCTTTTAATTTACTGTTGCTATTTCCGGTTTCATTCTTACGCTCTTAATCTGTTAAATCGTTTTACGCCTTTAATAATTAATAATTGTTACTCTTTATCTTTGTAAATTTATTTGTATGCAATGTGAAAATGGTACTTGGTATATTTATGCGGATGTTGCTGTATGTTTTACTTTGTTTTATTGTTGGAGAGTGTCTATTGGTGTGGATTGGGGAAGTTTCCTTCCTGAAAACCACCTGAAACCTCTCTATGCTGTGTGTGTGTGTGTGTCTGTTCTTGTGTTCGTATGTGTGAGGGGGAGGGGAGGCGTGGTCAGGACGCTGCTGGGCGGCGCCTTTACAGTGCGTTCGTAGTAAAAACGTTTCTTATTAAGTAAAGTATGATCGCTTATCTTCGTATATTAGATAATCCTCCTCCGAAGCTGGCGAGGAATTCTCGCTCCCCGCCCCGTCGGCAATGTGGAGGGGGTGTGGTTTTTGTTGTGGGGCATGCTGTGGATGCAGTTTCTGTTGTTGCGGTGTATCCTTTACGAGCATCAACAAATGGCTGGGAGTGGCCGCCGCCGATGTGGTCGTTACTATTGCTTCTGCTGCTGATGATGATGATGGTGACGGTGTGGCATCCAGGGATCCGGTTGCCGCCACCGCATTTACTATCGTGGTGGTGGTGTGTGTGATGGGCAGCGTTCTTGGATGGCTGCCGCACCGGCTATAGATGTGGTGAATAGGCGTGGTGGTTGTGGTGCTAGAGTTGATGCTGCGTAGGCTGTAGAACTCGCTGGCGCGGGCAATCTGCAGGGGCCGCCAGATCGTGTGCTCCAAAAGCTAGTTCTGGCCGGTCCAGTACGAGGGAGAGTAGCCCTGCTTTCCAGCCGACTTGGACTGGCTGCTTGACTGCTGTCGCTGTCCGGCACTGTTCGAGTCCTGCAATCGGATTGAAACGGAAATCAGTACGACTATAAAGACATTTTTAATCTTTTGATGCTGCCTTCTGCCAGCAGAACAGATCGCCTCTCACGGTTCCACTCGGCCATCCATACACAAAATGTGGGTTAACATATAGAGCACACACGCAATTATATATGTATGTATATATATTATATAGTCGCTGATTATGTATTATGTACACGGCAAGTAGTAAGTATTAAAGGCTCATGAATGATGATGCTGCGGATTCCTTCTCTTTCGATGCCACCTCTATGGATGAGGAACTCATGCAACTAGTGACTAAATGAACATGTGGATACAATTAATGAGATCGAAGGTTACGTGTAGGTAGCATGCGTGCTTGGGTTAAGAAAAACAATTCACCAAAGAATAAGGCAACTCTTACGTGTGATTACAACAAAGGAACTTACCCGGCGGGATGAGCTATGAATCCTGCCGTCCATCTAATTGTTGTCCCATAAAAAAATCAAAAGAAATTATAAAGAAAGTCAAACAATAGAACATTTTCATGCATTTTACAAATCTCTATCAGTCTACCAGTCGCTACTATAATTTTTCTCTTCAAACCTCAAAAGAAGTCTACTCTCGTTTAAATGCAGATGGTTTTTGAAACACAATCTCCAAATAGCATGAAAAATGCATGATGTTTAATTATTAGTGTGGCTTTCAGGTGTAAAAATAAAAAAAAAAATGTCTTTAATGGTTAACACAAACAATACTTTAGTCTTTTTTTTGGGTGAGGGTGGTGCATAATTTTCCGGCTTCTAGTGGGTTATGGGTTAGTGAACAGCATTATTTGGTACAAAAAGTTAGCTTCGTGTTAGACTTTTACAGTGAGTGTGGTTTCTGTTTACAAATATTACAAATCCATGCCATATTTTTTTTACATAACAAGCCCTTAAGCTGCAAAGTAACAAACCAAGGTAAATGGGGAAGTGCAGCCAGGATTTGGGTGTTAGGCGTGGATATATGTGGAGACAAAAATAAACTGTATAAAAGGCCAAATGCATAGATGGTGGTAGTGGTGGTCGTGCCGATTGTTGCGAGCTACTAATGTGGTATATAACTGAAATTTATGCTCTTTTGGGGTGGAGATGATGATTGCCCTAGGCCTCTGGTCAGTCGGCAAAGAAGGAAATGCCGCTGACGTCGTCCTTAACATAGTTGGGGACATTCTGCTCGAAGTTGTCCTCTTGAGAGGCGGCACCCTGATCCTGATCCAGTACCGGATTCTGATACAGACTCTGCTCATCATTATAATCATCATCATCATCGATGTGGGTGTGGGTGTTGTTGTTATTGTGCCATATCTGCCGAAATGTCACTTGTGTTGCGGTAGCATGGACATGGACCCGGTTCTCCGCCTCCCTTATTCTGCCTACAACAACCTGCGGGTGTAATTCAGACTCTACCTGATGAATGGGTTGATGGATCATGTTGTGGTGTCCGGCCGCTGGCATCGGCAGGTACATGCCGTAAGGCTGGGCCGAGGTGCCACCAGCCGTTTGTGTGTTGGCCATATTGAATGGCGGCGGTGTGCCTGAGTGGAAACTCTGCTTGTCGTATGACTGTAAATGGAAGGGTAGATGCATATAAATAATAATGTAACAAGTGCGCCAAATCATTCAAAAAACTCTAGCAAAATGTTTGTTCAGTTCTGCACGACATGCACGATCATACTTACGTTCACTTTGTTCAGCGCAACATGACCCTTGCCGTACATGGACGAGGTCAAGTCGGATCCCGTGCCGGCCTGCGACTGGTTGGATACTGTCTGCGTCTTGTTCTGCTGGTTGACGTTCGACGAGTAGCCGCCCTTGCCGTAGTCCTGTGTGGTCTGCGAGAGGGTGTCGTAGCTAGTCGATCCGTAGCCCGCGCTGTACGACGGCTTCGGGAACTGTCCGCTGGAGGCAGTATTTGCCGTCTGTATCTGTTGCTATTGGTTCCAAGTACAGGGAGAGAGATTAGAAATATGTTTCAAGTTGATCAGCAGGGTACTTACTGGATAAATAGCCGGGGTGCCATATTGGAAACTACCAGGCATCACATTACCGCCGTAGAAATAGGCATAAGGAACATTCAGCATGGGCGCACTGGAGCCCGCCTGTTGAGACATTGTGTTGGAAACCTGCTGAACACAAAACCAATTAATCGTGCTTCCTTGGTGGCGAAGGAATGGACACTTACATTGCCTACCGGACTGGAGTTATTGTCTGTGCGGGCAAAGCGTCCGTCAGTCATTGCCGAGTAGGCCACGGAGCCAAGGTTGTCCCGACCGGCGCCCAGGCTGGCTGGCGGGTAGTTCAGATCGTAGTATCCTTGCTGTAAAGAAGAGAATGTTGAGTTGCCGGCAAGGGAGCAGCGCTTGTGGTTGCGATGGCTGTGAAATTAAGAGGCGGAGCTTTGCCAGATCTTTGGTTAACGAGAACCACCACAAAAATGTACAAAATCCGGTAAAGCTTCTGCTTCATTCAAAGGCAATGAAATGAAGAACACATATATGAGTGGAAATGTTGGATGTGAGATTAGTTTGATGGGGGGGAATGAAACAAATCTGGGGATTAGGATGGCAGAGGGAGAAGAGGGTTGCCTATCAGGAGTGCAAACGCTGATTTGATTGACGTGTTTTGAAGGTTTGCATTCCTGATAACCAAACAAAAGAGTAGTTAAGGTTAATTTAGAACTTAAAGCAGAGCCTGGAGGAGGATAAGCAATACACAAGGATATATAACATTGTTGGAGTATGGATGAAGTCGGTAGCGGATGGATGGGTGCAGGGTGGAATGGCAAGAATGGCAAGAGAAGGTGTGAACTTATATTCAGACAATCACAATCACACAGAGATGGCGGGTGTTATTGATAGACTCGGTCACAGACCATCGCGAGAATGTTATCTATATACAATGCACGCTGAGAAACGGTTAGAAATGGTAGGCCGCAACGTCAACGAGCCAGGATTCGCATTTAATATTGAATCCGAATCTGGATCTGAATCTGAATCTGAATCTGGATCCAGCGCCTGCCTGAGAGAGCAGCGGGAGACGATCTGGGATGCGCTGAGCGGTTGCGGTTGTCGTTGTCGTTGTCGGTATCGTTATCGTTAGCGAATGCGTTAATAAAATTTAGACTGATTTATGCGAATTAGCGAACATTGTAGCGAACATTATTATGGGAGGATATTTATTTCGATACGGATACGATTACTGATTGAATTGATTAGATTCGATTCGATTGATTGATTGATTGGTCGTATTTTTGTTGCATTTGTAGATGTTGGTTTGGTACGAGTATTTGCTTTTCTTTTCTCCATGAACTCACCACATGTTGCACTCTCTGTTGCATCATTTGTAATTCCTCGTAGGAATACACTGGTTGCTGATAGTATGGCAATCCAGTCTGAATATATTGACTAACCATTTGGATGTTGGTGGGCACCAAGCCGCTGCCGCTGCCGCTGCCACCACCACTACCAGCACCACCAGCACTCGACGCGCCAACGCTGCCAGTGCCCGTTCCCGATCCCGAAACTGTGCCTGCACCGCCGGCGCTGCCCGTCGTCGTGGCGACACTGCCGCTTCCACCGCTGCTGCTGCTACTGCTGCTGTTCTTGCTGGTCAGCGATGCCAGCACTGCAGCGGTGGTTCCCGCAGCTGTCTGGGCGGCGGCGGCGGCGACGGCAGCCGCTGCTCCCACAGAGCCGGCGTTGCTGCTGCTGCTGTTGTTGTTGTTGTTCACACTCACACCGACGTTGGTAGCACTGGAGCTACCGCTGACGCTGCCACCGGCCACGCCGACGCCAACGCCGCCGGCGCTACTTACGCCGCTCTGGCTGACACCGCTCGAACCGCCCGTCGTCACGTTGCTGGCCGAGCTGCTGCCGCTCACATTATCTGAAAAGCAAGCCAATGTTAGAACTAAATCCTTTCTGGTCATCAAAGTAATGAGTTTCTCGAAGGAATCTCAGTAAGAACAACTTACTGTTTGAAACGGCCGCCTGGTTAGCACCTGTTTGTCCGCTCACTGCTCCCGTCGCACCGTTGCCAGTGCTACCGCTGCTGCTGCTTACGCCGCTGCTGGTGGAGACACTGAAAGATTAATAGATGCCAATTTTTAACTGCCTCTCAAGTGGCTCCTGTCTGGGCATGCGTTAGTAGTAACGGAATGAGGGCGGAGGAGGAGCAGCATGCTGGGCACTGAGTATCGATCTTACCTGTCGTAGTGCGTGGCACCGCTGGTCGTTGTCGCATCCTTGAGCTTGGCGCTGGCACTAAAGTTGGCGTACTGTGACGACGCGTTGCTTGCGCTGCTAGCAAACCTGAACGGTCAAGAATTCCGCAATTAGGCTTAGTGGACTACGTTCCCGCAAGGATTTGCCCTCCAGAGATTCGGGAGGGAATGGGGATGGGGAAACAAGAAACAGTACTTACCCGCTGCTGTTTGACAGCCCGGTGTTGCCATAGACACTCTGACTGGACTGGTAAGCACTTTGTGGTGTCGAGTAGCCGGATGTGAGGTAGGCAGAGCTCGCATTGCCGCTGTTAAGTGCGGAGTGCGGTGGCAAGTCGGATTTAGTTGTCATTTGGATTGGTTTTAGGGCATGAGCGAGCATTGAACGTAACGTGTTAGAAGAAAAGAGAACGATAACAAGAGATGAATATTATATTCCAGTTGGGTGACAAGAGGGGTGCAAGATGTTAGACTTAATTCGCATACAAGAAACATGAAACATTTAAGCATTTTTCATAGGTGGCTGGGATCTCACCTGGTGCTGTTTTGGCTGCTGCTGCCACCCGCCGGAATGATTACCGCTCCCGTACCGCCACTCACGCCGGAGCCACTCTGCGCTCCCGTGCTACCCTGTTGCTGGTACGAGTTAACACCGCTCGGCTGATATCCGTAGCCCTGCTGTTGGTAGCTGCTGGCCACCGAGCTCTGCACGTTCGCGTAGCTAGAGCTGGCGAAGCCAGGTGCTGCCGTGGGATACCCACTTGCCCCTTTGGCCGCTCCGGTGCTTTGATACGCATTTTGGTAGGCACTTCCAGCGCTAGCCGTCTGGCCATAGGGATCGCTCTTGGTGAGCTGGTCCAGGGCGTTCGTTCCGACATTAACTGCCGAGCTGCCGCCCTGCTGCTGCTGCTGCGTCGTCGACCGGCTCGCATAGGCTGCTGCCGTCAAGGCGTCGCCCTAAAGGACACGAAAAGACAATATGACTTGCAAACCGAGACTTATAACTTGTCCTAGATAGATTCGATTACTTACAATTTGCGAGCTCTGCAGACTCGAGGACAGGGTCGACTGCTGTTGCTGCTGGGACTTGCTCTGGTAGTCGTCCGCCTGCTGCTGCTGGCCGTCAAAGCTAACGCCGGAGCTGATCTTCTCGGGCAGGGCCTCGAAGCTATCGTCCGTGCCAAAGTCCAGAGCGCCGAACTGCACGTCCAGATAGCCAATGTTGTTGAGCGCATTGTCTCCAGGCATTTCCACGGCGCTGGCGGGAATCTTCGAGGGAGGCGGCAGCTTGACGCGAGCCCTTCGCACCTGTGGCTGTTGCTGGCCCTGCTCGCTGGTCGTCCCCGTTCCCGAAGTGAAAGCGTGTGCGTACGTTGCATACTGACTAAGATTCCCGCTGGAGCTCGTTTGCGAATAAGCTGCCACCGGATTCTGCGGATAGCTCGCCGATGACGGCGGCACCGCTGCGGTTCCGGGACTAGCACCCTGGCTGGACAGCGAGTTGAAATACTGAGATTGCTCCGCCGACAGCGTAGCCGACGGCTTGATGGGCGTCGTCTGCTGCTGCTGGAGTTGCTGCTGCTGCTGAGCTTGTTGCACCAACGTAGCGGCTGCCGAAGCGGCGCTTGAGAATGTGTCGGGGGCGGCGGATCCAAACGAAGTTGCAGTGCTGCCGGCACCGCCGCTGGCAGCTGTACCAGCACCAGATCCATTTCCGGATTGTGTGCTGCCCTGTGACTGCGACTGCAGCTGGGGCGGTGGATTGCTAACAGCTGCGCTGTACTGCAGCAGCGGCGTGGCCGCCGAGCCGGTAAGCGTTGCTGGCGGCGTAACAGCCGCTGGTCCACTGCTTGGGCCGTCGTCCAAATGAGATCCCTGCTGCACCAAATGGTGTTCGAGACCTGGCGGCGCTGCCAACTCCGTGGTGTTGCCTGCTCCAGCGCTCACAACGCTGGCTGCAGTCTGCGTGCCCAGGTTGCTGGTGGTGAACACCTTGCTGTCCTTCAGCGAGCCCTCATACTCCTCGTTATTCCAATCTCCCCAGGCATCGTCATGGGCTTGCTGCTGTTTCTCGGCATTCTGAGCGATGGTGTTGTCCCACAGCTCGACCTCGTGGTGATCATCGTTGGCATTTCCGCTGCGGCCAGGACCGTAGCCAGCTCCACCAGTGCCGCGATCGCCGCGTGGACCACCACCTCGTCCGCCCATGCGTCCACCACCGCGGCCGGAGCGTGAGACGAAACCACCACCGCGTCCTCCGCCACCGGGGCCGTTGCGACCTCCGCCGTTGCGCTGTCCGCGGTAATTGTCATTGATGCGATCCTCGCCACGATCACCACCAGCTCGGGGCTCACGAGATTCGCGCTGATTGCGCTCGTTCTCACGGGTCTCTCTTCCGCGCCCTGTAATTAAACGAAAAATCTTAATTAGTATTTGATAGAACTTTAAATATTAAAGAACCTTAGAACTATTTCAATGATAATATCTTTTTCAGAAGCTTATAAGAATAGGTGGAATGACTTACAGCCTCGACTGTCGGTGGAGCCACGTCCTCCTCCACGATTTGAGCTACGGTTGCGCGACTTTTCACGCTTGTCCGCATTCCCATTGCCATCAGCCCAGTCTCCGTCGCCGGCGCCGCCCTCACCCGTAGCTGCAGCCTTGTTCTTGCGCTTTTTCTCGTACTTGGCAAAAGCACCCTGCAAGTAATTGTGAGTAAGCACTGGATAGCTGCAAGAATATTAAGACCTGTGGTACTGACCTGGGGTAGCTCCTCGATCAAGAAATTAGCAGCTGCTTCAAGGTCGTAGTCGCACTCATTGAGGGCGCAGCAGACCTCTTCTTCGGAACGTTGGGTCATGGTCAATAGAAGGGTAACCTTCTCGAAGATCTGCGGATCCTCTATGGTGCTGTTGGTGATCTGGGCAATGCGCAGCTGTTCGGTGGTGGCCTTTGGCTGGGCCTTCTCTGGTTTGTCTGTCTTGCTGGCATCCTGGCCGCCTTTCTTACCAGCTGCTGCGGCATGTGAGACTGAATCGTGCCCAGACCCGGGCCCTCCTCCGCCGGAGTTGCTGGCATTTGACTTTTTCTGGTTGCGACTATGGCCGCCGCCTCCGCCTCCGCCGCCTGAACGAGTTTGTGTGCTCATCTCTATGTACACTGTATATACAATCTAGAAGAAAATAATGGGAGGCAAAATGAAATCAGAACCTGGCTTAGATAAATAGTAACACTCTGACTGATAATTTCTAATGCTCTGCTGACTGGGTTACGAGAGAGGAATGAAAGCTGAACACTATTTGGTTAGCTTACTTTTCACTTTGAGTAACGAACTTAGTAGAACTTGAAACCGAACATAAGTTACTGGGGTGGTTGCGAGAGTCCCACGGACTTTTCCTAAAACCCAGACAGATTTTATCTGTGGATATTGCTAAAACAAGTGGCCGAAGAGCGCCACAAAAGAAAAGCTGGCAAGATGAGAGTTCAATGTACATTTAATAAAAGAGAATGAAAGAACGTGAACAAACACGCACACCAGTGCAGGCGGCGCGAGAGGCGGGCCAGAGGGCCAGCAGAGAGCGGCACACGCACAAACAAAGCGACCGTTCAGAAATAACAAAATTAATGCAAGCGGGCTGGCAAGGGGGGGTGCAAAGTGATAGCGGCGTGTGTATTGGCAAAACAGGTAAGTCCGGGGCACAGGGGTGGCGCCGGGGTACGTGACCGAGGCGCATCAAGCCGATTTCCATCGGGGGTGGGTCAGAGGGGAAGGGAGGGTGGCAAAGTGAGTCGACCCCGATACCAATTGCATTCTGAATCACTCAAATTTGTTGTCAAAACACTTTTATCAATTTTTTTTTCTCGTGAATAACGCCTTTCCATACATTATTCATACAAGCACACACTTTAACCCGCGCGCACACATGCACATGCTTTGTACCGCATACACTCATCCTCCAAGGTTCGCACGTCTGTCAAGGGCTATGACTAAATGTAATGGGATTTCCTGACTTGACCGCTCTCGGGGCATATTCAAAAAAATTATAACAATTGCAATGGGAATTAAAAGACCTGGCATACACAAAAATTGGTTTATAAACTCCTTGGCCTCTTCGCTTCGGTTTTCCGCTTTCGCTTTTGTGCTCGCTCTTCTGCAATTGACATACAAGCGTCTCGTTCGCACCCGCAACGCCGGAGACTTAGTGTTGCCAGGTGCTAGACATAAGAGAACTTTGCGAATTAACCATTATTTTCGATGACTACCTTGGACAAGTAAATGTGGTCATGTGTCTTGGATAATGTCAGCGGATATAGTTAAGCCACTTTTGGGAAAACCCTTAATTTCCAATAGGATTCCGCCTGCTCACATCACTAGCCACGCTTTTGAGAACTTGGCAACACTAAATGCGAGGGCCGAAACGAATGAAGCGCACAAAGAGGAATGGAAAACCGGACAAAATGGTGTACACTTTGCCAAAGAACGGAGTGTATGTCCTTCAGTTAATGGAGATTAATCACTGACCGATTTTGGGACCTAAATGTATTTCGAATTCACACAATGGCAAGCACTTTCAAAACGTTTCTAATCCGCAACCTATAATCACAGTCTGTTCTTGGCCATGTGCACATACTCGACGCCATTTCTGCAATCACTACACTAGCTGACTCTCTCACTCTTATGTAAATCAAGGGACCTAGCAATTATATTGACGGCGACACTGCCGCTCCAGACAGCGGCCGACTATTGAATTTTCAACAGATTTTTTCGCTGTCAAACGAATGACGACCATCAAAAAAACACTACACATTAGTACAGAGGCACTTTAGGCACATTTTTACACAAAAACTAGATGTCGATCACGGGATTTAGTGGTGTAAACAAATTTTTTAACCAGAGCCACACACAGTACCTCAAATGCTCTTATTAGCAGTGTTGAAAAAATATGGAATATTTGATCAGTGTTGAAAAAATGGAACATCCTACGATTGTTATTTTTGTAGCGAATCACCCTGTCTTCTCTCGATTATCGGAAGTAATATTTTAAATGTCTTAATTAATAAAAATATTAAAATGTAGCATTCCTGTCAGTATAAGTACCAATTATCTTACTGAAAATAAATATTAATACTGTTTATGTAAATAAATAAAATTAATTTCAAAACACATTTACACTTCGATATTTATCGGCTTAAGCGCCTCGTTACCACACATCTCTAGTGTCAACAAAAACATTAGGTTTGTTTTTCCGTAGCCTTTTAAAACAAAATATTTGGATTTTAAGGAAATGTCATTAGATAAAATATGAGCTTATACTTCCTGCAGGACACGATGGCAAACGTCGACGTGTCAGAGTTTCTAAACATGAACGATCCATTGCATTCTACCGGTGACGATTTCTTGGAGCACAACGTTAGGGAGTTGCAGGCAAAACTCCATGAGATCCTAGCAAATCAGGACGAGATCCTTTCATTGCTAAACCAGGTTTCAAAAATGAAGCAACGCGTTGATCCATCAGAGTACGAGTCGGACTACTTTCCGCTGACAGATGCCACGGAGCTGCACAACCTTGACGCCGAATTGGCCCACAAGGATAATATATACGTAGGTTTTTCAAACATTTTCCCTAACTTGTTATCAAAGCAAACCTATATTGCAGGCTTTAATGATGAAACGCATTTTGAGGCCAAACGGCCAAGTAGAGCCTCTGAAGAAGAATTGGTCAAAGCTCTTTGACTACGAAATCCTGATAGCTTTCAACTATGACGGGGTATGCAATAAGGAGTCGTTTAAAAAGTTTAAAAACATAAACAGAACAATTTTCGGTAAGTTTTCAAGGCGTATTTACCTTTATTTTTCTTCAATAGCTAAACGTAGTACTTTTCTCAAATTTAGAAATCCAAAAAACCAGTGGATACACCCAGACAGATTATATTAAGGATATAAAGGCGGCGTTCCACACTATGAAAACGCGATTTCACAAGAGGAACTACGACTTGAAGAGAAAATTGGAACGTGCCGAATGTGACGGCGAATAGTATGTCGAAGTTATTTAAAATTATATGATCTATATTAGGCCAGTGAAATATTCTTAACTTTAGTGTTATCTTGGCGGTGAGAATAAAATGTAAAACAGGTTTTTCTCTCACCTGTAAGTTCTTTTTTTACCTCTTTAACGAGGTTATTTTTGACTTACACGGCACCTCGAGCCGCCAGACTTTCAAACCGTAACGTTCTGGTTGGTCGGTAGCCGTTTTGAAGAAATATAGACCAATGATTTTGGTAATGATTCTGAAAAATCAGATGCTATTACGGATGCCCTTTTATTGGCATTTATACATAGGCTTTTGGAGTATTATGGACTGTTGCTTCTACTGCAAGTCTTAAACTTAGCTTGCAACCAAAAAAGACAAGTGTTTTTCAATTAGACATCGAGTGTCAGTGCTCTTGGTGGAAAAGCCAACTTAGCGAGCACTCGGCAGGGTTCAGTAAACTTGTTTCCAATTTGAAAATGGTTGTGTTAGCCGGATAAAAACATTTTCCGATGGTTTTAGGCATTGCAACAACCGCCGCAATGGCAAATACAGCAATAACAACAATAACAACAAGTACTTAGTTGCACAGTGTAGCGGGCCATAAATGAGAACTCAATTAGAACGTTTACATTTCTGTAAGAAACGAGTTGGTGCTGCCTGCTGGTGCTGCCTGCTGCTGCCTGCTGTTGCTGTTGCTGCTGATGTAGTTGCTGTGGTACATTATTTTTTGGCCTAAATAGTAGGCCTTGAGGAATCGGAATCGCTTGAGTTGTTTTTGTTTCACCGAACGCCACCGAGCGGCAGCAGAGGAGGGAGGCAGCGACGTCGACCGAGGCAGCGGTAGCCCCACAGCACAGCCACAGTGAGCGAATAGCTTTGAGATACTCAGATACGGGCGCTCAGTGTGGATTCGTCTTTTGGCCCATTCGGATGTGGCCACCGCGCGCGCCTTGTCCGCTGGCAGTTTTATTATTATTGTTGTTATTATTTGGGCCCTAACTCTTGCTCGCTGCGCTTGCCCTTTCGTTTTCGTTACTCGGTTTCTCGGTTTTCGGTTGTCAGTTGTCGGTTGTCGGTTATTGTCGCGTTGTGTTTGTGCATCCGTCTGTTATAGTTGTTGTTGTGTTCCAGTTGCAGTTGTGGGAGGTTAGTTGAGTTGTTGGATAATGCGCGGCTCCAAAGTGTACGCAAATTGCAAAAGCTATACCTATACCTATACCTATACTTCCCCCCTATCGACATCCATTGAGAAACATAGATCCAAGAACTGCAATCCCCCATGCCCCAGTGTGTGTGTCTCTATATATGTGTATGTGTGTATGTGTGAGAGAGCGAATGAGCTATGTGTGTGTTAGAATGCACCTTGTGGTATTTTGAAATCTAAAATTGCCAAACACCTAGCGCGTTTCTTTTTTTCGAGAGCATTGCAAAAGTCTCCAGCTGTGCTAATGTTGAGCCAAAAACGACCTGAAACTGAAAAAAAGGCAACAACAATGGCTAGAAACAAACGAAAGCCAGAAAACTGAAAATAAGAACTGAAACTGAAAATGAAAATTCAGAAGCCAAGGCTGTCTCTCTATTTTAGCGGGTATGTAATTACGAAACTCCTGCCCAGTGCCTGGCTATTTCGGATATCTATCTGTCGGCCTGGCTGCCTGTCCGGTTGCGACAGATTTTCGTGGATTTTCCGCCATGGATTAATGGGCGCCAAGGGTACAGCCAGCTTTCCCACACACCGAACCACACACGCACACTTGTATTGGCCAACATACCTACAGTCAGACTTCCATAACTGGAACAGCCATCTGTCAGATACAAAAACTAACAAGATGGATAAATATTTTATCAGAAGTAGGATATAGAATAAATCTTACAAAATACAAAAACCTACTAATATATACTCCCATTATTTTTATTTCAAGTCCCATTATATATATTTTTTTTTGTTGTAAACACAGTTGGCCCTTTGGAGTTGTGGCATATCGGTCTTGGGGATGTTGGACTGTATTTACCTACGTCACGCCCACCTGATTTTAGTGCAATCGCGTTGGCCCAGTTTACGGGCATGCTCCAAGACAAAATACACTCCTACAAGGTCGATTGCCTATGTGTGCTGCTGCTGCTGCTGCTACTACTGGCTGTGGCTGTGGCTGGCTTTTTTCTATACCAGTTTCTAAACCTGCCGCAGCTAGTTTCAATTTCTACTGGGATTATCTGCTCCGGCTCGGTCTTCGGCCTCTGCTGCGACGTTGGCGTCGCTGCTGCAGGTGGCTGCAGCTCTCTGGGAGCTCATTACTCTGTCTATGGCCCCCCTGTCGCACGTTCCCCCCACGCCGTGTCCCCCCCTCCCATCTACCTTTTGGCATCAAAGTGTGTTACTGTGTGTTTGTTTGTTGTATGTTTGATTGTGACACAGAAACCGACTAAGAAGTATGTGGAAATCTCTTGGCTGCATCGAAATCAAATCAGAAACTCGAGTTAGCGTTGAGTTTCCATTTCAGAACATTGTATGTATGGATGTATGGGCATTTTCGCAACAGTTTCCAGTCACAAAGATCGTTACCTGCCGATCAGAGACGGGTCTATATTGGTGGCCATTTGGATTGGTAGTCACACCTGTTCCTGTTTCCGATTGGATTCTGAAATTGCACTTTTCCGAAATGGAAAGGATTTTGAAATAATTTTAATTGATTTTAAAAAAGGGTCTTATAGTTAGGTTTGAGATATTAATCTTTAAATAATAATTTTAAATATATATTTTTTAAATTAAATTTATTTAAGACTTCTTATTGATCCCTAATTTGGTTTTTTTTTTTATCTAGAACGATGCTCTGCATCCCTGGCTGATTCCCCGAATGCGGCACACGCACACAGCTACCACTTACCACCCACCTCCCACCACCCACACCCCTTCACCCTTGCCCCATTCCCATCCCACCCCATCCCCCTTTCCTTCCACCCACTCTGCTGTGTGCTCAATTCTGACGAGTGTGTTGGTGTGTGTGTGTGTGTAAGTGTGTGTGTGTGCGAGTGCATCTCCCCCACAGCAACTGAAAACTGCAAGTTGAAAACTGCACGAACTGTGGTGCAATAAACGAAACGACGAGCGAACGGAACGGAACGCATATTGCGTTGGCGGCGATAGCTCAGTTGTTGTTGTTGTTGCTGGTGATGGTGGTGGTGGTGGTGTTGCTCCCTCTGCCTCCCCATCCCCCCACCCCGTGCCTCTCCTCTTGATGATGACAGCCGAGGTCGTAGGCAAAGACGACGGCATACGCTCGAGTAACTGGCTCAGGCCCACCACTACAAGCAGCCAAACCTGTTGACCTAATTTCAAATTCTGCTGCGTCTTGTTGTTGGTGTTGCTGTTGCTGTTGCTGCTGCGGCTGATCTGTGTCTCTGAGAGTGTGTCAGTGTATCTCTGTGTGTGTGTGTGTGTGTGTGGTTGGATGGAGGAGAGCCCGAGCACACCGACGATTGGCAAATCTTCGCCAGTGGTGTTTGGCGCCAAGGGGGATCCACAGCCACTGCCACCACAAGCACAACCACAAACAAAAGCCCCATCCACTCTCTGCGAGAATTTAGTAACCCAAAAATAGGGGCCTTCAAATAAACATTCCCTCCGATGAATGGGTATTAAAAAACCAGTATGGGAATCGGATGAAAATATTCATAGATGGCATAAATCAACAATAACTATATGTATTCCGATTAATGTATTCATTATGCTTTGTATCAAGCCGGTTTAGGTCAAGCTACCAATCCTAAATCCATCATATATCTTATAGATTATATAGACCTATTTTTTTTTTTGCAGTAATAGTGCACAAGTAAATGCATCTAGTAACTATACCCCGATGGCCCCTTCCCTTTGCACTCTGACTCACCTGCTGCGGTGACCCCCCCTAAGCGCCAGCTCTGGCATTTCCGTCCCAAACAAAACAGACACAGATACAGACCAGGCACGGATACGACTACACAGATACACCCATACAGATGCAGATACAGTTGGGTCTCCCCATCCGTGGGTTTCGTTGGGACTTCCATCAGCCATTGCAGTTTGGATTCAGTTCGGTTCAGTTTGTTTTCGGGATTTCGGAATATCGGATATTTCGTGTTCTATGGAAGCTATTTGGGAGGCACGACTGCAGGTTGCACGTGATTTCGGCCAAGTTGTTTGTGCAGCAGATTCCCGAAAAGCATAGTGTATGTACATATGTATGTTATGTTGGAGAGGGGATGGTATCCCCTTTTATTTTTGCGTCCCAGTAACCACAAGAAATTACGGTCGCCATCCTCCGCCTGCCACAATCCGCTGCCTCTGTCGCTCTGCCGGCGTCTCGGTCGCCCCACTGTCGGCGGAGCTGCTGCTCCACTTGTCGCAGTGACGAAACGCTGCCGCTTATGAGTGTATGTGTGAGTGTTTGTGTGCAGAGAAAATCAAGTGAATCAAAATGAGCGTATAATTAGGTCAACACAACAAAAATTATACGCTAGCCACTTACCAAAGAGAGCAGAGCGAGTGGGAGAGCGGCCGTGCTCTGGGAATCGGAAGTGGGGCAGAGCATGGTTGGGGCCTACCAACTACCAACTACCATCAATTAGAAATTAATTCACGCGCCTAATGCTACAAAATTGCAATTGCAGTCGGCGGTAGCAGAAGCGGCTAGAGTTGCAACAACAACAACAAACGGCAAGCGCATGCATGCACCTGCAACAACAACAGCACAGGCGGGGCGGTGGGGGCGAGAGCCGAAGCAAACCATAAACAAAAACGGGACATGCGCTCCAAGCGCAGTAAGAGATGGAGAGCGAATGTATACAGAGAGCTCGGCTCCCAGTCCCCCCCCATTTCGGCCCCGGTCGCTCAGCTGCTTTCGGCTTTCGGCATTTGGCTTTGGCGCTCTCGCTCCCACTGAACTATTTTTTGTTTCCCACTTTTTCGCCCGTTTCTTTCTTGATTTTCTCGATGCGGCGGCGGTGGTGTTGGTTGTTGTCCGTTGTCCGTTGTCCGTTGCCCGTTGGTTGTTGGCTGTTGGCTGTTGGCCGTGGCAAGTGTTTCGCAATGAGTGCAGGCCAAAATGAAATCATCGTGCTCTGCCTCTGCCGCGACCGCTGCTGCTGCTGCTGCTGCTCCGCCGCTTTGGCATTGATGGGGGGGAAATTCCTGTTCCACTTTCTATTATGGGAGTCTCGCGACTTTGTTGTAATAAAAGCAGCGCAGCAACAGCAGCAGTAGCAGAAGCGGCAGCGGCAGCGGCAAAAGTAGCAAAAGAGCACGTAGCATAAAAGTATGTCACCATGGAAAGTGGTTTCTCTCTCCTGTTCTCTTTCTTTTTGCTCTGTTCTCATTTCGACGCACATGTTATTCGGCTACTGTTGTTGTTGTTGCTGTTTTATTTGGGGAGACGTTTGGGGAATGGTTCATTGATTTGCTCCAAGACGAGCAAACAAAACAAAAACAACAACCAGCTCCAAATCGGCCCAATCGACCGACTGACTCACTTCGTTGCGTGACGCCAGGCGATCCCCCATCCCCGCGCCACTTATCCCCTTCTCCCACGCTGGAAAACCGGTAGCCAAAGAAAAAACAACAAAACAAAAAAACAGAAAAACAGAAGAAAAAAAAAACAGCACTAAGGTCAAATGTGTTATATGGTCTATTTTGCATGAAGATCCAGCCTCGAAAGTCAGAGTTGCCTTCAAAAAGATGCGACTCCACTTCCAAATTCCACTTCCATTTTCAATTCCGACTCCCATTCCGATTCCGATTCGGATTCGGATTCAGATTCAAACTTCCAGCAACACTTCCAGCAACAACAACAACACAAGCTTGGAAGTGGTCAATGCAATGCTAATAAACTAGCTTTTGATTTGAATTTGAATGGGAATCGTGCGAGGCGGCCTAAGGCTATGCAAAAGATTCATTTGGCCTACAAGTCAACGCACAGTGGTTTCCATTTTTAGAAAACCAGGAAGAACTAAGCCTCTTACAAGGGTCCTTATTAAATAATATAAGAGATATCAAAGGAAACTACTTTTAGAAATCACATTTATTTAATTTCTGGGCCATCCACGTTTTCGGCCATCACTACACCTGAAAATTAGCCGCCCACTTGTCTCACCTTTATCCCCAATCCCGCAGACAGTGTGCGACATCATTAAGGGCTCTCACAGCGCTCCAATTATGTCGCTCACTTGTGTGTGTGTGTGTGTGTGTGTGTGCTCCCATTTCTCCATCTCTCTCTCTCATTTCCAGAGCGGCTCAAAAAGCCCAAGCAGCGCTTTATATTTTCTTTTACTTTTGGGTTTCGGGGCTTCGAATTGGGAACAGCGAGCAGAGCAGCCAGCAAGTGAAAATGCGGGACACCCCAAAAGACCAGCTAGCCAGACCCGTGATTCCAAGACCCATAGACCGTAGACCCCCAGACCCCATACCCCATACACCTCACACCGTATGTTAGCCACAGATTATGACGATGACGACGATGATAATGATGATAATAATGATAAAGCGTGACCCAGTTGCACTCTAAAACTTGACCCAATGACTCCATTGGGTTGGCAAACTATGGCATTTATAATGCCAAAGCCAAAAGCAGGCACCTCATAATTACTGAAAATGCAAACCGACATTTTGTGCGTTTTTTTGATTTTTCAAAGTTATTTTTTTTATTTTTATTTTTGGGCTTTTGTGCTGTCCGCCGCTAATGTTTACAAGTTTACAACACCTAAGTGGCCCGAAGCCCGAAAAAGAAGTTTTTAGTTATATTACTTTTGACCAACAACCCAAAAAAAAAAAAAAAAGAAACCCGTTCGCATCGAAAAAGTGAATTTGTAATTATGTAGATGGCTCGAAAAAATAGGCCTACGACACACATTTCATTTTGTCAGAGTGCCTGGCTGGTGCTGACCTGGCCAGAAATGCACCAACACAGCCGTACATCGATTGATGTGTGAGCGGCCTGAATATATGGCCTGTGGATGTGGGCTGTGCGGTATAGGGAAGCTGGCTGGGGCTGAGGTCGTCCCCCATGGCTCTTGGCTTTTGTGATCTGGCTAATGCTAATGCACAAGCATTGAAGGTTGAATTAAATTAGCCACGAGAAGAGCTTGGCCAGCTTTGTCGAATGATTATGGATGATGATTTATACGCTGCCCGATATACCATACCCTCGCACCTGAGCACAGTGTTGGATGGTATCTGCTCTCTTGGTAGACACATTTGACCTATTGCCTATTGCCAAAAACCCAGGCCAGACCCGGGTGACACGCGTCACCAAGTCAGAGTTGCACAATGGGATGGTATTGAAATCTGTTTCTTAGTTAATATATGCTTGAGTACAGAAAGTTAGTCACTAATTAGGAACAATATCTATAGAAGGAAGCCATCTTCCATAGAAGAATTTCCAGACCAACCTAAGGTCCTATCTTTGTACCTTTAAAAACCTTAAAGTTATGACCTTTCCTATACTTTAGTTATATTCCAGTTATGTAATATAGTCGGCCAGTCCTTATGATATATAGATAATAAAATGGATAAATTAACTAAAAATTAAGAATTAACTATAGATAGAAGAATAAATAGAACCTTTTTATACCTATAAATAGTCGATCTATTACTAAATCGTTAAAGTTCCTTGTTCCTAGGAAATAGTCTTCTCAAGGTACTGATCAAAAATATATAAACTTCAAAGGGTCGGAGATATTCCTCTCATTTCATTAAACACTTATAATACCCTCTGCCAAGATAAAGGAATATCTTTAATACCCTCTTCAAAGATTAAAAGTATCTATTATTACAATCCTAAAAAACGTTTTTTAAAGAGTTACGAGTTACAAGTTTTTGGCCTATAAGTAATCAAAATTTAAGATTAATTTAGAATCTTAACTCATCAGAAAATCCTCATTTATATTAATAATAAAATTAGTAAAATCTATTTAATATTTTGGCATCAAAATCCATTAAGTTACCATAGTCTTTTCTACAATCTTTTGAATGATTTGATGTTTCTTGTTTTGTTTGGTGTGGTCCCCATCTCAGGTTCTCTCCCGTCTCTCTCTCCATGTATGTGTGTGTGTGTGTGTGTGTGGTTGGGTGTCCAAATGATTGCCCACCTGCAAGACCAGTAATTGGCCCCAATAACTTTGGTATTTTCATAGCACGAAGTCAACGTCAACGCCAGCAACAACAGCAACTACAAGGCCGCCCAAAAATGGTCGCTCGGTATGGTTGTTGTTTCGGTTCTTGGCGAATTCGCCCGAGGTTCCCCTCTCTTCCTCCCTGGCACAGTCTCTGTTTCTGCCCCAGACCCACCGCCATCACCACCACCCCCTATGGCTCCACCATCCCACAGAGCTGCGACGCTGACACCAATTTGGCTTATTAGAGTCGAAGTCTGAGTTTGGGCTTGGGTCTTTGGGTCTGGGTTTGGAAGCACTTGAAATGCCAAAAAAGAACCGACTGACAAATAAATGCAACAAAAAAAAAAATAGCAACCGCAACTTGTCATCGATTTTCGGGCGTGGTCGGGACCTATCTCACCTACACTGAGCCAAAAACCGGGCCTCCATCCATTGGATATATTGTTTTATTTAAAAAAAAAATCATTTATTCAAAGTACTGACATTATTCTCTCGTTTGGTTATTTTACAAGTGTATATGATTGCATTGCAGATGGCCGAAACGATCAGCACAGCGGCCAGCGGAATGGAGCTGGCCCTGAAGGACCCCAGCCCCACGGTGGGCGGGGGCATCATCGTGGATATGACGCCCACTGCGGCGGCTCTGTTGCATCACAACGCCATGGCGCTGCGCAGCCTGAAGGAGGCTGCCAGCTCGGCCTCTGCCTCGGAATCGGAGCTCCAGGAGCCGCGCTCCCCGACGCCCACGCCCACGAATCTCAGCACCGCCCCTCACTCGCCGCCCATGACATTTCGCTGCGAGCGTTGCGACAGTTTCGAGACCAGCTCCCGTGCCTCCCTGCTCCTCCATGTGGTGCAATGCCTGGCCGGTCAGGCGGCAGCTGCTGCAGCCGCTGCGGCGGCCACGGCGCGTCTCAAGTCGGAGGATCTGCAGGAGCCGGAGAACATGAGCCTGGGCCACATGGAAGGAGGCGGTGGTGGCGGCGGCAAGGGAGACCGCGATAACCAGTCCGGAAATGGAAATGGCTCCAGCTCCTCGGCCAGCTCATCGCCGGCCGGAAACAGCGGCAGTGGCAGCAGTTCCCGCAAAGTGTTCGAGTGCGACGTGTGCAACATGAAGTTCTCCAACGGGGCCAACATGCGGCGCCACAAGATGCGACACACGGGCGTCAAGCCGTACGAGTGCCGAGTGTGCCAGAAGCGGTTCTTCCGCAAGGACCATCTGGCGGAGCACTTCACCACGCACACCAAGACGCTGCCCTATCACTGCCCCATCTGCAATCGGGGCTTCCAGCGACAGATCGCGATGCGGGCCCACTTCCAGAACGAGCACGTGGGACAGCACGACCTGGTGAAGACTTGCCCGCTCTGCAGTTACCGCGCCGGCTCCATGAAGTCCCTGAGAATCCACTTCTTCAACCGACACGGCATCGATCTGGATAATCCGGGACCGGGCGGTACCTCTTCCCTGTTGCTGGCCCTCGAATCACAGGCCTCGGCGGCGGCGGCAGCGGCAGCAGCCAGTTACGTGCCTCCAGGACTCAGTCCGGTGCCGGTGCAATCTCAATCCCAGCAGCAACAGGCGCCGGTTGCTCCGCCGGCCAGCGATAGCGGGGAGTCGATGCGATCCCTGGAGAATGCCACACCTCCGATGCACTTCCTCACGCCGCACGTGGAGATTTCGACCCTGGGTGAGAGTGGCAACACGGAGCTGTTCAATGTAAGTTTCCAATCCCTTCTTCAAAACCATCTCTTACCAAGATACAAAAGTTGATTTGCGTTTGGCGTGAATCTGCATTACAGGGCAACAACAACAACAACAACAATACCAATAGCAACAACAACAACAACAACAACAACTGCATTACCAACAACAATAACAACAATAACAACAACAATAGCAGCGCCAACAACAACCACAACCATAATGGCAGCAGTAACAACTCCATTAGCAATGGAAATGGTAGTGCCGAGTCCAATGCCGATAAGGTGAAAGATCGAGCCCTGATCATGCAATCGCCGGTGGAGCTGCCCATGGATTGCAACACTAAGGCCACGCCCATCACATCCAGCACCACGGCCAGCAGCCTGAGTGCGGGCTTGAAGAGCCACCATCTCCACCATCATCATCACCATCACGAGAATCACATAACGCCTTCAATCAGTCTGATACCGATTAAGCAGGTGAGTTATATATATATCTTATATCTTATACTATTATATACAAGATACCAGCTATTTAGTTGAATCTATTGAGGCTTCACTGTAGAGTTTTATGAAAATTGCGAAGGCGGAACCGAATCAGTCTAAAAACCTGTTGTGCATCACAAAAGACTGCATACCTAATTGGGCTAAAACTCACTTTTTTAGTATTCCGAGATCCAGGGCTTGAATTTCAAATGGTAGACGAGGCTGTTTGATCTTGACCTACGCAATATTAAATAAATTATAATTAAGTCTTTATTAAACTTCATTAATTATAAAATATTAAATTATTTACCATCCTGTTCCTTCATAGGAGCCCATGTCTGAGGATTTGGATAAAAAGGACCTGATGAATGGCAGTGATCCCAGCAGTGACTCCGAGCAGGCTTCCAACAACAACAACAACATCAACAGTTGCAACAACAACAGAATCACCTCACTGATTAAGGTAAGCCCATCAATTAATTAATAATACCATTTTTTAATTAAAAATATCCTTTTTTTTTAAGGTCTCGCCACTAAAGTCGCTTTTGCGCGAAGATCTAAAGCGTCGAATCTGCGCCAAGGCCAATAACCGGATTACCCGGAATGCCACGCCCCTGGAGAACAACAACAACAACAACACAGTGCTGTCCAATAGCCTGAGCAACGGATCCGGCAATGGCTCGACCGGAGTGAATGGCGGCAGTGCAGGAAGCGGATCGGGAGGAACCGCTGGACCGCCAACACCGGCCACACCCAATGCCAGCAACGGTCTCAATTCGACACCCATCTGCAACGGAACGATCACCTCGACCGGACAGGATGGTGATTTGTTGCTCAACCGGAAGCTGATACTCACCTGCCACTTTTGCGGCATCGAGTTCCCGGACGAGACGCTGTACTTCCTGCACAAGGGCTGCCACTGCGACAGCAATCCGTGGCGGTGCAACATCTGCGGCGAGCAGCTCAACAACGTGTACGAGTTCAACTCTCACCTGCTGAGCAAGAGCCACCAATAGCAGCCACAGTTGGCCGGCAAGTAGGCAGGAGCTTGCCGGCCCAGTGACAGTGTCAGGATCAGGATCACGATCGGTGTAGACATTTGGATTCGGATCCAAAGATTCGGAATATTTACTTAGCTCAATTTTGAGAGATTTTCCACAACCAGGCACACAGTTAAGCTCAGAGCAAATTATACACTTACCATCTAGTTCTACGATTACACTTACGTCTACGTTACATACATATATATATATACAAATATATATATATGTATATATATATATATATACTTATATATAGTTAGAGATAACTCATCATATTTTTATGATCTGCATGCAGAGAGTATGAAAAATCAAATGAGAGCTACGTAGTTACCTAATCCCTTAAAAGAAAGTCGGAGAAAGTATAAAGGTTTTTGCGCGAAAACGTTTAACGTTTCAGGATGTTATGGATGGAAATCAAAAGAACGATAAGCGGAAAAGAATACAATGGTTATATTATATAGCTTCCCGAATGAAAGCCCTGTTATGTAGTCTTATTATGCCCTAGGTTTTGTAGTTATAGTCCTTAAGTACTTGGCAATAATTTCCAGCCGGTTCAACTGGCCAGCAGCAAAGAAAAAAAAAGAAGAATATGTATCGCCACGTAAGTCCGCTTAAGTCGGTTTAGTGCATTATATACATAAATATATATATATATATATAGCTTCGGTTCGCCTTAAAGGTGGCAGTTTATGGTTTTCAACATCCACACACATACACATAGGTACATTCGTTATATATATACTTGATTATATATGTATATGCCTAAAAAGATTCATCGAAGGGCTTTAAATTTGTTATGTTTTCAGAGTTTAATACGAGAGCAGCAAGTTTAATTATAGAAGCTATATCTATATACAAGAAAATGTTACATATACAGGATATATATACGTACATAGCCAGGTTACACACATACACACACACGCTCACTGACTCACTTTAACACAGATACAGATACAGATACAGAGATACATAGCAAAAACAGATACAAATTCAGATTCAGATTCTTTTAGCTTAGCAAGAGGTTAACGAATTTTGAATTCAATTATTATACTCGTACCTTTTATATAGCTCTTAGTTCGAATAACTAATCTAACACAGTAACAAAGTAAAAGTTTAAAGAAAAGCCACACATATTTCGAATAATCGCACAGTGCTGCTAGTAAGTTTGCATACAACGGAAAAAAAATGGAATAAATAAAAAGCAGAAAACAGAAAGCAGCGGCAAAGCATAGTAACATTTTTTTAAAAACAAACAAGACAAAAAACAAAAACATGCAAAAATTACAATTGTGATACGAAATTGTTGTAAATAATTGGTAAATCGAAATATGAGTAACATGAACTTTATTATTTTAGAGGAAAGGAAAGAAAAACTATGCCTTAGATGCCTATGATATAGCATTACATAAGTACATACATAAAAACATACTGATATCTACTTCTATACGATACGAGCGATCACTGTACAAACAACCAACTGGACAAACTGTTGATTAGTATAGTTAACTTTAGTGTAAATCAAAATTTGCAAAATTTTGCAATCCCCCCAACCCCCCCATATACCCACGACCCCTGGATCCCGTCCTGTTTCCTCCCCTCCTTGCCCCAACCTCTGCTGACGTCACGGGTTGTATGCAGCCAGCAAGGCGCCACTGTGCGCCAAAATTTTACTTCAGATTAACATCCGTCCATGATGTTCACAAAAAAATGAAAAGAATTACAAAAAAAAATTAGGGCTGATAGCGAATGATGTAACACACACACTTACATATAACCATAATGCTTATGTACATGTAAACCAGGAGAAAATTATGTTTAGATTCCCATCTACCACCTTCTTTGGTTGTTATTGATCTTTACTTATTAAGATAGATAGCATTAATTTTTTAGTCGAAGGTTTTTGTTAATCATTTTTGTTGTTCATCGTTAGCAGCACTTGCGCACATTATGTACATTATTTTTTTTCTTATAGACCTCCTGCCTCCCCCCCTCTACTTATAGACATTATGTACGGATTCACCTTATTATTTTTTGCTCTTCTCTAGCCAATTCACACGTGTAAAAAATGGTTTGTTGTGTTCAATTAATATATATATATTTAATACTTAATACTTTGTTAATAAAACACTAGCATCTAGCATCCAAGTTGTTAAACAAATCAATCCATTTTCGAAATCAAAAGGCGTATAACGTTGAATGTAACAATTGAGCAATTTTTAGCTGAACTTTCATGTTAAATTTTAATAGATTTAAACAAAAACTCGATAGCAGAACATAACAAAAAAAACAAAAAGAAAAGAGAAAACACCAAATGGAATTAAGAACAGAAACAAAACATTTACTTAATTAGTGATTATAATTCTAGCTAAAACAAAAAGGCATGTTAATTTTTTAGAAATAAAAATGGTTTAAAACAACAAAAAAAATGTTTCAATTTTTTGAAAATTTAACAGCTGAAAGCGGTTCTACAGAGAAAAAAATATTTCAAATGGAGGCTTCCAAGTCAAAGGAATGCCAAACAATGAATTCTTTCGGTGCAGAGCGGTTCCCATGTATGTAACTCGATATAGCTTCTATGTTCTGTGCTTTACTTTTGTTCCCTTCTGCGACTCATAATTACCTTATTTGGTATGCAGACAGGAGCTCCTCGAAACGGAGCCACAAAGGTCTCCCTAGCTCCCTAGCTCTGTGGCTGCCTGCCTGGCTCCCAGTCTCCACGAACTCCTCTCGTTTCCCAAGTACGCCTTACGCAATGTGGTAGGGCCCCGGACCCATGTGTGCCCTGAATAATGAATAGATCTGAGTTCCGTCCACTGACTGGATTGAGAAGTTTTCCTCCGCCCCACGCCAAATGGTGGAAAGCTTTTCAATTTCATTCACAAAACACAAAACAGTGGAGCCTCCTTTCAAAAGCTTCGAAAATCTGGCTTCTACGTCACAGCAACCACTTTTGAAAATAAAAAAAAAAATGCAATCTAATCGCTGGCGACATTTTCAGGCCTTTAATTAGTTTGTCCACTTGATTGTGCTGGCACCGGCTATGGATTTGGTAATACATATAAATCTGGTGCCTGATTGGAAATAAATATTAAAATTAAACTCCAAGTGTTTTTCCCCGATCGGATCGCATCGATCGATAATATGCTAAGCACCGGCTTCGCAACCGGCACCGGCTTCGCCACAACCGGAACAATCCGGGGACCTCTCCGTAGCCGGAGAACTGTCTTTTTTACAACCTAAAACATAATTTTTTTCATACTTAATCATTTTCAAACATTCGGAAAAACAAGAAAGGAAAGCTTAGTTGTTGGCCGAGAATATGATATCGTTATAAATTTTATATCTGTACCAATCCAATACTTACATTTACTTTGCATTTATAATTCATACATTTTATATTCATATTTGTTTATAATAAATGATAATAAATTAAATAAAATTATGACTTCTATTTTTACTTTTAGTGCTTCCTTCGATGTTTTCGATGTATCGATGTTTGAAAAAAAAACCCAACTTCGATATAAACATCGATATTTTTGTTTAACATCGATGGTTGAATTGAAAATTTTCCAATTTTCCAAAAGTGCAATTTTACTGGAGAATTTTACTTATTGTTTATTTAATCTTTTATAAACAATAAGCAAAATCATAAAATGTTTAAGCGATTAGAAACATTTGTTATTGTATTTCTTTATTTTTGTGCGTTTGAAAGACATACGATAGTATCGGTATGGACATATGATAGTATCGTAAATACATTGGCAACCCTATGTTTTTCCGCCTTGTTTACTGTGTGAAAAAGTTTATAAAAATGGAGTTCGTTGCAAAGTTAAACGTTGTTGAAGAAAACCTATCTGATATCGCAAAGATATGGTTGGAAAATCGGAAGGAATCACTGAAGAAGGGATTCGTCAATATTCAGGGAAATCTACGGGCGATTATTGAGGAAGACGAGCCATTTTTTGTTCTCTTCGATGAGTTTCATTTGAAAAAAGTCAATGTAAGTATAAAAAATTTATATATATATATCATATACTAATTAATATATTTTTGCAGAATGCTCCAAGTAACATCCAAAGTTGGAAAATATTTTCAATTGCAGTTTCCAGCTTCAATGGACCTTTGCAAATTGTTTATTTGCGAACGGTAATACAATAATTTCCTACTAATATATAAATGAAATTAACTTAATTTTTTTAGGCATCAAGTGGCATAGAGAAAATGGGATCCGCTGCCATTTTGGAAGGGGTGAAAATGGTGTTGGGGTGCATTCGGAAAAGCCCCGAGGCTGCCACCAAATTGGCCGGTGCGGTGGCAGATAAATGCGCCGCCAATTTGGAGGCAATTCATTACCTAAATCAAAATGGAGTCCCAGTCCTATACGCTCTGCGGCACTTTTGCGGCACAATGAGAAGATTTGGATTTGTGGACTTGTTCAATACCAGTTTGTTTACAATTCCAACATATACAAAGGGAAATTATAATGAATACCTATTGGAGTCAAAACGGTTGGTGGAGGAGAATGTACCCCCAGAGTTGCAAGACCGATATACAGAGGAGGTAAGTTTCGCAAAAATTAATGAAACAATCATTTTATTTATTATCTTCATTACTTTTAGCGGCTTGCCCTTCAGTCCCTATTTGGGAATTTGTTTAATACATTCCCAAATAGGACGTTTAAACTAAGTATGTTGAACTCCAATCACCTGGAGGAAGTTGGTGCCAAGCTGGGCTACGATGTCCATGCGGGGGCGGAGGAGGGATTTGGAAAATATCCAGCTGCACTTGCCGATCCCAAGGAGGCAGTTGCGTTTATGGCGTTTTGGATATTAAATTGGCGTCGGTGAAATTAAATTTTTCGTTTTGGTGAACGACCGAGAAGTTTAAAATCAAATGGATGGCGATAAATTTGTTGAAATTGGGTAAACTATGTTTTTTAAAAATTAATTAATTTAATTTAATTGTTCTAAAAGTGTATAAAAAAAATTGTTGAAAACACCGGAATGAAATGAAAATGAAACCCATTGTTGTGTTTCGCAGTGTTTTGGAGTATTTGACGAGTTTTTGATTTTATTGTATTTATTTTTATTAATTATTATTATTTATTAGGTATTCATTATTTTTGTAAAATGTGATATTGAGATTGGACAAAAATTTCGAAAGATTTGCTTTTTATTTGCGTTTTTCTGGGCATTTTTGTTCAAAATCACAAGTTTTTGGCTGTTCATAAAAAAAAATCTTTTTCTTCTTTTGAAATAATCGTGGTGAAAAAATGTTTTTAATAACAGTTTCAATAACAGTCCAATTTTTTTGTTTTCCGGGAAAAAAAAGCTTTTTTTTTCGAACTTTCAATGTTTAAAATTTAACAGAACATTTTTTCAATTTTACAACACTTTTTCAATTTTTGAAATTTTCCAACTTTTTACTGGAAAAATAACAGTCAGAAAAAAAATGTTACTGATTGAGCCTTTTAACAGAGCTTTATTAACAGTTCGAACCGCTGTTGGTTAACAGAGGTCTGTTCTGGGAGAAAGCAGTGCAAATTGAACAGATGCAAGCAGTGCGTAGCTAAGCCGGCTATTGGCTAGTGGGAATCAGCCAATAAAAATCCATCGAATGGCACAGTGGTTAGAAAACCCACAATTTCGGAACAAAACTTCGACGCCGGCGCAATCTGTATTGTACATACTGATGTATATCTATGTGTCTCACTGACAAGGGGTTGATTACCAAAGATGAATGAATCAATTTTTTTTTTGGGAAAATAACAATATGTGAGGTCACATGATCAGCGTTTCTTGTCTGGCCCGACAAGCGTACAGATGTGCGTATATACGTATATATGGCAGCTTACCATATACTCCAATTAAAAGAAAGGCCACAATCAGGATAAACCACCCCAATTTTTTGAAACGATCAAGACAGAGAACATATATACATATATATTTATTTATTTAGTGTTAGAAAGAGACATCTAAGGTTGAATATCATATCATTGGCAACTATGGCACTGTAACCATTTGGCAATTTTCTTAATACCCTTCCAAGAGCCGGATTCCGATCCGGATTCCAAGCATATGCTCTGTTTTGCCACGATCCGGAATGTTTTCCTTTTTTTGGTTTTTGGGTTTCGGTTTTCGGCAATTTGTTTGCAGTTTTGTTTGCGATTTAGGGGATAATGCGCCATAAAGCCAAAAACACGATTGACTGAATACTCCCGGTCACCGACTAATCGGCCCAGAGGGAAAGAGAGAAGATATAGCTTGGCTGATCGGCTGAGTATAATGCCCGGCAAGTCCATTGTATACGCATCAATAGTCTTAATCGCAGCATCAATATTTACCCAGCGACAGACTCCGGAGTCCGGACTTTGACCAAAAACCCCGATTTCCGACTCCCGATTGCCGAGATCTCCCCGTCCCCGTCCCCGTTCCCGTCCCCGACGCTGATCCGGACAACAATGCGAGCAAATCCGCTGCCAGCGTTCCAATGAGGCGATTAACACCTAAATATGTGTGTCATTAGAGGCGACAAATGGAAAGCGTATTGACAGGCAGACAGAGGCGATGGCTTTGACATCCTCATCCTCATTTTCAGCTCAGAGAATGCCAGTGACTGCTGTCGACGACCCACACTGGAAGAAATTCTAAGGGTATAGATATAAATACCTTTATATTTAATAAATATTAAATAGTACGCCCATATCTGGTATATATTAAACTTCGAAAGAAGTAGAATATTTTCCTGTGATATTTTGGCATATTATTAATATGCCAATGACACATTGTACTTGATAGAGCTCTGGCTTCAAATACAATAGAATACATTTTTTTATGTTTTTAAATTTTTTGTGCTTTAATTTTATTTTATTGCATACCAGATATACATACATAAATTTGTTTTAAATAGGTTTGTCTTTTTTATTAGTTAACCTATTTAAATCTTCTTTAAAACTATTACTCTTTTTTTTTAGTGCCTTGGCACATATCAACCTTCTGTTCGGGTTGGTGT